TTATATCATGGCTGTGCGGCTTATCCTAATATGAAGGTTTGTGGTTTAGCACATGCATAGTATGTGCTTCAGATCCAAATGATACAAATCTGAATCACATATGAGACTATCCAAATAATATATAAGTTATACCTCACTTATAAGTGAGGGAATTAAGTTTACCAAAGATATTAACCATCTAATACATAGTCACACTATTGAAGGAAGTATAATGACTGTAGACATTACACTTATCAAAACTAAATTTCAACAAATCATGCATATATTTAGCTACTGTGATTAGAGTATGGTATTTTCAATTCAAACTGTCTACTTCCAATCGTGATATGTTATATTGGTAAAGTCAAAAACATTGCTGGCCCTCAAGACCTTTAGATTGACATCAAATATTTATATCTGCCCGGTTAGCTAATGTAGGTCTGTAAGTCTTCTATCAGGAAAAATTCTCAATCAGATAAAAAAAACTCAAAATATTCAGATTGTTCCTACGCCGCACACCTTTGAACTTAGGATAGGGAGCACGGATGCATAATCGCAAGAATTACCTTTTTACACAAAAAAGAATACTGAGCGTCAACATGAGCTTATTTTCTCACGCGCAAAACAGTTGTATACTTTTCAGTCCCAAGCCATCTTAATATCAACCTGAAACTATGGATTCGTTTCGGGTAAAGACCCATTTGCTTTAGCAGCTGTTTTGAACATAAAGTATCCTTAGCAGCTTCAATCATAGACGAGTTTCAGATTCGGTGGTTAATCGAATCGCGGTAATCTGTTTCTTGAGATTTGAACTAAAGGGAGGGAGTATTTTTTATCTTGAAATTGAGAATTGCTTAATATCTCCCCTTTAGTCGACAGTACCAAATCTTCATTTTATTGAAGAAGACTGAGTATTGGGTAAATATGACTAATCTCAGCAGTAAGTAGTTGTGCCGTGCCGATGAAGATACTGAATATATTATTTCCACACTAAATGTCCTATTTGCCGAATTTCCTAGAAACCGGCTCCCCTTAAGAAGAACAAGGGAAATATTAGGAGGCACCAACGTACCCGTAGCCGATGAGAATCTCTGCTGTGCTCCCTCCGATAGGGAGCCACGAACACCAAAGATTGGAAAGCACTCAGAAAGGGAGAATGCGCCAGCCAAGCACAAAACTGTAAGCGATATCCGGTACGAACGTCAGTAGGATTTCGGGTTGACGGTGTTATAATGATGGCTAAATCAAACATCGACGAGACCCAAAAGAGATCAATCTTGTTCAAGTTACTTCATCTAAAAATATGTTTGGAAAACCCTCTGGTTCAGAGGAGAGGGTTTCGAATCAGATCCTCAAGAAAGAAGATAGTGATATCCATTGGACGACCAACAAAAAAAGGTGAACAAAAAATGAAATCAATTTCGTCACATCATCACTTCTTCCATGTAGTAGAACTATAGACCACGAGAGAAAGTTCGAAACGAGTGTCAGTGACATGGTTACATGTCAACTCAGCGACATTCACGGACACCATAATTTTGGGTAGCCTCAAGAAGAATCACGCTTTATTGTCCACCTAAGCATCATGATATGATCCCAGAACCTAACACCAATCTAGAATGGGTTTGGCGGTGTAGCAATCTGGAGAAGCTTCAGCGGATAGTAACACCTAGATAATAAGTCGATTTAGACATCAGAATCAAAATGAGGACGGCATGGCTTGAGCTCTTGAGGGCAGCTTTATTCTAGGTAGAAGTGAATTTGAAGCGAATAGGTTACCTGCTTGTGACAGACTTGTTCAGAACGAGCTCAATCAGAGAGTCCTGACAACAGACATATCGCTTGAGGAGGTGAGGTGACGAGAGCGGTTACCACCTCCTCCACAATATGGGTTGAGAGCTAGCCTATTTAGGTGAATTCCCATAGGGATGGAACTAAGCTTCAAATAGGGTTACGACTAAGAACCAAAGTCTTGATCATATTCAGGACAGCAAAAAGTGGAGTTATAGAGGGGGCTTGAATCTGAGAGGAGTCAAGCTTCAGAATATTCGCCTCATGAGGTAGCAGAAGGGCTCATAGAGCGATGTCTATAAAAGGGCGGAATAGAAATAAGACACTTTAGAAGTTGGGCCGCATCCAGAAACTGTGGGGAGGGATTGTTGGTAATAGGAACCGGTTTCTGTCTGCAGCAAAGAACTCCTATTGTTGAATGAAGTTGCTAGCGCTCAATCAATCGTCCCGAGGATATGTCACGGAGCTGATAAGCCTTACTCTCACTCTAACCAAAGAATAGAGCTGAGTTTGAAATGAGAGGCAACGCGAAGTGTTGTCTGCGACTGGGATAGCAATGAAAATTAAGCTCGACAGCTAAGTGGTCGACGCATACTGCATTAAACAGGGCGACAGCAGCACCATGGAGCTGAGGCATCCTTCTTTGTGGGCGAAGACAATTCTCTGTTGATAAGATACGTAGCCACCAAATACCGCAAAGAAACCACTATGTTCATCGCATCCTGCTTCTGTCGTAGGGCACAGGCCCGAAAAGTGAGAATCCAGGCTCTGTATTTCAGCAAAATAGTTATGAAGTCTTAAGTAAGGCGAGGCCATCTCTTAAAAAATGATTACTAAACGCACCTGACATATTGGGCTGGTAGTTATTTTATCATTTCCTTGAGCCTTCTTTTTTAACTTTTGATTTAAGAGCGGGACTACGAGCTGCAGTCAGTGGTGCTAGTATTTCAGATTCCGGCTAAAAAACTACGTATTGTTCTGCATCCTTCATGAGTAATCAATCTTGCCCCAGTTGATTGCATTAGATCATACTACACTGCCCACGATCGCCAAATCTTAGTGAGCAGTAGTAACAGAGTAGCTTGAAAAATACTACTGATATTACAGGTTCACTTTATCAGAAGAGATATTAGAACTCTCTTTACCTTGAGCCATAGCACAGTATCTATGGTTAGGTAGTTAATGCATGATTGCCTCTGGCCACTGAACGTCTTGGTGTGCTCATACGGATTTTCTAAGCCAAATCGTATTCTGATCTTTGGATCAATACAAAAGAATTGGATCAGTTTATTCATGAGCTATAACAAGTATCTTCAGCTAAAATTAAAAAATGGAGATATTCAATTAACAGATATTTTTTTTGAATGTTCGAAATAGATCCTCACTGTGCTGCCTTTGAGCGCATAAGCTAAATCCAGGCAAACTAACTTTAAGGACACGGTATTATTAATCAAAATATCTCTTGCCTTGTTTCTCATTCTTGGACCCCACTAAGCAAATAAGCTCAAGTCTCATGTCCATTGGTCTAGATATAGTAAAGGATATCTCCCGTCAGCTGTTTAATAAGAATAGAAATTTAGAGCAAGATTGTATCGCTTTTGAATCAAGCTTGCGCTGCGCAACTTGAGAGAAAACTGTTGGAATTTAGTTTTGATAAGTGTAATGTCTACAGTCATTATACTTCCTTCAATAGTGTGACTATGTATTAGATGGTTAATATCTTTGGTAAACTTAATTCCCTCACTTATAAGTGAGGTATAACTTATATATTATTTGGATAGTCTCATATGTGATTCAGATTTGTATCATTTGGATCTGAAGCACATACTATGCATGTGCTAAACCACAAACCTTCATATTAGGATAAGCCGCACAGCCATGATATAATCTATGACTATCTTATCTCAACAAAAACTAGGGCTCCGGCTCTTCAAGTTTTTTTTTACCTTGAAAAGAAGTGACAAGAAAAACCTACTGTATTATCACCCACCATCACAGGACGACCTTGTCTTAATGAGTTCTACCTGTGCAAGAGGTATATAGTCTTGGGTTGACATAGTAGTTACGCAGGCAGTATTAGTTTTCAAATGTACTCAACCTGTGTCATGCGCCAACGTAAACAGCGTGACACAAGTAATGAGCGCTCCTCCAAAAATATGGAGTAAGCTTCTCCACTACGGTACGCCAGACAAGTAAATCACCAACGCCCTCAGGTCAAGAGCGACATGCAGAATCAAACGCTTGAAGATAGCAACAGCCTTTGATGTGGAATCAATAGAAGATAAATTGTGGTTGAGTAGTTAAGCGGTCTATCTTCAAGATGCTGCTTAAGTATAGTCTGTGTGTTGTGATAATGCCAACATGAAGCTCTTTCTAAACAGATTCTTTTCCAATCATACATACTACGAAGGAAGAGGCTTCTGCATAGCCTCATTAGTGAAAGATCTACAATAAAGATTCTGTAAGGTCAGATCTAAATTTTTTATAAGCAAGACCTATGAATAAGAGTCGCTTCTTCGGGCAGTCAAATATGGGGATCCGTACAGTTGATCCCTGATCTCTAGTGAAACAAGAGGGATATACACATTTGGTGAAAAATAACTTAAGCTGAAATCGAAGGTATCGTAGGGTAATGAATATCCTATATTCATGCGGACGAACTGTTTGTAGTGATCAAATGTACAATACATATCGTTTCTAAATTTGTCTTTCCAGGGTGATCTTTTCCAATTGCTACTTTATCATGAAATACATTCACTAAACTTCCTCAAAAAAACTGTATCGAAATTCTGCGGCCTTGCAGATTACGTAACAAAGGACCTTTTGTATTGGTTATGAGCTAAGCTATCGATGAAGAAAACCTAAGGCGTGTCTGTCGTTGAGAATAAGTTCAGCTCAGTCAGTCCCTTGTATGTTTCCCGTTTTTCCTCTTGGGCGTCTATTATATCCAAGTAAGCTGAAGATACCTTCAAGAGTACAAATACTAGCAAACAAGGCACAAATGTGAACCGTACTAAAAAAATTCAATGTTTGTAAGGTAATTTTAGTTTGATAAGCGACCGCGACGGTAATCGGATAGATACTTTACTATAAAGCATCTGCGACATGAGAATTCTAATGTTACTATTTGTCCAGTATGGACAGAAGACATATATTTTGAAATGCTGATTTGTGATTAAACATGAACATGGTGGTGTACAGTACTAACAAGTAATTTCTTCTTCGAACGATCAAATTTGTTCACCTCTTCCTATTCCTGTGATTCGATTCTTTCTTCGACTCGTTGAGGCTTGGAGGTCTAAAACTTTAATCTCATTTCTTTTCCTCGAGGTTCGAGAATCAGGATGCGCACGTTGAGGTTCTTTCTGTGCGGTTGCCAAAGTTTTCAGTCGCGACTTCGGGGCCATTCCTGCCAATCTTATGGATTTGAGTCGCTTTGTAGATGCTACAAGTTGACTAACTTTGGGACTTGGATTTTTGTTATTGGGACCTGATTCAAAAGAACCATCCTGTGAAAGCAATCCTTGGCGCGCTAATGTAGCATTTTCAATAATGCTTTTCAGTGCAGTGTCAATCATCTCTACTTCGTGAGAAGACAGCCCCTGCGCCCTTCTTTTTATTGAATTTGGAGAAAAGATGCAGAGACAACCATCGTTGAGGGCAGGCAAATTTCCAGTGTCCGTCACCTTCCAGATGTATGCCAAAGAAACCACAGGCACTCCCCATGATCTAGCGGCTATTACCTTGTTCATGGTTTTAGATGAAGAAGTCTTTGAATCCAACGGGCAGGGACCTAATAGTACACTTCTGTAGTCATGTTCAAAAAACAAGGGGAAATGTTCTTCCGTGAGACCTATGCTCATTATGTTGATGACCAAGAGATCACTGGTCTGGTAAAGAGTTCGAGTGGGAGAGCAACCAATAGATTTGAGCACCTTCTCAACGTGTACAAGCTCTATACCTCCAAAACCTGAGAATGAGATTTTAAGATTCAATTTGAGATTGGCATAAACTCTAGGTATCGACCACTGATCAAAGCAGAGTCTCGAGTAATGTAAACTTCTTTCGATGAACCACTCATTGACAATTTTGATCCCCTTCGAGTCTGCAAGACTCTTGACTTTTGCAGGAACATCGGTATAAGAGTAGTTGGATGGCACGACTATGATATTTGCACTAATGTCAGACACAATCTGACCACCTTCATCCGATATTACGGAAGTCAACTTCAATAGTTCGTTTTTAGAAAATCCACAAAGGTGAAATCCAATTTGCTTGAAAATGAGACTGGTACTATGAGCACTAACGGTGAAGAGATTAGCACGATGAGAGGAGTTGTGAGAATGAGAAGAATTGTGCTGTGCTTGGAGGACCGGTTCGGCGTTCCTATCGCAAATAAAAGTGCCATTTGCTGACCTTATGTGCCCCTTTTCAAACTCTGATCGATCCAAGTCAGCCCAAACTAGACAACTGCCGTGTCCAATCATCTCGGGATCTATTGTACTAATATCGTAATACATCCATTGTAGTGCAGCTCCTCGTTCGGCGCTATCAGTAACCCATTTGGGATGGACCACAGGAATCCCCCATTCGATTGCCTTTTCATATCTTTTACCTGACTTTTCAATGCTGACGACAGCCTTGTGAGAGGGTGTTAAAGATTCAGTCGGGTTACCTCCTAAATCAACGATGATCTTGGCAATGGCTTCTCGATGGAATTGAGATGAAGTGACATTGGACAGCCTAGAAAGACATATTGACATCCCATGGAATGGGCTCAGGAGAAAATTGTCGATAATAGATGAGTCCATTTCTTTGTTCTGAGTCCACAGGTCATAGATCGTGTTAACTGTATCAGGTAAAACAAATTTTATATCAAATCGTCTCTGGGCACAAAAATGGTATTTTGGAGTATCAATGCTTCCAACCAACAGGACATTTGTATCAGCTAAAAGATCGTTATGGAAAGCGCCACCCAACATCTCAATCTTCCACGCCAAAGTCGATCTTTGAGCAGTGTTGATAGAGGTGCTGCAAAACTTAAGCCCATGAAAAGGTAAGTTGTTATTACTTTCCATCGTTTATGAGTTTCTCAGTAACATCTTATATTCAACGTGCCGCAGCAGGCTTGATCTAAAGACTTAATTTCAAGATCTAGTTTTCGGAAAAAAAAAAAGATTCCAAATTACGTAACTCCCAATACGAGATTATGGCTAGTGTGAAACTTTTTGTTTTTTTTGCTGAGCAGTCTTTTCGTCGGATTATACTTACCGCGAGGTACAAGTTTTCAATAGAGGCTCTATAGTCAGCAATGCCACAATCTGCATCTCCTGCTTCACGGCAGGATTTTGTGGCAAGAGTGAGATATTTAAATGATCTTCCGCCACCTCCATGCCCTCCCAAGATGATAGAGCTAGAGTCATCATTGGAAGGTGACCCTCTGACGTTCTCCTCCCTCCTTTCCTCTGTTTTCCGCAAAGACCATTTCAGTAATCTAGTGACTCTGGATGCCGATTTGGGATTACATTTGAGTTTGCTAGATAACCCCAAGTGTATTGAAGAAAATACACTGTCACCAATCTCTGCACTTGCACCAGAATCTGGAGACAGCTCCTTGCTTCATCCTGAAGACAGGATTTTACTAACAGATCCAACAAAAACAGTTGCCTCTAAGGAGGCCAGCGTCAGTTTCTTACGCAGGACTCAATATATTTCTTCCGAAAGGACAGAACATATGCCCCCATATTCGGATTCATCCTTGTCTAAGTTGCGCATGAGAAGGCGGGAGGATTTTGATGCTAAATCTCAGAGTCGAAAAATCGAAAGAATGTTCGCTGATAGTGACAAAACTGAAAACCTTAGACAATTATTACATCCATCAAAACAGGGGATAAAGGCCAAAAAAGTCTGGAGTTTACTGCCTGACACATCCATGCTAGACCAGAACTTTTTTGACATAAAGTTTGCTAGTTCATCATCTCTGAAGAAGGAGAGAACGAACAAACGGAAAGCTGAAGAGCCATCAGATATCAAAGCACCACTTTTCAAATTAGTTTCTCTTAGTGACACCACAAAATTTATGACGCTGTATACTGCTAATGGCGAGGAATGTGACCAGGTGAATGCGTTGCTGAAGGATACCGCAGAAAATGCCCCGGTTTCGTCCATAGAGGATGCCAATTCATCAAGTAATAGAACATTCACATTTCAGAAATTGAGGGATTACGACAGCAATTCAAGAATGACCAACAATACTGGATTATTCCGTCAACTAGCCATAACTTTTGATGAAAGTTCCTCTACTGCTCTATTTGTTCCAATTAAAGGGAAGATTGAGCTCAAAAAGCGCCGCATCGACAACTTCTTAGAACCCAAGCTTAGGACTCTTAGTTACGATGAGATCAAGCTCAACATCAGGGAACCAAGTAGAATAGAAATTTATGAGCGTGACATACGCAGAAGTAATTTCGACCCCATGGAATTTGGGGCTGACGAAGAGGAAGCAAATGAGGAAGTTGCAAATGAGGAAGCTGCAAAAGAGGAAGTTGCAGTCAATACAAATACTGCTTGACTAAAAGTAGGTAATATATGGATTAGCGTGACGTAAACTTCTTTGTGAGCTTATACAGTTGTTTCACACTATAACACATAACCAGGATAGAAGACCAAAGACCAAAATAATGGGATAGATCATGAGTAAGATTCGCTTCTCACCATCATTATGATCAAAGCACGATTTTCCGGCCATGCCATAAATTACTGATTCTGTACCGATTTTTCGACAGTTATTCACAATGGCTAGTATCAACCACGAGCACAGAATAGACCATAAAAACATAATTGAGTTTATAATAAGCCTTAGCAATTTCCACGATATGAAAATAGAGCTCAACCCACCAAGGACAATCGGAAATAGCGTATATGAAAGGATGCTCATACACTGAAAAAATGATAGGCCTATAATACCCGATGTTGATTGGCCATTATCAGTCATTTGCGAGACAGGAGATACTAGTTGTATGTTGAGTGAAAGCACAGCCAGCACTATCCAAATAAGAGAAAAAGAAGCGCTGAATATTTGGGAAGATTCGGAAGATCCAGCTCCCCCAGAGCTCAATGTTTTACTCTGCAAGTAAGTTATTATCAAGCTGAATGAAAGAACGAATATCAGCGGACCCCATAAATCCCAATCAAGTATCTTTTGTATGGTTTCCTTGGAGTATTCATTGAATATCTGTGGATTCGTGCTTTCTTCGGGACTAGCGTCTTGATTGAAGGAATCTGTGTGCCCCATTATAGTTCCTGTTGAGGAAAATTGCTCACCGACTCTGCGGACGAGCATGAGCCTCTGCCGCAATCTTAACGGCCATAAAATAGAAAGTAGCTTATCTCCAATACTAGACAAATCTCTGCTTAACGTGGTCAGCACTGACTCATCTAATGTGTTTCCACCGCTGAACTGATGTTCTCGAATTTCGACGTTGTTATTCTCCAGGATTGGATCTAAGAAGCTTTGAGGGTTGGCAAAACTAGTAGACGTTAAAAAGTCGGTGGCGGTATTCGGCATCAGATGTTGTGCGGTCTCCAGCGATTCTGATGGCACCTTGGGGTGGGACCTAGTCTCTGAGCTTCCCGAATTATCTGTTTGAGGCATATCAGGCTTGATTGATATATCAGACTCTACCTGATTCAGCGCATTATCTAAAGCCCAATTGCCAGTCATTATGAAGTTAAGCTTACAATTTCAAAAGGATTTCAAGAAGGTATTCTTTAGGGTACCTAAGTGTGCAAAGTTATTATGACAGCCTGGCCGCTTTTTGTTTCCTAATAAAATTTGAATACTGCGAATTTAGTAAAGAAGTGCATTATCAAAGCTTGGAGCAAGGTATCAAACGATTCTACAGAAAGAATTTGCCAGATGGAACTATACAGGATGATCTCTGAAGCCAAAAATTGACATACATAAGATGACGAAGAGTCCTAATTAGGCTCATATTTAATTAGCGGGGAACCAGGATCGTTGATAGCCGAACGAGCAGAAATCATACTGTATGTAGATACAACAACCGAGTATATATATTCACGTATGCCGCAACAATGACAACTCAACCTGGAAGTGTGCTTCCTCCATATTATCAATTGGGAATGTAGGTTGCATTACAGGACATGTTAATTGCACAAGTAAATACGCTTGATGCCTTTTCAATTTTATGAAAATCAGATTTACTTTGAACTCCCAAGCCCACCTTTTCGACTATTTCAAGGGGACAGCGAAGTTGGCCTTCGAGGTGGATTGATTTCCATTTCACCATCTGAGCAAGACGAACTATCTGAATCAGAACTGAAAACAAAGTTCTTGCGGCCAAGATTCATCGAGGCCGGGGAACCAGGTATGGAAAACTTGGAGCCCCCAGACTGGCCGGACATTTGATATAGTTGAGGTTTGGACCCTGCACCAAGACTCCTTCTAAGACCAGTATGTCCAAGATCTGAACCGGCCAAGCCGACCTTCGTTGTTGAAAGACTAGCTGCTAAATTCGAATCTGATGAACCATACCCAATACTTGTGTTGCGTTTGATCTGGGAGCATGATGGGCTATTTTCGGAGTGTTGAGGCTTCTGATATCGCAAGGGCTGATCTGATAATTCACTTGGTACGAATTTTTGCAAATGAGAAGGGATATCCTCATGTACTAGCTGTGATGACGTAGGAGGATGTGCAGTTTCGGTTTTAGGTCGTGTATCAACAGGCGAGATAATCAGGTTTTCAGGATGTCCATTGGCATCGACATCCATAACGTCCTCGATTTGACAACTTTCCGGTACATCAAACAATTGAACATTCTGTTGGCTATTAACGACAGAATACAACGGATTTGTTGAGTCGTCGTAAACAGTGTTGTAATCATAATAATAATCGTACCCTCGGTTGGTCTTGGTGTTATGCGATACAGTATAAGGATCAGACTCATCATCATCGGAACAAGTTTTTAGTGTTGTGGCAGGAAGTGGTGCAATAGTTGCAATAGGTTTTATGTCACCTGTCAATGGGGACCCATCTCTAGTGTTAGCACCGGAGGAGTTTCGCGACCAATTAGGAGGTCTGTGAGATATGTTTGGAGAGGTCACTCTTGTATGTAGCATGAAACCTCCTTCATCATCTCCATCATCGTCGTCTTCCTCGTCATAACCCATGTCCTCCTCATCATCATTGTCATATCTTGAGCGTAGTATTGTCTGGAGAGGTCTTCCATCATCGGAATCATTTTGATAATCATTATCTGCAGAAAAGTCCGACTCTGAGTCATCATCAATTGCAATACATTGATCAACTCTCATATTGAAATGGATCTTTCTCTCTTTTTTATTCGAAACAGAATTCGGTTGAGCGTGGCCATCCACTTTATGAACATCCTCAGTTGTCTGGTTAGCTGAAAGTGTGAATGGAGAAGCATCGCCATTGTTTGTGTGATTCGCAGAACTATTAGCAGGAGAAGAAGAATAGTTCAATGAATTCGACATCGGTTCCAAAACAGGACTTCCTTTGAATTTATGGTCGTGCTCTTCGAGAAGACTTTGAAGTCTTGAATAAGAAGCATCACTAATCATTTTTTCTACATTGGAGCGCTTTTTCAATATTGGTTTCAGATGATCACAATGCTTATCTTTCTCATTATTGTCCCTATCATTATCATTTTTCATTGCACTGGTATTTTTGCTGTGAGTTGCCAAGTCGACATTATCCTTAGAACTTCCACCAGACGACTCATGTAACTTTTTAGGCTGATGTTTTTTGAAATCCACTATATCAAAATCGTACTTCTCCTCTTTGTAAAGTGGCCCATACAACCAAGTAACATCGCTTTCCTTACTCCAGTTTAGTTCAGCAGGGGATATCGTCTTCAAGCCGTTTCGAGCCTGAGCCCATGTTCTCCATGATGCATTCTCAAGTCTTGCTGAATTTGCAAAATCATTTCTCTTCAAAGTTACGTATCTCCAGGATTTGGATATCTCCAATTCATCCCAATTATGGGATAAATAATCGACATGCTGTTCAGGAGAATGCTGTATATCAATGTCATCATGCAAGTGCTGTTGAGAAGTTAGCGTAGGAGCAGCAGTCTCATTCTGTTTGCTAGGTTGATATTTTCTCAATTGATGTTTTGGTATTAGATTGACAGAATTACCCGATCCCGTAGAACTAAGCGAGTCTTCAGAAAAGCAGTTTTCGTCAGATGTCTCCTCACTTTGGAAACTCTGTGGAGAGTTGGAGGGAATTGTTTTTTTGCTCTTTGAAGCAGACGGCACGACACTCGTATAGAATCGAGGCACATTTTCTGTCTCATCGTGTGTTGAGTTCATATTCAATTTGTGCAAAGTCTCGTCAGAAACAAAGTCTTTTGAACTCAATTTTCCTTCTTTATCTGGAATAGAATCAGTATCTATAGAGTGGGTCTGCGTAATAAAGTCATCAAGCAGACCCATGGACCTGGTCCTCTTCAGTTTGAACGTGGTCTTATTGAAATGATCGTCATCCTTAGCTTCAATATGTTGCGAAGTTGTTGGGCCTTCATTGAAAACCTCCTGAGACATCCTTCAAAAGATACTTTACCGCAATCTTTGAGCTTATATGATTCTTGCTTGTAATTGGCTTACACGAAAGATAAGCTTTTGATCTTGCACCTGCTAGACATAAACTGTAATCTTTCGAAAACAGATAGTAGCAGAGTCAAACGAATTTATCGAAGATAAATCCAAGTCGAGTGTGGTATATCACTTCAATTTTATGGAAACAAAACTTCAAATTAAATTTTGAAAACCCACGCCCAACCCATTTCTTTTGTTTTTTAATTTGGGGAGGTCGGAAAATGAGTTGGAGTAATTCCGCCACACCCATACACCAGTTGTTACACGTACAAAAACCAAGGTACAGGATTCTACTTCAACAGCAACAAGTCACTTTGTTAGCATCCCGATGTATATTCGGCAGAGTGTGAGAGCGATATGGCCCAATTAACCTATAGTGGACACTTAACATTATTATAAGCACAAACCTGAGCTTCAATTTGTTCATTGCAACCCACACCAATTCAATCAGAAAGCCCTTATGCTACTTCATTAGGCGTATTCTATCTAGTTGCAAATTTTGGTAACCTATTGATGCTGCATCAAGACTCAGTCATAGTAAAGTAAAAGGTTTCCATGAAATTTGACTGAGAACTTGAACTATTACTCTCCGAAATTTGGGCGTTTGCGTTACGATCGTGTGTGCAGACAAAAACTGGCTAGTTTGACCAACTAGCTGAGAAAGCCTACAAGTTGGAGACAATACAGAATGACAGACATCACCAAGATCTGAGTGTGAACAGATTTTATACTGATCCTGAGCTCTTGAGCAAATCCAACAGAAGCTATGAATAATCGCCATATTTATAATCTGAAATCAAGCTCAACTACTGGTATCTATTCAATAACCTAAATTCTATATCAAGCGTTTCAAATTGTTTACCACTCATTAGCTCCATCCGGATTTATATCGTGCAGAAAATAGGAGGCTTGCTATTACCAATGATACAGATGCCTGGTTTTTTTTTTATCCGAAAATGTTTGGGGTTATTGTGTGCGTCGAAATTTTCGGAAAGCATAATTCTATTTTGGGAAACCGCGAACTCAAAATAGGGTTTTTACGCAGAGCATGTGGTAAAGCTGCGTGCCTTAATTCGTTTAGAATTCGGCGTGCTTTAAAATAGGTGGGAATCCTTTATTTACGAAATTAAAAAGTTATCTCCAAACGTTTAAGAGCTACTAGGACTACGCAGTCATTTTTCCAACTACTTACATTCCTTATCTTTCTGTTATTGTGCTCATTTGAAAACCTAAAGGATAACCTACTGTTTGCTCGTTCCATTCATTTGAAAATCGAAAGGTAAGTTGAATAACAAGCAAAGCAGAGCACTCCGGGGTGAGAAGCGAAAAAGCACTTCATAGGCAACATGATCGGTGACAGCGGTAATTCAACTGCAAAATTGGGCATTTATGGTTTTGTTCTTTCTCCGGCCGGTTTCGCAAGATAATTGTCAATCGCAATATTAGGTTATTCCCTAAACGCGTTTGCAACGTTTCCTATTTCCTCTGCGAGAAGTCTCCGAGGAAACACATGAGCTGAATTGATCCTCAGATTATTACCAAAATACTGAGATGCTATTTTCCACAGATAGCTAGCAAGTCACATGAGCGGGTGATGATTGTTCTGTTTTTTCATACCAAGATGGCTTGTCCGCTTCAAGATTTCTTGTTTTGGAGTCGTGCATGTTAACGGAATGAAAATAAAACAAACAGTCACACACCGGCCACCTTGATTACCTAAACTTATTTTTTATGCGCCACAAATGCTCCTAGATTGGGCTGATTTTCGCGTATCAATAGGCCGCAGCAAAGTAGAAGGAACGTTTTATTGCGCGACGATGCATATTTTCACGAAACAAGGCCCAAACATAAACAACAAAATTAAGACGCGACTCAACCAAAAGTACCCCTGTTTGCACATCGTTGTCGCTTAGCTGCCATAAATTTAAACAAGCCGAATTCCTTTTCTCTGTCCAGCAGTCCCCTTCTCTTCTCACGAACCTCTTGCTTTGGCGCCTTTTAATGAAACTAACATTATCTTCTAGCTAAGATGAAATTTGCTACTTCAATATTGTTAGCCATAAGTGCCTCGCTGATTAATTCGAGTTATGCCGCTCCAGCACCAAAAGCTGGAGATGTTGCCAACACAGAGGAATGCACCACAACTGCTAAAAGCTATCATGCTCATCATCAGCACAAACGTGCAGTCGCGTATGACTATGTTTACGTGACTGTCACTGTTGACTCGGCTGGGAATACCGTGTCTCCAACGATTGAAGCATCTCTCGAGAGCAAAAATACTGACTTAGCAACTTCTGATTCATCCTCTTCCAGCTCTTTGTCTTCTCAGTCAACGACCATTGATGGCTCTTCCAGCTCCACTTCGTCTTCTACTACGAGCTCGAGCTCATCTTCAAGCACTTCCAGCTCCTCTTTCGGATCATCTAAGGGCATAAGTGGTGATCTATCTGCCTTCTCCGATCCAACTGAGAAATTTGAGGACGGAGTTATCTCTTGCTCTAGTTTCCCATCTGGTCAAGGTGTGATCCCATTGGATTGGCTTGGATTTGGTGGATGGTCTGGAATCTATCACCCATCTGACACTTCCACAGGTGGTTCATGCACTGAAGGCTCCTATTGCTCATATGCATGCCAGCCAGGTATGTCTAAAACCCAGTGGCCTTCTGATCAACCATCTGACGGAAAATCTGTTGGTGGTCTATACTGTAAGGGAGGTAAGCTTTACAGAAGCAATCAAGACTCTGACTACCTATGTGAATGGGGTGAAGACTCTGCTAGAGTCGTGTCCAATATTGATATGTCTGTTGCTATTTGCAGAACTGATTATCCGGGCACCGAAAACATGGTGATTCCAACTGTGGTCGAAGCAGGTGGTGAGAACATATTGACGGTGGTCGATCAAGATACTTACTACCAGTGGCAAAACAAAAAGACCTCCGCTCAATACTATGTTAACAATGCTGGTGTGTCGTACGAAGACGGTTGTATCTGGAGTGAACCCGGCACTACTGTCGGAAACTGGGCACCTTTGAACTTCGGGGCAGGATACACAGACGGCGTGACTTACTTGTCTTTGATTCCTAATCCGAACAACCGGGAAGCTGCCAATTTCAACGTGAAAATTGCTGCTTATGATGACGACAGTGAGGTTTTGGGAGAATGCTATTACGAAAATGGTTCTTATAATGGAGATGGCGATGACGGTTGCACAGCTTCCGTCACCAAGGGAAAAGCCAAGTTTGTCCTTTACAACTGAACTTTATTGCCCGTGCCTTTATTTCTCGAGAGAGCTTGCTCATCACTTTGTTGAATAGCAAGGCGGTAGACCTTTTAATCTGCTCAGATGTGTGTTTACGGTTTCTTAGAGTATTTAAATTGTAGTATTGAAATATTTGTATGCGAAGCGATTTTTTTTAAGTTCCCTGAAATACAAAATTTTTTTTTTTATAGAACAGGACTGCAAGAACTACTACTGAATCTATGGACACGCAACAAAGTAATAAACCTCACAGGTCCAATTCGAAAAGGGCAACAGCCAAAATGAAGCTGAGCTCGCAGGGAAAGAATGCAAAAGCTTTTGCAGTTTCAAGGCCTGGTAAATTACAGAAACAGGCCAAGAGATCAAGCGATCTCAATGAAAAGAAGTTACATGTTCCTATGATTGACAGGACTCCGGATGATGATCCTCCTCCTGTGATTGTTGCAGTGGTTGGCCCAAAGGGCACCGGAAAAACAACCTTGATTAGATCTCTGATACGAAGATTAACGAAGACTACATTGACAGATATCAAGGGTCCTATTACTGTCGTGAGTGGCAAAAGAAGAAGGCTCACTTTTATAGAATGTGGTAATGATCTTAACTCAATGATAGATATTGCGAAAGTTGCAGATCTGGTTTTGCTCATGATTGATGGCAATTTTGGATTTGAGATGGAAACAATGGAATTTCTGAATATTGCGCAACATCACGGAATGCCTAAGATACTTGGAGTAACGACTCATCTTGACCTTTTCAAAAAGCCGGCGACTTTGCGAGCCTCGAAGAAACGATTGAAACACCGTTTTTGGACCGAAGTTTATCAAGGGGCAAAGCTTTTCTATTTATCGGGAGTTATCAATGGCCGCTACCCCGATAGAGAAATATTGAATCTCACGCGCTTTATTTCTGTGATGAAATTCAGACCTTTGAGATGGAGAAATGAACATCCATATCTCCTAGTCGACAGAATTATAGATTTGACGCATCCTTCTTTAATAGAAAAAAATCAGAAGGTCGATCGAAAGGTTGCTGTTTATGGATACATACATGGCACTGCATTGAAATCGGAGAACCAACGAGTTCATATTGCCGGAGTGGGGGATTATACAATTTCTCATGTAGAGAAATTACCAGACCCTTGTCCTACACCTTACTACGAGCAAAGGTTGGAAGAAATTGAACGGGAACAAAGTAAGGATCCAGAGCAATGTGGGCAAAAGAGTGTCTTGAGGCGTGGAAGAAGAAAGAGATTAGAAGACAAACAAAAAATTATTTACGGGCCTATGTCAGATGTTCAAGGGGTTCTAATAGATAAAGATGCAGTTTATATTGACGTTGGAAGCGAGTCATTCAAAGAAGGAGCCGAGCAAGGCCTTGGTGAGAGAATGGTGACCAACTTACAGAAAGCTAGTGAGACATTGGATGCAAGATCTTTCAGTAAGGTACAGTTGTTTAGTGACACTCCTGAGTCACTTGCAAACGACGTGCACAACGTCGAGGATGAGGCTTTCAGACAAGATAGTGGAAGAAAAGAGCTTAGACAGGCTCGTCCTTATATGTTTGATGAATCCGAAATCTCTGATGACGCGGAAGTTTCCTCCAGTGATGCAGAATCCCATGACAAAGGCGACGATCGAGAAGATCTCAACTTTATGGAGGACATCCGGAGCTCGTTTCAAATGCCAATGGAACTTGAAGAATCAAACATTGAGTCTGACTCCGATTTTGATTTATCGGATGATGATACATTGGAGGCCAAATCCTACTGGCAAGAAGTTGGCTCGAAGCTGAATAGCAATGAAGCGAAGAAGACATGGGATATTAACAAGCTATTGTATATGGATAATATTGACCCGAATGATGCAATATCCAGATGGAAGAAAGAAGAAGAAGGACCGGTATATTCGAGCCCCAATGAAGATGGAGATGCTGACGAGAAAGAGAATTACAGGGAGGATCAAGATTCGGAAGAAAATGATAATTTCTTTGTCAAGAAGGACATCTCCGGTAACTTTAAGCAGAGCCATGAAGTTCTTTATGGAAACGATACTTCTGCGAACAAATTACGTGACAAATGGCTTGTGGATAATTCGGCTTTGGGCAGGTTGAAAAGTCGTTTTTTTGTTTCTCCAAAACAAAGATTGAAAGAGGTAGATGCCGACGACAGTGAACCAGAAGCGGATTACGGAGATTTTGAAGATCTGGAAAACGAAGAGGGAAATTCACCTGCTTCTTCTGAGGAATCTTGCGGAAACGATGCAGGGAATGATTCGCTTAGTCCTGATACTGAAGCTACCGACATCCTAGAGACAAATGATTTGGGCTTAGCTAGTGGAGACGAATCCAGTGATTTGAGTATTGAGCGGCAGAGGGAGCGCAATGCGAAGAGAAAAGAGAAATTGAAGCAGCAATTTGAGGAAGAAGAAGATTTAACAAACAACGATATATTTGACGAAAATGATACCTGGTATGAATACCAGAAAGCAAAAATGGCTAAACAGCTTGAGATTAACAAAGCTGAGCTTGCTGACATGTCAGAAGACGTCAGGGCACATATAGAGGGTTTCGCTGCAGGGTCGTATGTCAAGTTGACATTCAATAATTTGCCTATGGAAGTGATAGAAAACTTTGATCCAAAATATCCTTTGGTTATTGGTGGTCTTTTACAAACGGAAGATAGATTCGGATTTTTGAATGCAAGAATTAGAAGGCACAGATGGCACAAAAAGGTTTTGAAGACTAACGATCCACTGATTTTATCTTTAGGATGGAGGAGATTTCAAACGCTTCCAATATACACAACCTCCGACTCAAGAACCAGGAATAGAATGCTGAAGTATACCCCCGAACACACATATTGCTTTGCTACTTTTTACGGGCCTTTGGTAGCACCAAATACTACTTTTTGTGGTGTACAAGCAGTTTCGAAGGAGCTCACGACCGGCTCTTTCAGAATAGCTGCTACTGGTATTGTTGAGGACTTGAATGCTGACGTGGAGATTGTAAAGAAATTGAAGCTTGTTGGTTACCCCTACAAGATTTTCAAGAACACGGCGTTCATCAAAGATATGTTTTCTTCTGCTTTGGAAGTTGCAAAGTTCGAAGGAGCCACTATCCGAACGGTATCCGGACTTCGGGGAGAAATTAAGAGAGCACTTTCAAAACCAGAAGGACATTTTAGAGCAACCTTTGAGGACAAAATTTTGATGAGTGATATTGTTTTTCTGAAGACCTGGTACCCGATCAAGCCAAAAAAGTTTTACAACCCCGTGACATCTCTGCTCCTATCTGACAAGGACAATTGGAGAGGTATGAAGCTTACGGGAACTTTAAAGGCAGAAAATAACATATCAGCAGTGTCCGATCCTGATTCCGAGTACAAGAAGATTGAACGAAAGGAACGGAAATTCAATCCGCTCAAAATTCCTCGTTCCATTCAAGCGAACCTGCCTTATAAGTCTCAGTTACACCAAATGAGAAAACAGAAGAGGCAAGGATATTTGCAAAAGAGAGCAGTCGTTGTGGGAGGTGAAGAGAGGAAAGCAAGAAGCATTGTTCAAACCGTTCAAACTATCAAAAAGGATAAGGATCAAAAACGTTCGATGAAGAAACAAGAAAAGAATGCAGAAAGATTTCGAAAGTTGGCAAAACTAGAGGAGGCTAAAAGAGATAAAGAGAAGCAACGAAAGAAGGAGTTTTTCTCGAAAAGTAAGAAGCGTAAACTGGCAACAGCCAGCCTCGCCGCCTCCAGTGATGCATCCGGTAAGAAAAGGAAAAATTAAAGTAACAAAAGGTATCTATGCGATTGGATAACAGTATAAGAGCCTGTCTCCAAGCCGTCAAATTACAATACCAACTATTATTAAAGTGATAATTTAATTTAAATGTATTGTGACAACCATCTGAATCCTTCGCCGTAACCTTGTCTCATGACGATAGAGCACATGAAAACCTCAACTGGTCTCGTGTCGGTAAGTTGGACTCTGTCTTTACCGGTTGTGTTGTACAAGCCCAGAAAATGTCTCAGTTCATTTTCACTAACAGCTTTTGGAGAATCAATCTTATTGCCGAGAATCAAAAAGGGAACTTTGGCCAACTCTTCGATGGCAAACAAAGCATCCAATTCAGCCTTTGATTCTTCGAATCTTTCAGAATCAGCAGCATCAACTAAATAGACAATACCGTTGACTTCAGGGAAATAATCTTTCCACAGTCTTCTAGCCTGCTGGTGGCCTCCAAGATCGAAGGTAGTGAAACGAACATTTCCGATAGAGAGCTCTTCGGAAGTAGGATGCAAAGTCGGCTGCAAGGTGGCCATACGGTCATTTTTTAGCATATGGAGCAATGTAGTTTTGCCAGCATTATCTAAACCCAAAAATAGCAGCTTAGCATGTTTATTCCATAATCCCAAAGAAGCTAAAACATCTTGAACTGTAAATGCTCGACATACAAATAAGCACTCTTGTGTGCTTATTTGTGGACGGCCCCGTTAGTACCTATCTCAAGTGATTGTTATTCCAACTTACACCACTCCAGAATCCACATTTCGCTTGATGTCTAGTATCTTAAACTTCTAGTTATCAAAAGATGAGATTGAATGTTCAATAAAAAACGCAGATCAAACGATGAATGCTTCGTTCACTCTTTCTGAATCCGACAGGGTTATGAGCGCTCATTAAAAATTTCCCACTCTTTCGATTCCAATTACATAATCACGACCAACGAAAGACAAATTTAGTGAACACGAAAACAACAATCTGTTGCTCTTAATAGCTCTCTCATAAGCTATTTTTATTCACTTTATCACTTGTTGGTTTTTGAGTTATTGAGAACGGCTATGAAGTTGGATATTAAGGTACGTTCACTATATTGTCGACCCGTTGCTGACAACTTAAAAGAAACTTTCAAGTACCAGGTCAGATCGAGTGAAGGGCATCGATTTTCATCCTACAGAGCCTTGGGTACTAACAACTCTTTACAGCGGAAAAATTGAAATATGGTCCTATGAAACCGGATCCGTTGTCAAGTCAATTGATGTTACCAATGTCCCCGTTAGAGCAGGTAAATTCGTCGCCCGCAAAAATTGGGTTGTTGTTGGATCTGACGATTTTCAGATTAGAGTTTACAATTACAATACTGGTGAACGCGTTGCTCAATTCGAGGCGCACCCTGACTATATTAGATCCATTGCAATCCATCCGACTAGATCGTACGTATTGACTTCGTCCGACGATTACACAGTCAAGCTCTGGAACTGGGACAATAATTGGAAATTGGAGCAGATTTTTGAAGGACACCAGCATTATGTGATGTCTGTTGCTTTCAATCCAAAAGATTCCAATACCTTCGCGTCTGCTTGTTTGGATAAAACTGTGAAGATCTGGTCTCTCGGATCTAGGGTTCCAAACTTTACTCTACTTGCTCCCGAATCAAAAGGTTTTAACTACGTTGATTACTATCCGCATGGAGACAAGCCATATTTGATCACGTCTTCTGACGACAAATCAGTTAAAGTTTGGGATTACCAAACGAAGTCTTGTGTTGGTACATTGGAGGGGCACTCTTCTAATGTGTCATTTGCGGTCTTTCATTCTGAACTGCCTTTGATCATCTCTGGATCTGAAGATGCTTCCATCAAAATCTGGAACTCAAATACATACAAGCTGGAAAAGTCGCTGAATTATTCAATGGAGAGAGCTTGGTGTGTGGCAACAAAGAAGGGTTCAAGTTTGATGGCTGTAGGTTTCGACACTGGTCACGTTGTCGTCAAATTGGGAGATGACAAACCTTTATTGTCCATGGACCCTATGGGAAAAATCATTTACTCTAAACATACTGATATATACAATTCGGTGATCAAGGCTTCTGATGCGCAATTAGAAGATGGAGAAATTCTGCCTCTGACTCACAAAGAGCTAGGAAGCATTGAAATATTCCCGAGTACATTGAAACATTCTCCAAATGGGAGGTTTGTCACGGTGACCGGAGACAACGAATACATCATTTACACTGCACTGGCGTGGAGAAATAAGATGTATGGTTCGGCTTTGGATTTCGTTTGGGCCCAGGACTCTAATTATTATGCTATCAGAGAATCGGCATCGTCAGTCAAAATATACAAAAACTTCAAAGAAAAGATAAGCGGTCAAATTGATCTGATCTATGCTGCCGATAAGCTCTTTGGCGGAACTTTATTAACTGTGAAATCTGATGGGTTTGTGTCGTTGTACAATTGGGATACAGGCGCTTTGGTAAGAAGAATTGATGTTGAAGCGGAAGATGTTGTCTGGTCAGAAAATGGCGAATTGGTGCTTATTGTTTCGAGCGAAACTGCATATGCCCTTAGGTTTGACAAGGACGTCTTTCAAGAGCACTTGAATAACGGAACGATCGATCCCCAGGAGGGATGCGAGGATTGCTTTGAAGTTCTTTACGATATTCAAGATCAAATAGTGAGCGGTCAATGGGTTGGTGATGTGTTTATTTATACCTCTTCTTCGAATAGGCTCAATTATCTGGTTGGAGGTTCAATCAACAACTTGGCTCACTTTGACAAAACAATGTATTTGTTGGGGTACCTACCAAGAGATAATAAGGTTTATGTTGCTGACAAAGACATCAACATCGTCTCTTATTATCTCTCGCTGTCTGTGTTAGAATTCCAGACAGTTGTTTTGCGTGGCGACCTTGATCAGGCAGATGAACTAATGGCGAACATTGACCCTAAAGATATCCCAAAAATTGCCAGGTTTTTAGAACAACAGGGCTTCAAAGAGAAAGCATTAGAACTTACAAATGACTCTGAGCAGAAATTTGAGTTAGCGATTGAAACGATGAATCTTACTCTCGCACAAGAAATTGCGGAGCAAGAAAACAGTCCCCGTAAATGGAAAAAGCTGGGGGACATTGCCATGGCAAATTGGAATCTGAAGTTAGCCAACGAAGCTTTTATCAAGTGTAAGGACTATCCCTCACTTTTACTTCTCTACACTTCACTTAATGATGTTGCTGGCCTGAAGAAATTGAGTGACGAGTGCTTTATCGCTGGCAAATTCAATTTGGCGTTTTCTTCTGCATGGGCTGCATCTGACCTGTCCTCTTGTTCTGAAATACTTCTCAAGACAGACAGACCTGCAGAGGCTGCATTGTTGAGCAAAGCGTATGAAGACAGTAAAACTTCTATTGATGTCAAAATTTCACAATGGAAACTCTATTTGACTGGAATAGGGAAAGAGAAACTTAGCTCAAGACTGCTTGAGATGAAACAGAACAAAAGGGAAGCGGCACCTGAAAATCTAGAGGAAACCCTCATTGATTTGGAAGAAGAGTAAACTAAGTGAGTCGGCAGATTTTTGAAGAAATGACTGCATTTGAGGTAATATACATGAGAATAAATTAGGTGGTGTAGTGCGATGTTTGATAATTCATCTCCCAAAGCAGATGCGTAGCCGACCAACCCACCGTTCGTTGATTGCAGCTATTTGAATCTGTAATTTCTTGAATGTTATGTCATGCGGCTCGAAAAACTTGTTTCTTATCGATGAAGTTGTCAATTTTATCCAAGCAAACAAAATAGCATTCCTTTGATTCTGGCCTGCATGCTTTTGGCTTGAAACGGATGACTTTGCGGAAGACAAGAGAAAGTCTTTTTTGAAGGGATTTATCGTCTTGCCCAGTAAAAAACTTTATCACAGAACTGCCCCCTTTCTTCAGTAAGTCTATGGACGTTACCAGGGCGGCATCACATAAGTCCATTGACATGGCGTGATCTCTAAAGGATAACCCTGAAGTATTAGCCATCCTTATATATGGCATGTTAGTAGTCTGATTTGCAAATCCTCCTATTTGAGGAAAGGGAACATACATATCGCTTAAAATCACATCCACAGGTCTGTATAACTCATCGTTGCAAAGTTTGCGCAAAGAGTGCTCTCTCTCAACTTTCTCAAGTTTGCTTAATTCAGATTCTGAATCTATGACTGACGTACCTTGTATTTCAAAGGCCATTTGATTACTTATCACCTCGATTGGCTGAAATTTTTGTTTCAATTTCTCCATCTCAACTACTTTAAAATGTTCCTTTATGCTTTCATGAGTCTTCTTACTCAAGATATTTGCTTGCATAGAAGATGATCCATTAGGAGGTTGGTATACGAGCAGATCCACCCCAAGAATGTTTGAACCTTTCCGACAACGCTCGAGGGCAACCTGACTCCATGCTCCTGGAGCCGCGCCCAGATCGAGTATGTTGGAAGTTCGGTTTTGCGAAAATATTCCAAATTTTTCATCGATCTGAAGTAGCTTGAACGCGGCTCTTGACTTGTAATCGTAATGTCTTGCGTCGCGCGTGTACAAATCGGTTCTCTGTCTTTGAATCCATCTGTGAGAAGAGCCTGATTTCTTTGAGTATCTTCTCGTCAGCCAACTAAATAACTTCGACTCCGTCTGAGTATACATCCTGTAGGTGACTTTAGTGGCCACCGCAGGCAGCCCCTTAAACATATTTCATTAAAATTAGCTCAAACTGAACCGTACACAGCCTTGACAAGTTTTAGGGTCAAAACACATCACGTGACATGAGAAAAGTTTGTAACCCTCAAGATGAAAAAAAAAAAAACAAGAAAAACGAGCTGGAATAAATTTTCATCTTACTGCTATTGTCGAACAGACCGAAACAGAACGGTATTACCTATTAGTAGGGAGACAGTGAATAAGCAAGATGTCCAAAGTTAGCGCTACCCAGGTGAGAGAGAATGTCAAGGAAATCCTCAAGTTTTCCAATGAGACCAAAAAGAGAAACTTTTTGGAGACTGTCGAGCTACAAGTTGGTCTCAAAAACTACGACCCGCAAAGAGACAAGCGTTTCTCTGGTACCTTGAAACTACCACAAGTGCCAAGGCCAAATATGACCATTTGTATCTTCGGTGATGCTTTTGATGTTGACAGAGCCAAGTCACTTGGTATTGATGCTATGTCTGTTGATGACTTGAAAAAGTTAAACAAGAACAAAAAGCTTATCAAGAAGCTGGCCAAGAAGTACAATGCTTTCATTGCTTCTGAAGTTTTGATCAAGCAAGTGCCAAGACTGTTGGGTCCTCAGCTCTCTAAGGCTGGTAAGTTCCCAACTCCAGTCTCCCACAATGACGACTTGTATTCTAAGGTTACTGATGTGAAGTCCACTATCAAGTTCCAGCTGAAAAAAGTTCTGTGCCTGGCTGTTGCTGTTGGTCACGTTGAGATGGAGGAGGATGTTCTTGTCACTCAAATCATGATGGCCATCAACTTCTTGGTCTCCTTGTTAAAGAAGAACTGGCAAAACGTTGGCTCTCTTGTCATCAAGTCCTCCATGGGTCCTTCTTTCAGACTCTATTAATTCTAGTATACTTTCAATAAAGTAAGTTTCAAAACTAGAAAATTAATTTCGAACTGCAGTAACTCAAAGTTTTGTAAGAATTCAGTTCAGCTTTAGTTCAAGTTTACGTCGACCCATATAAGTTCTCAGCTTGCGCTGTGTAAGCAGCAAGTGGCACTAGTATATAATGTCAGAATCCGAGACAGATGTTTCTGTTGAATTTCTTGAGGAGAAAACCGTGAGTAATGACCATCATATTATCAACCTAGATAGTGACGAGGATTCTGCTGAGGAAAAAGCTAAATTTCAGACATCTCGATTGAAGCGAAACACCTCAAAACGTGATGCGGAGGAAATCACCGCAGATGCAGAAGCTCATGGGCTGAAGAGGCCGAAGTTACGCTGTTCTGCCGAAGGCAGGCAAGAAATTCCAAGATTTCAATCTCCAATTAGACTGATCTCCAACGCTCCATACTGCAAGAGTTTTCCACCATCATCTAACAAGGATACCGTTACTTTGTTTGATTTGGTGGGTTCCAGAATACTCGAAAGCAGCTACCAGTTTAATATGCTTATAGACTGTGAGTTTTTGCTACCTTTCTTCAAGGCGGATCCGTTGAATTTTGAGCTTATTCTCATTGGCGTGCAATCCAATATTGCAATTGAAGAGGTTCACCGTCTTCAGTATCGGATAAAAACAGTTGATGTTTCTCCCAAGTTGCCTAACTGGGGAACTCACCATTCGAAATTGATGATCAATTTCTTCCATGATGATACATGTCAAATCGTCATCCACACGATGAATCTAACTCACACAGACTATCTGGCTCAAACCCAAATGTGCTGGATATCCCCTAGATTAAGAAAATTGAATTCTCATGCCCGCACACATGAGAAGAAAAAGAATTTTGATCCTATCTGTGATGTTGGCTTAGTTTTCAAAAGGGATTTTCTACGATACCTTTACACATACGAAAACTCTGTGGTTTCCTCATTAGTCGAACAATTGAAAGCATTTGATTTCTGTCCCATTGACGTCGCCTTTGTTTGTTCAAGCCCGGGACGTTATGAGTTCGACTTGAATGACCACGCGAAAACAGATTCAGATGATATGGATGACAGACAGTTGTATGGTTATGGGAATTTGCGCCAAATCCTAAACCGCTATAAACTGACTACTCCAAACGACGCAAAACTTATAATGCAAGTCTCCTCGATCAGTGCACCACTTGATAATAGGCATACAAACATTGGTACACACGTTTTGTCGAGCATTGTAGAAGGGTCCCAAGCAATCGTTAAGCAACCAAACCATAAGTTTGGAGGAGGAACTGGGGTTGAGATAAATATTATCTGGCCGACAGAGGAGGAGATTATGAATGCACATTATGGCCACATATCAGGACACGCAGTAATGTTCAAATCTAGAGCAACCAACGGCTGGCGCGCTTATGAAGATCAAGCTAGATTTCTAAGATCATTTTTCTATAGATGGTCCTCCAGACCGTCCTCTCAATCTGTTGCAGGAAGAAGTAATTTATCGCCACATGTCAAATCTTACTGTGTGACGAAAAATGACTTCGAGACATTGGAGTGGTTTCTTTTAACTTCAGCCAATCTTTCGAAACAAGCATGGGGTGCACCTGCCCGTGGATTTGGAGCAGTTTTTCAAAGCGAAACACAGACCAAGCATGTCTACACAGTAAAGTCTTTCGAAGCAGGTGTCCTTGTCATTCCTGCATGCATAAAGACAAAATTCAAGATAGACAAATCGTTTGCGCTGACTCCCGTACAAGGAACAGACTTTTATGAAGGCGTGAATGATGACACTGTACACTATCCAATTAGACTACCTTATGATACTCCTTTAAAAAAGTACTCTGATAATGATCGTCCATGGACGACAGAAAAATTGGAGCAGATTTATAATACAACATAGAAAATCAATAAAATGGTCTATGTCAGAGTCTATGAAAATTCGAGCTTTTAAGCTTTTGTAGCCGCTGTGGTGCAAAGACTGAGGATTGATGACATGCAGCAGCTAAGACAGGTCGTAAAAATATTTCCCGAGCTGAGATCCAGATCGCAGCAATATATGGAAAAATAATACTCATGGCACTCGCTTTCTTCTCGTTGATATCCTGGTTTCTTGGGTGTGATAGAATTAACAAAAGCTTTTGTAGGTTCTTCAGTAGATTGAGGTTGAACGTTATGTACCAGTCGATCGCTATTTTCATTGATGTTTTGAGAAGTGTCCCGCTCCTCTTCATTTTGAGTTATGGTAGTGTCCACGTGTGGTTGAGAGGTTGATTCATGATTTTGCGAATCGGCCACATCAGTGATTGTTGCCTGAGGTGATATGTTATTCTGCTCGCTTTTATCATCATCATATTCAGTCGCAGCGTTCTTTTTCACTGGTGTATCTTCCAAAGAATTCGGCGAGGATGATTCACTCATATGAGATCTGGCATCAGTAAAATACGCCGATTCAGAATCTGTGACTATGGATGCCGATGATGCCGCAATGGGTATAGAATTAGCAAGTGTAGACATAACAAAAAGTACTGACTTTTGAAATACGTAAAATTGTCAACTCGAGACACCGAGGAACAAAGATCATTTAGAGCTACTCATATCCTCCTCATATACTACAGGGCACGCCTCAGATATGTAACCAGCCACGACCGTGGCTAGTTCACAAATTTTTTTAAATTTTTTCTAAATTTATGGCAAAGCAGCTGCCATCTAAGTCTCACTAAGAATCATTGTTTTATAATGCCACCGAAGACGGAACCAAGAAAGTGGAAGCCACCAAAGGGCCCAAAAAACACACCTCACAAAAACAAGAATACCATTGGTCTGGGAAGAAGCATTAAAAATATCAAAAATCAGGAAAATAAAGTGTACTATCTGCCCGACGGAGAAATGCGATTCACCACGGACAAACATGAAGATGACTGGGTCAAATTACGTTCAGTCACACAAGAAAATGCTCTTGATGAATTTTTGAATACAGCAGCTTTGGCAGATAAGGACTTCTCTGCTGAGAGGTCCACGGGAATTAAAATCATAAGTGCCAATAGTCAAACTGTGGATAGCGGCAATTACAATCCTTATTTGCTTACGACCGAGGAAGAAATCAAAAAGTTTCAGACTCAAAAAGAGCATGTTTCTGAGTTGCGAGTCCCAAGACGGCCTAGATGGGATAAATCGACGACCAAGCAAGAGCTTGAAAGATTGGAAAGTGAAGCTTTTCTTGAGTGGAGACGTAACCTTGCCCTGCTGCAGCAAAATCATGATTTACTGCTTACACCTTTTGAGAGGAATATCTTGGTCTGGAAGCAACTGTGGAGAGTGGTAGAAAGGTCCGATTTGGTTGTCCAAATTGTAGATGCAAGAAATCCTTTGCTTTTTCGTTCTGAAGACTTTGAAAATTACGTGAAAGAGACAAATCCTTTGAAACGAAACTTGTTGTTGGTCAACAAAGCTGATCTATTGACTTACGAGCAGAGGTTAGAGTGGGCTCGCTATTTCAAAGCACATAATATTAAGTACACATTTTTCAGCGCATACCTCGCAAACGAGACTCTGGACAGAGAAAGAGAAAAGCTCGAGCTACGACAGACGGATATAGTCCGGGACACTAATTTTCCTGAGAGCACACTTTCTGAAGAATTGGATTCGAACTTCTCCGGTGAAGCCAATTTGGATGACGAAGAGAACCAAGAAATGGAGAACCTGAAACAAGAATTGAAGTCAATAGAGGATAAATTGCAAGGATACAGCTTACAAAGCTATACTGAGGCTGATGAGGAAGATACAAATGAGATGACACGAATCATAACGGTGCAGGAGCTGGAAGATCTGTGTCTCAGAGTTGCCCCAGAACCATTAACTGAGCCTCCTGAAGGTCAACCTAGACGCCTTCAAATTGGTTTAGTTGGATACCCTAATGTGGGAAAGTCGTCGACTATCAATGCTTTGGTAGGCTCAAAGCGAGTCTCAGTGTCGTCGACTCCCGGTAAGACAAAACATTTCCAAACGATTTTGCTTTCTGACAAGGTAATCCTCTGCGATTGTCCGGGTTTGGTTTTCCCTAACTTTGCATACACCAATGCAGATCTGGTTTGCAACGGTATACTTCCAATAGATCAACTTCGTGAGTACACAGGGCCTATGCAGCTGATAGCCAAACGAATTCCGAAATACTTCCTAGAAGCTCTTTATGGTATTACCATTGACACCGTGCCTGTTGAGGAGGGAGGAACAGGAATACCAAATGCTCACGAAATCTTGAATGCTTTTGCGAGAGCGAGGGGATTCATGACTCAAGGTTATGGTTCAGCCGATGAAAGTCGCGCTGCAAGATACATTCTCAAGGATTATGCCTCAGGGAAGCTCTTATTTGTTGAGCCTCCCCCAAACGAAGATGGCTCGAGAAAGGATGATGAAAGGGCACGAAAATTCAATGAAGGCTTATACACAGTTCACAAGTTACCTGAGCAAAGAAAGCAACAAGTCCTCAATGCTATGAAAGAGAAAAATATCGATATTGAAGAATTCGATTTGGCGACGGACTTACACAAATTAACGTTTTCTTCGCACCTGTCTTCTAATGATGCATTAACAGGGAACAAGCATGCTCGTACATATGGCGGAAAACAAGCTGTTTTGGTCAGCTCTGCTGCTGAACTTGACAATGAATTTTTCAAAATGAATGAAGTGAAAGGAAATTTTCAGTCACCATTTCACGCTAAGGATGGTAGTCTCAGAGGTGATAAGAAACATAACAAGGCAAACAAAAAAAAGCAGAAGAAACTTCGAAAGGCAGCAGTCGCTGCATAATATTTTTATCAATACTTAAGAAATTTATCTCACAGAGAAGGAGTTTATTGAAATGCACTGTCGCCCAGCTTTTCTTCAATGATGTCAATTTCGCGTTGCAGATCTTCCAAGTTAGTTTCGAGCGATATAAGATCATCGAATTTCTTTCGTTTTTTATGGTCGTTGTACATGTTTTGCACCATGAACTTTTGCTCATTCAAAACCATCAGTTTTTCTCTGTATTCCCTAATTTCTTTCTTCAGCAATCTAGGTCTATACTTATTGATTCCCGTTTGCTGGGCGAGCTCTTTTTGCTCTTTTTTCAATTTCTCTTGTTGTGCTCTGCGCAATTCAGGAAGATTGTCTTGTAAAAACATCACAATATGAAGTTTCAAGGCCTTGTATAGTTTCAGTTCATCAGGCCTGACCGATATCGATCCTGGTTTTGATTGATTATGCTCTAGGCCGTATTCCAAAGCACTTATTTTATTGGACACGAGCTTTCCAATCTTCTCCACGCGTCCCAGTAAGTCAATATTTTTTAGCTCAACTTCCTTATCTGAAGAGTGTATACTGTTTTCAAATTTGGCTTCTAAAGCCTTAACTTGTCTATAGCATTGCAATAGATCAGAGTGTGTATCAGAATATGCACTTTTGAGGTATAGCCTTTTGTTGAACAACTTTTGTTTGCAGTTCAAACACATGCGAATGGACCAATATGAGTTTTGAAGCTTTTCCAACTTGATTTCTTGATCAATATTCATAATGTCAACAACCATATTTGCTGGTACGTCCATAGAGCAACCTCGAAAAGAATCCCCACAAACAACTTGTCCGCAAATCCTACAATGATGTTTGCGATTCCAGAAATTGAATTCCGTTCTGCAAATGTTGCAGCTGTTAATCTCGGCATCATCCACCCAATTGGCAATATTTCGTTCGATCGAACGCAGATTCCGCGCTGGAATATTGTTGTTCTCGATATCTTTGAAAACTTCCACTAATCTGATGCATCTATTTTCCAAAGCGACTGTCTCTAACTTCACAGAATCAAGCTTTTTCGAACGAATGCTTTTCAGGCTTGAAGACCTATCCGCGAAAAAAGCACAGTTCTCCGATTTAGCCAAATCCCATCCTGGCTTGTAGCTGAAGAAGCATTCTTGACAGCACCGACTCCAGTAGCCATTTGTAGGATCAGAATGTAAACTGGAATCGAGCTTGATGCGAAACCTAGAATGAAGCCCGCAAAACAGTCGTCCACACTTTCGACAGTTCACCATGCCATTTTTTCCATTCAGCCTATTAGAACACAAATTGTAGCTGCATGTATCAGACCCAGTAGGCTTTTGCCAATGATCTCGTGGTATAACTGACGAGCTTTCAAAAGCGAGTTTTTGTGTCTCGTCATCAGCGTTACTGTCAATGAGGGATGAATTCTGTGGAGCATCACGCAGTTGTTTAGGAAAGTTTTGGTGTAAGGATCTCCCCACAACATCATCAACTTTTGTTGCCAGTGTTCTTTTGAACCAGTGTTTAAAATCCAATTCAATCTGTGAATTTGTTTCCGAAGAGCCAAATGAGGAAATTGCATGCTCGTCATCAAGATGCCTATTCAATTGGTTAAGTGTAACCATAGACTCTGTGCAAATGGGACACTGTAGGATATCGCAGTCAGCCAAGGGTGAAGAACATGAAGAGGACTGAGGAGAGGACAAAAACGGCGTATTTGGAACATCCATAGAAGCGCCCGAGGTGAGCTCTGTATCCGGAGCACCCAAAACCCGTTTTTTATACATTTCACGCTGTTAGAAAAGCAGAGTTGATATCATACTTCACAAAGTTGTGGACAGAAATTACCTCGAGTTGAAGTTTGTTTTTCTTAAAAGTGCAAGACAATAATAAAATAGAGAGGTCTTTAAAGGCGGTCCAAAGCGCTTGGTCCAAGTCTAAATACTTACAACCGGTGTACTTAATTTGGCATTTAATACAATCAATCATCATCAAGAAGTGAACAAGTAAGTAAGTGATGGCAAATAACAGTCGTAATCATTCAGCTTCATTATAGCTTGAGCGCGTTCAAAAACGAGGCATTTAGTTAATGGCTGGGTTTAAAAGCTCTTCAGCTGAATATGGCACAAAAGAATCGAGATCAAAATCTAACTGATCCCTTTTCCATGCAGGTACCAAAGCGTTAATCAGGGTAGGATTAACACTCAGTTCTCTTTTTGAGAAGTCAAAAAGATCAGGAATCAACAGCTCACGATCAAGTTTGTAGTTCCTGAAATTGGGGAATTTGATGTCCGGTTGTGCTCTGAACTCGTCAAAAAATTTGCACGTCAGCGCTTCGGCAGCTCCAATTCTCAAAACTGGAGAGTAATTCAACACCAATTGCAATAGCTCTAAACATTCCGGTTCCACGTTCTTGAATATCTTCTGTAATGGTATTGGTTTTATGGATGGAAATTTATGGTCCATGTAGTTAGGATTCATGGACTTAATTTCATCCTTAGTCGGGGTGCCTAGAATTTTGATAATTTCAACAAGCTGATCGATTCCAGACTCTCCTGGGAACAACGGCTGCCCCAAAAGAAGTTCGGCTATAACACAGCCTGCAGACCATAAGTCAATCTTGGTGGTGTAATTCCGAGCTCCAAATATAAGCTCTGGCGCTCTATAGTATCTGGAACAAATATAGGAAACGTTTGGTTCTGCAGGATTCAAAACCTTCGCTGAACCAAAATCACATAATTTAAGTATGCCATTGAGGGGATCAATTAGCAAATTCTGAGGTTTGATATCCCTATGACAAATTCCCAATGAATGGATGTATAATAAAGAGCGGAAAAGTTGATAAGAGTATAGCTTCACCTCAAGCATTGGCATGGTCCTTTGTCTGGAAGTGTACCAATGACACGACTTGTACAACGTCTCCGGAATGTATTCCAGGATCAGATGAAGATATTGCTCATCTTTCTCGTTGGTTTTGTAGAAAAAGGAGAGTAACTTGACGATATTCTTGTGATTTATGAGCCTCATTATTTCAAGTTCTCTGTTTTTGTAACGCTTATCCTGCAGAACTCGCTTAATTGCTGCCTTGCTGTTGTCATGTAACAGCGTTATCTGATAAACATATCCAAACGACCCGTGTCCGACCATGGATTTTTGAGCATATTCGATATTTGACAGGGCCCCTGTATGTCCATCTCTCACCTCTACAGCAATCACCTGCTGTCCAGCGGTTTTGTTAGGAGGATTCAAGTCGTTCATTGTACTATAAACGTTGTCTCATCCACACAAGATTATCCCAAAGTCGCCAATCTGTAGATTAAGGCTTTCCGCGACAACAAACAAATTGTACAAGCGTCGAATTCAAAAACAAAAAAGTGTTCGTTTTTAACAAAATCGTACCGAATTATTTCTGAGAAAAAAAATGGGGAATATCCGATTTTGTCTCTTGGAGAAGAAGTACACCTTACACCACAATTTAGAGCAACATATCTAAGAGGAAGAGATAATCCCTATAGTTGCTTGATCTAAGGAAGCTGAGGAAGCTGGTATCCTTCAGTTGTTTGTTGCTCCAGCTCACCCAAAGACTTGCAATTAACATCAGAACAGTATTTCAAGAAGAAGAACTTTCAAGATCTTATAGATGACATAAGCAGCATTCTTCCCGGTGAACAATTAATTTCTTTATGGAGAAGAAAGTGGGGAGGGAATAAGATAGCTGCAAATATCCTCGCCGGGTAATCAGATCATGTCGGAGCATGAATTTTGTCCGTGTAGAGATGCTACGATATAAAATTTTCAGACTAAAATTTTCAGGACTACCAATTTTTCATAAAGGCGAGCTTTTCAAGAGACGTTGCAAGGAACCTTTATCTAACATGTCTACTGCTGCAAATCCCAAAGCATTTCCACTAGCCGATTCTGGCCTCACCCAGCAAATTCTTGATGTGGTGCAACAGGCTCAAAACCTCAGACAGCTGAAGAAGGGCGCTAATGAGACGACAAAAACTTTGAACAGAGGTATTTCGGAATTTATCATCATGGCTGCGGATACTGAACCTATCGAGATTCTGTTACATTTGCCACTTCTTTGCGAGGATAAGAATGTTCCATATGTTTTTGTTCCCTCCAAAACCGCCCTCGGAAGAGCTTGTGGTGTTTCTAGACCGGTCATTGCTGCTTCGATCACGACCAACGATGCTTCTGCTATCAAGAACCAAATCTATGCCATCAAGGATAAGATTGAGACGTTGTTAATTTGAGCTTTTAATAGATTTACTTTTTACTGAGATAAGAAAGTAATACAATTCTGAAAACAAGTAAAATTAGTATTGTACATGATATTGACAACAAAACCCTGCGATGTCATAAGTATGAGTATTTAGAACTCTTTCGGTTTCGATCAACATAGTTTTCGGTAGAATCAAACGGTTGAGTCAAAGCATGATTACCGGAATCAGAACCGATGTCTGACATACTTTTCAAACTCTCATCGTGCATGAATGTTGAAAGGGGAGTTTGGAAGCCTTCGGTTCCCGACTGCATCATTGGAGTGTTTGATTCTGATCTAGCATGTGTAGCAATTTGTTGATCCATAACGGATTTTGGTAATGGATGGTCAAGAGCATCTGGCACTTCCGTATTTTGATCGCCAGTTTTCTGAGATTTGTTACGACGAAGGAAGGACTTTCCACCGGTGAGCTTGTGCATAAGTTTAGCGCCAAAGGAAGCTTCTTCTTCCTGTGTGAGTTCCAATGGTTTGTCTGGATCACTCTGAGACTTCTTGTCAGAGGATTGACCCATGTCGGAGGAATCCACCATGGCCTTTAGCTTGTACATTTCATTTGCCCAATTCTCTTGATGATCTTTAGCAACCTGTCCGAGCTCAAACAGCTCTTGCGCACCATCAGGAACATCATCACCCATCTGCTTCTTTTGGAAAGATGTCCTGTCATCTTTGGCTGGCGAAAACCGAGCATCTGGATTTTTGGAAAAGATCGCGATACACGAGTAGGCGATAATCAGAATCAAGAGCAAAAATGAGAACACTGCGTTCAGCACAAAGAAAACCAATCCCATGATTGATCCAACGGCACTTGGTTGACCAAACAACTCTGAGAAAAATAAGAAAAAGAACGAGTTGATGGTGTTAACAACACTCATCAGAAAATTGACGATGTTGGTGGCTTTGTCTAAAAATGGTCTCATTTTGATCAAAGCAATGGTATAGCCCAAATCTAACAAAAACACAACGAGTGCTTGTGTTTTACCAGACTTCTGAGCGAGAGCAACAAATAATGCTTTCACAAAAAGATAAGCCAAAAACACAGCTCCCCAGTAGAATTTCTTCGCGTCGAACATTGTATAGAAGAATCCATACCTGTTGAGGACATCCGGATTTCCATAGAGAATGGCAGCCGCGTTATTGTGAGTTTCAACAGAAACAGCTCCAAACATCAATGTTCTATAGGAGACCCACCCCATGATTATCAAGCACAAAAGCAAGAACATGACCGCAAGGACGACCACTGCAGGTGAGTCGACAACAGTGAACTCCCATAGAGATAAAATGACAAGTTGGGGAAATCCGATATAAATATATCTTTGCAAAATACCCTTCAGAATAACCTTCCAGTTTCTGCTCAAATCAATCGTTCTGGACCAGCCTCTTTTCCTTCCAAAAGACATTGTTGTTTTCGCAATCATAAACAATCCAACCAAGACATATAGGAATAAAACAAAAAATGTAAATCCCGTGCAAACGATGGAAGTGGGCTCAATGTTTGCCTTGTAACCAACTCTTTCCACGCCTCTCAATATTTTGAGATACTGATCACCTTGCAAATTGTACAGGTCGTTTGACCTCGCTTCCAAGTCTTGGTAATAGTCCGTAGGGCTTGGTGCCAATGAAGGCATGAAATAAGACACAAGCGAATAAAACGGAATGATTTTAGTTGCAAGCTTCTTACTTTCGTTCAGGGATCTCTGGACGAGAACCGATATTGAAGAGGAGGTTAAGTATTGCGTAGGAGTTCCGCCGGTTGCTTGAACGTACCATCTGAATATTTGCTGCATAAAGGTAACTCTGATCAAGCCCATCGACCATGCGATATTTTCTGCCCACGCACTGACAATTGGAGGAACTTCTTGCACGTGCAACATGCAAAGAATGACTGTGCTCTGAAAGAATGAGAACAAAGACACAGCATTTGCAGAAATAATGGAAGCAGAAGCAGAGTTTCCAAAAACTGATAGAACTGCTGAGACAAGGAGGCCGATTCCGGATATAATAGCGGTAGCCCATTTGGCACCAACGTGAGCGACAGTCTTCTTATTTGAAAAGCTAGCTTGGATACATCCAACTTGGGTATCATTACCGTCGACAATGAGCACCCTAACAAGTGCGTCGATGTCAGGAAATGTGTAGGCTATTCCCGGAACCATATTAGTGAAATGACGGGAAAGATATTGAATAGAATCAACTTCCAATGAACCGGGATACATGGGGCAGAATTGTTTCCATCCAATGGAGCAAAAATCGACGTTTCTTTCTGTAACCTTGATACCATACGCATACACTAGAACCTTGGCATTGACATGACCTGATATTTCAGAAGTCAAGGATATATCGTACTTCACAGATCCTCCATTATCATCTGCTTTGAAAACCACATTGAAATAAGTTGGCTCTATTTGAGAGTTTTCCATACATGTGACCAGAGAGTTTGCAAAAAGCTCCCGTTTAGCCTCGGCTAACAGAGGGAAAGTAAGCCAAAGTCCTAAGAGAAGGACTTTTTCAATAAACAACATGATGATCAAGAAACAGTATCTTGTTGTCCCAAGAAATATCAGTTGTTGAAATGCGTAGGAAACTTGCTGAGCTAGTCAGTAAGGGCAACAGCCAATGGAAAATAAATGTTTCTATAGTAGTCGCACGCAAGGATCGCACCTTATATTATTCAGGATCCGTCAGTTTATTTGTTGAGATAAACACAACTTGCGAGATTGCGCAATACCCTAGTGAGTCAAAAGTATATAATAAAGCAAGAATTAGATGCCCCGATAACCACTTCTTTCAAAGAAAACTGAAAAATGCAAGATCAAGAGCGAAAACAAGCTATTGATTCAAAGTTACTATGGTACAGAATTTTTTGGCCTATTGAAAAAACTTATGTGGCTAGTAAACGAGGATAATTATAGAACACGCTCAGGCGACGCAACCGTGTTTTTTTCCAGTTTTATTTTAAATGCCTATAGTGGCGCAGTACCAGGATCAAGCATAATAATTAACTAGCCATGAAGTATGACTTTGATCAAACATTTACAACATAAAACAAGAGCAAATATGATATAAATATAACCTTGATAAACTGACCAGCTTATTTTGCCTTGACAACCTCAATCAGATGAGAAACAACTTGTGGATTGCTCAAAGTAGAAGTGTCTCCTAGTTGATCTTCCTCACCAGATAAGATCTTTCTCAAAATTCTCCTCATAATTTTGCCTGACCTAGTCTTTGGCAAATCGTTCACAAGGAGAATTAATTTGGGAGCCGCAAATGGACCAATTTCTCTTCTCACTGTTAGAATGAGTTCCTTTTTAATCGCCGTTGGATCCTCGATGGATCTGTTCTTTAGAGAGACAAATGCGGCAACGGCGGATCCGGTTAGTTCGTCTGGGAACCCAACCACCGCAGATTCTGCGACCAGTGAATGCTCAATCAAGGCTGCCTCAATTTCTGCAGTAGACAGCCTGTGACCAGACACATTAACGACATCATCAACACGACCCAAAATCCAGTAGAAGCCGTCTTTGTCTCTGGCTGCTCCATCGCCTGAGAAGTAATACCCATGATAAGGACGTAAATATGTATCCAAAAATCGACTATAGTCTTTCCAGATGGTTCGTGCCATTGATGGCCAGGATGACCTGATTGCTAACACACCCTCAACCTGGTTTCCTTCAAGCTCTTTTCCACTCACAGGATCTATGATCGCTGGATCAATTCCGAAAAATGGGAGCGAAGCAGATCCTGGCTTGGTTGGTGTGACACCTGCCAAAGGAGTAATCAAGTGAGAGCCCGATTCGGTCTGCCAATAAGTGTCACAAATGTGGGCCTTACCACGTCCTATGTGTGCGTTATACCATTCCCAAACATCTTTTGCAATTGGCTCTCCAACTGATCCCAAAACTCTCAAGGATTGCAGGGAGTAAGGTTCAATGTAAGATTCACCAGCCCTTTTGAGGAGTCTCAAAGCAGTGGGAGCGACATAAAATTGGGTCACTTTGTACCTATCAACAATTTCCCAGTATCTTGAATAGTTTGGATAAGATGGTGTACCCTCAAACACAACGGTGGTAGCACCATTCAAGAGAGGCCCATAGACAACATAACTATGACCTGTAATCCATCCAACATCTCCAGCTGTAAATAGTGTGTCTTCTGGGTGGACATCAAACACATACTTCGTGGTAAGCAATGCGCCTAGAAGATAACCAGCTGTCGAATGCTGTATACCCTTAGGCTTGCCAGTAGAGCCAGAAGTATAGAGAAGAAACAAAGTGTCCTCTGCAGAGACAGGGGTAGCAGGGTAATATGATGGATATTTTTTGACTTCCTCATGCCACCATAGATCCCTTCCTTCGGTCCAAGGGATGTGAGTGTTACCCGTACGCTTGTAAACAATAACGTTTGTCACTTGGGGACATGCGTGGAGGGCATCGTCAACTATTTTTTTCGTCTCAATAATTTTTCCCCCTCTCTTGGATTCGTCCGTAGTGATGACGACTTTTGAGTTCGCATCATTAATTCTGTCCCTAAGGGAACCCGAACTGAACCCAGCAAAGACAACTGAATGAATAGCCCCAATTCTAATGATAGCCATCAAAGTAACGATCGCTTCAGGGATCATGGGCAGGTACACCGCCACTGTATCCCCTTTCTTGACACCTAAGTTCAATAGCACCTGAGAAAACTTACAGACTTCTTTCAGTAGCTCGCCATAAGTAATGATTCTTCCTTGGTCAGGCTCGTCTGCCTCATAAATAATAGCGGGCTTGTCTGGGTTTTTGATGGCCCACCTGTCAACGCAATTGTAACAGGCATTCAGTTCTCCGTCTACAAACCATGCCGATGGTTCTCCATTGTTATCTTTCAAAAACGGAGCGCTAGGAACCTTCGGAACAGTGAAGGGCTTGAACCAGGAGAGATGTTGTTCTGCCATTCCACCGAAGAAAGAGCCGGGGTCACGAATAGATTCCTCATACAACTTTTTGTATTCATCCAATGAGCTCAAGTAGGGCTTTGAAGGATGTCTTTCCAAGAATCCCGCTGGAGGCTCGAGAGCTGTCTCTCTCATCAAGTGTTCATTCTCTAAATGCTTTTCCGGCATTTTGCAAAAATCAGTCAGAGAATTGTAAAATCCTATTCGTTATATATATAATCGTTGAAGTGGGAAACACAATACTGAAGAATCTGACCCCGTATATAACATAGAAAATGCCCTTCTTGCGAACCCTGTCATTGTCCACGCGAAATTTGCACCCTCATCCGAAAAGGAGGGGAGACTGAGGGGAAGAAAAATACCAAATGTGTTTACTAGACTCTCCCCGCAATTGCAGCGATTAGGCACAGCTTGCCTAATTGAGGGACACGGCTGGAGGGAGTTTTTGGGACGCTGGTCCGAGGGCATGCCCGTTTTCCCTTTTGTCTACAGCAATTGTGGGGTTTGCACACCTATCGAAAACATCCTTACACTCAGGATTTATTACATCTTATCTTCTGATTACGTAAGACGATACAGATATTCGAGGCACAGTTAAATCCTATTCAGTAAATATTGTTTACAGTTGTAATTTTTGAGAGTAAGGCAGCAAATTTTTAGAAACACCGTGTAAGCCTGGATCAGAAAATATTGTCTTGATCTTAAAAATAAAACAGTGTTCCTGCGCTGGTACCTTTATTTTGACTTGCTGGAATCAACTCGCTAATTACATATAGGACTCACAGCTATTGAGAGCTCGCTTCCGTGCTCATCAAGAAACCTATATTCGTTGCTTCACAAGATATTGGTTCATAGCCTCTTTTATGTCGAGTAGGCAAAAATATTAAATACCATGAAGCTCTCTCATTTCTTCACTTTTTCAATATGGTTTCTCATCCAGGGCCTTGTCGCTGAGGCCGGAAACAATGATATGAAAAAGTACATCAAATCGTCATCGTTGCTGACTTGTATGGAGAATTCAGAATTTAGTTCCAGCTATTTTGATGTCACCTTTTATCCTGAAAACAATACCGCTGTGATTGACATTGATGGAAATTCTCTTATTAGTGGATACGTTACCGCAGACGTGTCGCTTGTTGTTTATGGTTTGAACGTCTATTCTACCACCGTTGACTTATGTTCTTTGAACTACGCAACACTGTGTCCGATCTCCTCAGGAAGACTTACTATTAGTGGATACAGTTACAAAATTACAAGTGACATGATTCACAAGATCCCGGGTATTGCTTACACGATTCCGGACTTGGACGCCTACATTAAACTTGTGGCGTACTCCGCCAACGACACCTCGAAAACCTCACCGTTAGCATGTGTGAGGGCCAACTTGAGCAACGGAAAAACCGTGCAAACCAGGTACGCTGGGTGGCCGATAGCTATCATTTCAGGATTTGGTCTGGTTGTTTCCTCATTTGTTTCGATTCTTGGACATTCTGCTACGGCTGCGCACATTGCTTCTAACGCAGCTTCGTTGTTTATTTATTTCCAAAACCTTGCTATCATGTCTATGATGGGTGTTGCTCTGGTGCCCCCTATTGCAGCCTCTTGGGCTCAAAATTTCATGTGGTCGTTGGGTATCATCAAAGCCAAGTTCATGCAAAGCATCATTTTCTGGTACGTACAAGCAACTGGTGGAAGCGTTACATCGATTTTGCGCAGTAAGTCAGTCATCTCAATCTCCGTCCAGAAACTGCTCAAAAAAGTTAAACTCGTCAAGCGAATTAGTGTTGAAAGCTCGGATTCTATGTCCGATGTATTGGATGACTCTAAACTTTACACAACGAACGAAGCGGATGTGGGCTCCAAGACGCTGATTTTGAGGGGAGTTCAAAGAGTGGCATATTTATCAGGAATTGAAATATCTAACCTCTTCATGACCGGTGTGATCTTCTTCCTTTTTATTGGGTTCGTCTTGCTTGTTCTTACATCTTTGTTCAAGGGAGTCTGCGAGCTTATGGCACGGACTGGTCTTATAAAGGGCAGCAAGCTGATAGGCTTCAGAAAGAACTACAGATCAGTCATCAAGGGATGCCTGTACAGACTTTACAACATTACTTTCCCAACATTGACACTGCTATGTATCTGGGAGTTCACCAGAGTTGACTCTTCCGCTTGTGTCGTGTTTGCTGTCGCTCTCTTGGCCATCTCCTTGATTTTAATGGTGTATGCAGCTGTCATGATACTGATGTCTGGCTCAAGATCCATAAGAAAATTCAAGAATCCAGCTTATTTGCTGTTTGGAGACGAGAAGATATTGAACAAATATGGATTTTTGTACGCTCAGTACAAGGCTAACTATTATTACTGGGTCGCCGTTCATCTGGTTTATCTGTTTGCAAGAGCTTTGTTCATTGCAGTCTTACAGAATCACGGAAAAGTCATTGCTGTCATCATCTTTGTGATAGAACTTTTCTACTGCATTGGCTTGATAGTTAAGAGGCCATTTATGGACAAAAGAACCAATATTTTCAACATTTTCATTAGCGTGATCAACGTGGTCAATTCTATTTTCTACCTGTTCTTTTCGAACATCTTCAAACAACCAGCTGTGGTTTCTTCTGTCGCTGCTGTTGTTTACTTCGTTATGAATGCTATTTTCGCTGCAATTCTTCTGATTTTCACAATTGTCACATGCACATTGGCTCTCGTTTGGAAAAACCCCGATACTAGGTATGAGCCTATCAAGGACGACAGATTGGCTTTTATACCAAACGAAAGAGGCGAAGGAGACAAAATAGAATATGAGCTGGCTGCTCTTGGAGCCACGGCTATGAGAGGCCACGACAGAAATTCGTATCTTATCGAAAACCAATCAGAGAGTAACACGGGACTAGCACCAAGCCCAAAGCAGATTATGAGCGACAGCACCAGCCTCAGCAGCGCGAATCCGTTCTCAAACGCAAATGAAGACGAGCACAGTAGAAACTCTTTTATTTCTAAAGCGGCCGCTAACAACTCTGCCCACTCCTCTCTGTCCAAAGCAAAAAATGAAGCAGGCAACCTCAACGTTGACGCTGGGCAAGGTTTTACCAGCTATCGTCGAAGGGATCTTCTTTAGCTTTTTTTTTGTACCTATATCAAAATTCAGATTAGCTAGCTAATTCTTGACGTACTCTGGCTCTAAAGATTTGAACCAGTACGATTGGTCCAAAAGAGATTTCTCAACAGCATACTTGACAACAGGGTCAGAAAGATCACCTCTGATGGTGAAACCATGAGAAGTGCCACTGTAAATATCAATCTGATGTCTGATATTATTCTTGCGCAAAATCTCGGCAGCTTTGTTTCTCATTTCATCAGAAAATAGCTCATCTCTTTCTGCCAAACTGAGAAGCAAAGGCTTTGCAAGGTTTTCCAAGTCAGACTCCTCAGTTAAGCTAGGGTGAGCCATGGCACAAACATTTGGGAGACTGTCCTTGGTGGCATTCTGGAAAACCAACTTAGCACCATAACAGTAGCCAATGGTGCACAGATAGGCGGGATCGTATGTCTTTTTCAGGTACTCCAAGAAGGCTTTGGCAGTTGGACCCGTCTGAGCAGGAGAATGCTTACCCAGCCACTCACCTATGTTGGTCTTCTGAGGAATAGCTGGATCCTCATCGAAAAGGTCTGGGATCAGAACTTGGTAGCCCAAGTTATCAGCAAACTTGTCGGCAATCAGATTGACATTGTTATATCTGTAGCCATAAATATCAGTGAAAATCACCAGAATTCTTTTGGTATCGTTTCCGGATTTGTAGACACTGAAATCACCTAATTTCACGAATTCTCCCTTCGTTTCACCCTCTAAAAGTGTTAGTTAACAGCAATTGAATAAATTGAAAGACTTACCATGAAATGAGGTTTTAAGACAGCATGGACTCAACCCAGACATTTTGACAGGCTAGTGATTGAACAGAGCAAAAACACAAAAAATAAATTTCCAGAATTGCACGCCTGGCCATTAATTTATATTATATTATTTGCGGAATTGATCCGCTCCAGAAATTTCTTCACCTGCGGAACTTGCACGAGGGATATGGATTCCTCAGCAGTGACCGAATGGGGATCGGTGGGAGATTCCGAAATAGAACTTCTGCTTAAAGAGCACGAAAAGAGACGAAATTCAGGGCTGAATGTCGATACAGATAATAAAGTTCAGATCGTGTCTTCTCAGCCAGAGTCCATAGATGCCACTCAACAAGACGTGAAGCTCGAGTCTGCGTCACAGGACTGGGGATCTATGGACGACTCGGAGTTTATTTCGTTTGTGAACAAACTTAGTCAAAATTACGGTCTCCATCAACCGGTTATCACTTCCCAGACTTCGACTGATCACGCGACAAAGGCGGAGGAGGACGAGAGTGTCGGCGGCGAAAATAATGAGGACGAACCGGGTGATGTATACATCAATGAAATCAACTCTTTGGACCCGGAAGAAATCGATCCAGGAAGTCAGGAATTGGAATTTGGAGATTACGAGAGATATTTTCGTCACAAAACTTTAAAACAGCAGCAACAAGACCAAGAATACGTTGAGTTCACGAAGAAAGCACGAAATCTGGAATACCCTCCTATTTTCCAAAACTGTGTTATCTACGTGAACGGGAAGACGAATCCCGACGTACAACAATTGCACAAACTTATAATTCTTCACGGTGGAAAGTTCATTCACATGCTTGGAGCAAAAGGTAATGCTACTCATATAATAGCCGAAAATCTGACGCCACAGAAGAAGTTGGAGTTTAGGAACTATAAGGTTGTGACTCCAAAATGGATTGTCGACAGCGTGGAAGCTGCAAAGCTGCAGCCGTGGGGCGAATATATGCTTATCCACAATGACTACGGTCAGCGCAGGTTACAACTCAGGACCGAGCCTGCAAGGGAGCAGGAAGATGTGGAGATTTCCCAGTTATCGCAGGTGACCGAGCCAGACGATAACCTGCATAAAAGAGAAGATATCCACATGCCTGACCATATGAATTGCAAACATCCGAATTTTTTGCCGAACTTTTTCGCAAATTCTAGGCTGCACCATCTAAGTTCATGGAAAGCAGACCTGAAATCACGTTTCTTGCAGCGTGCTATTGGCACACTTCAAGGTCGGCGCCATGATTCGAGACCAGCAGACAAGAACGTCATTTTGCATGTCGATTTTGATTGTTTCTTTGCAACAGTTTCCGCCTTGACTTGCAACCCTCCAATAGATATAAACGAGGTTCCTGTTTGTGTCACTCATGGAGGAAACACTTCAGACATTGCGTCATGTAACTATGTTGCCCGAAAATATGGTTGCAAGAACGGTATGTGGTTGCGTTCTGCGAGAAGGCTGTGTCCAAACTTAGTTTGTCTCGACTACAACTTTGATGAATACGAGCGGGTTTCCAACATTTTTTACGAAATTCTGCTTTCTTATGACATCGACTCCGTTTTGCCTGTTTCGGTGGACGAAGCTCTAGTTGACATATCGAGTATGAGTGCATCACAGCATCCATTGGAAATAATGAAAGATATCAAGAAAAAAGTCTACAACGCTACGAATTGCTCCGTGAGTTGTGGAAGTGGATCCAATGTCTTGCTTGCCAAACTCGCTCTCAGGAGAGCTAAACCGAATGGCACATTTTACGTCGAAGATGATCATATCACTGATTTTTTGGATATTGTCAAATTTTCTGAATTACCGGGCATAGGGCCTCAAATTTGCGCAAAGCTGGAAACTGAGATGCAGAAAACTGCGTTGATGGTGAAAGACGTTCGCAAAATACCCGGCGACAAACTTGCTTCTATATTTGGGCCCAAGACTGGTGTTACGATTTACAATTACGCTCGAGGACTGGATGATACTTGCATTGATATTCTCAAGAACCCAGAAGCTTTTCAAAGAAAATCGATCTCAATTGACGTCAATTGGGGAATAAGGTTCGACAGAGACGTGGAGGTGGAGAAATTTCTCAGCGATTTAGCTAAGGAATTGAGTAAAAGACTCGCAAATGCCAAAATGGTTGGCTCCTCGGTCACATTAAAACTGGCTACTCGACACCCCGACGCTCCCATTGATCCGCCAAAATACCTTGGTATGGGAGAATGCGAGTTTGTGTCTAAGACTTCGAGACTCGGGCATTTTACGCGTGAAGCTGGCATTTTGGGAAACGAGTTACGATATCTATACCGAATGCTCAACGTCGCAGTTAAGGAGCTGCGAGGCGTTTCGATCTCAATGAACCGACTATCTTTCGAGACCAAGAAAAACATCCACGGACTGGATGCGGATCAGAGAATACTACCTCTTAATTCGACTGCCAAAGATCCAGAAGCGACTCTTGCTGCAAAGTCGTTATGTGCTGAGAGCACTCCCAAAAAGAAAGCCAATACGAAAGAATACAGGATTCCGGAGAATGAAATCAACTGGGAAGTTTTCAATGAGCTACCAATCGAAATACAGGACGAACTGAGACATGAGCTGGGTCGAAGACATTTGTCAATCACCGGTTCCCTATACCGCTCTCCTAAGAAAAGAAAGAAAGACTTTTTCAACGACTTTAGGTCCCCAACTAAGAGGAAGCTAGTCATGGACAAGATTTTGGTTGATACAAATTATGTGGAAGCCAAATCACGACTTTCATTCCAGAAAATCCCCACTACCCAATTTCAAGAAGTTTTAGACAAACTTAAGTTGTGGTTTGACTGTACGATTAGGAGCGACGGTCCTCACGAGATGGATCTTAATTTATTTAATGAGTTTATGTTCAGCTTATTCGAGATTGGAGAAATGACGAAGTACGGCTCTATTGTGCGCCTGTTCGAAGAAAAACTCGTTTTTTCCAAATCTCATTCAGGATACGAACAGTGGAAACGCATAACCACTGAGCTACGAACAATGTTTAATGAAGTTAAGTATGACGATTTAGAATTCAATTTCTAGCTCTTGACGATCAATTCCGGAGCCCTGGTGGCCCACTCCGTCCAGGAACCATCGTAAATGGCCATTTTTGCTGCATCAAAACCAGCCAAGATCAATCCGCACCTCACTACACAGGCTGTCACTCCAGAGCCACACATAACAATGATGGGCTTTGATTGGTCAAGCCCTGCAGCACTCGCGCGCTCCAAAATTTCGCTGGCAGATTTAAATTTCTTGTCGGGAGTCAAAATCTCTGTGAAGGGAATATTGATTGCATATTTGATGTGTCCCGACGATAAGCCTGGACGGACTTCTGGAGCTTCGCCTTTAAATCTTGGACTAGACCTTGCATCGACCACGTTGTAATCCTTTCCTATCTTATCTGATAAAACGAGCTCTTCAAGCTCCTCAAATAAGACTACCTTAGATTTATCAAACGTAGCCTTGTACTCTGATTCCGGCAATTGGGATACAGAGTTAATTGGTTGATCTGTAGATATATCAGATTGGGCAAATGTGTCAAGCAAGTAAATCTTCTCCAAACTGTGGCCAAAAACCTCAAACATCCACGAAGCTCTGCACGAGCTATAAACGTCGCTCCTATCGTAGATCAACAAGGTAGAGTCGTTTTGAATGCCCAATTTGCCGACCTGAGACTCAAACTGCGACTGCAATGGAAGCATGTGCGGAAATGGACTTGAATGGTCGCTGATGTCCTCGATATCGAAGAAAACAGTCTTATCAGTGAGGCGACGCCTGGTGAACTCCGGAAGAGCCTTTCTGGGATCATTGGGGAAATACCAGGTGGAGTCGATGGTGACTGTCGACGGATTGACTTTCAAGAATGTCTTAACGGCACTTCCAGGGACGGTGCTCAGCATTCGAACACAGGGCTTGAAATACAAGAAATTCTTTATTGGCAACATCTGTCAAGCTGATTTTCGAAAATTAAGCCTGAAAAAATTAAAATACTTATTCGTTATAAACAAGTCTTGGATGGACTGAAATGCCACAAGCTGACGACGAAGATTTTGACACAGCTTTGACTGGCCAGATTGGCCTGGCGAATCTGGACAACATGTTCGACGGTTCTACCGAGCACGCGGCAGACGCTGTTGACTTCGAGGACGAGGAAGAGCTGGCCGAAGAAGAGGAAGAGTCGTCCAAAGAGGAGGCACGCGAGGAGCCAGAGGAGGAAGAGGGAGAGGAAGAAGACGATGATTTTATGAAAGAGCTCCAGGAGGAGGCGATGGAGGGAGTTGAGGATGATGAAGGAGAGAATCGTGGAGGGACAATATTTGACAACAATGTGACAAATATTGGACTCACCGATCTTGACTACGAGCACACGCAAGGTCTAGACGAACACGATGGGATGGGATTCGCACAGGATTTAGAGGACGAATATGATGCCGAGACAAGAAGAGCCGTATTCGAGAAAAAACGTCTTGCGGCAAGGCAGAAATTGCTTAGGTTGTATTATCCAACATTCAAGCGCGGGAAACCGATACGAATGCAAACTCTCTTTCCGATAATACCGTTGCGATACAGTTACCAAGTTCCCCCTCCAATTAAGCGTCCACTGCTGCCCACGAAGCTGACTTTTGAATTCCAAACAGATACCCGAAAAGCATTCAGAAATGCCACTAAATTATCCACTGCACAAGAATCCAAAACACAGCAAAGAATAATTGAAATCTCTGAAACAGATCTGCAGAGCGTACAGGTGGAGCCTGAGAAGCCCGAAGTGGCGAAGCAATCAATACAGGATTTTGGCAATGAGATTGCAATTGCCACAGCCGACTGGGACGACGATCAGATCATCGAAGGGTACGAACTTGATCTACCTGCTACCAAGAGACTCAAGCTTGACTGGGTGGATTCAGATGGATGGGATGATGAGGAAGATGAGCTCATATTTGATGGATCGCTCAATATGGAACTGTTGAACCTCAAGCTTGATCAGAACGACCCACATATGCTGTTCACCAAAGAAAAAAGCGAGAAAGAGGAAGTCGCCGCAAGAAAAGCAATTTTGGCCAAGATCCCTACCAACGAAAAAACCCTGGAATTGCGCTTCAAGATTTCTAACGACAAAGAGTATGATCAACTAAGAAAGAGCTACCGAACCAAGGTGAGAGCCACCATCGGTAATATGAATATTGACCACTCGATGCCGGCGCTCAAGTTGCAGTTCCCATACTATAAAGTGAGACTCTCTGAGAGAGAGATGCGGTTCCCTCATAGACCGCAGTTCACTGTCCGTCCTAATACAATCATGGTGTTTTCCAAGGTGAAAACCAGAAAGAAAAAGAGAGATAAAGGGAAGGAGCCGCGTGAGATATTCAAAGAATCTTCTGATTTGACGTTAGGAGACTCTGCTAACTTCTTCATGTTGGAGTACAGCGAGGAAAACCCTATCGTGCTCAATAATTTCGGTATGTGCTCTAAACTGATCAACTACTACCGAAAACTCAATGAAGATGACACTATGCGTCCCAAACTCCCTGTGGGAGAAACACACGTTTTAGGCTTGCAGGACAGATCTCCTTTTTGGAATTTTGGATATGTGGAACCAGGACATATAGTTCCCACGCTGTACAACAGAATGATCAGAGCACCTATTTTCAAACACGAGCCACTCAGCACCGATTTCCTGCTGATCAGAAGCTCAGGAGGAGGGTCTTCGCAAAGATTCTTCCTTCGTCCGGTCAACTACGTCTTCACTGTTGGCCAGACGTTACCAGTGATGGAAGTTCCTGGGCCTCATTCAAGAAAGGTGACAGCGACCTCCAAGAACCGACTCAAGATGGTTGTCTATCGTGTTCTGAATCGAAATGAAGAACGCAGATTACTAGTCAGAGACATTGCAGATCACTTTCCAGATCAAAACGATATGCAGAATCGTCAACGATTAAAAGAATTTATGGAATACCAAAGAAGTGGAAATGACCAAGGTTATTGGAAAGTAAAGCTCACAGATACCCTTCCCAATTACGAGGAAATAAGAAACATTGTATCGCCTGAGGACATTGCTTTGCTCGATGCCATGCAGGCCGGCAATCAAAGATTAGAGGATCTAGATTCCTACAAGCGAGAAAGGCTGGAGGATGGAACTCCAAATGCCAGTCTCACTGTCCAATCTCCTGCCAATGAAGCAGGATCGAAAAAGGAGCGCGATCTCATGGCAAACGATGGTCCTCTCTCCGTTCAGCTCGCACCGTGGAATATTACACGCAACTTTGTTGCCGCCACTCATGGAAAGGCCATGCTTCAGATTTACGGTGAAGGAGATCCTTCAGGAAGAGGAGAGGCGTTTTCTTTTTTGAGAACTTCCATGAAAGGAGGTTTCATCAAGAATGCGGCAAACCTGAGCGAGGGGATTGTTCTTCCTCCAAAGAATCCCGAGAAAGAAGAAAAAAAGAGCAGTATAACGCATACGTACAACGTGGCCATCCAGCAAAAGATCTATGAGAAAGAGATCGCCAAGGTCTGGTTCAAACAATGGAAAGCTCTCAGCAAATCCAGAAACAGCGACAAACCTCGGCCAGTTGATCCAAAAGAGCTGGACGACACGAGAAACCTGAACATAGCAAATGAGACCCTTAATCGCGAAGTGGGCGGAACAGAAAAGCCACGGTATCTCAAAATTGTTAGAATGGTCAAGGATTCCTACGGCATCTTGCAGAGGCGCGTAGAAATTGTGAAGGATCCGAAAGTGGTGGAATTGTACGTTAAAAGACGACAACGAAAGCTCCTGGAGGATCCAATGGAGCTCGACACCGATAACATCGTCCTGACCAATGATGCAGAGGAAAATAAAAAGGTCAAAAAGAAGCTGGAGGAGGAGCTTGCTAAACTTCAGAAAATGCAAGAAAAGAGAAAGAAAAAGGGTCTCAATACAATCAATATCGATAGCGAGGGCCGCATCAGCGGCAAGGGTATTGGAAAAGGCAAGTCTACTAGCAGAAGATGCGCTACATGCGGTGCTTTGGGCCACATCAGAACTAACAAAACTTGTCCGTTGTATTATACTGTCCACAACAAATCAAATCCTAACTACATTCCTGGAACGGAAGGAGCTGTTGATTTGTTGCAGAACGAGAACGAAGCTCCTCAGCAGAACGAAACGCAGCCTCTTTAGTTACAGTGTTGCGGATGTTTGTATTAGAATGCTGTGCATTAAAGTGTAAACCTGGACTCAAGTTCCAGTGCTACCTAATGGCTTGTATTTGAAAAGCAAAACCTTTTACATGACCAACCTGTATAATATCCACGTGAACCTCATCGTATCCCAGAAATCAATATGATAGCGCTTGCTCAGTCAGTTCGATAATCCGCAACAAGGTAAGCTTTGTTCTTTCGATGAGAAAGTAGCTCGAATTTATTAACAGCTTCCCTAAAGCATCCAGATCAGTCTTGATGAATTCCCAGGTCTCTATAGAACCCTTTACGGCAGAGTCGCACAACGAGCTAACAGAAAATGCTATGGCATGTTGATTAAGCTTGCCTCCACTGCATTCCGAATGTATTACATCCTTGGGTTTAACAACGAAATGGTGAATTCGAGTCGAGCTTTCCAATTTGTTGGTATCTGCACTGGAAGCAAGTTCTTTCCATATCATTAAAACGGCAAGACTCACCATTCCCACAGTCAATCCCAAGAATAATCCATGTCGGTGCAGCTTTGGGTATGACTTCTTTTTCTCTGGATCACCTGCCTCTTTGTGTATGGATCTGCGTCGTAGTTGTTTTGCCGAGTTGTCCAAAAGAATCGAATTGACCTTATCCATGGAGAGATGCTGATTTGTCATGGAATATTGCGAAATAGAAAGCTCGAGCACTCTACTGAAGTCGCATCCCGACACTTGCAAATTCGTCAGAAATTCAATAAATGGCATCAAGTCATCCGTAATCGACTGTAACTGGATCGGTTCGCAAATCATCAAGTTTTTAGGAAACGACTTTTTGAACAACGCTAAGTCAACACTGATTCCCGTTAGCAATGGAACGAACGGCTTATCCACAACATCGGAAAGCAAATAGTTGTCATCTTTCACGACCACAATCATTATCGATGGATTTGAGTCCGTAAAGACGATTCGGTTGAGTGTTTTGCGATACGTGCTTAGACGTGAGAGAAGCACTTCTTTCTGATAGCCAACAACCTGAATTCTAACCTTGTCATGAAAAACGAGCTCGTGTCCACTCAATCCAGAAACAGACACTCGCGGCATGACAAAGGAGGGCGCCGCCGTTGACATCTCGATTGTATCCTGCTCGTCTTCTGAAGACTCGGAAGATGATTCAGAGTCGAAAACAAGCACTTGATGAGTCGGATGCTGCACGCTTGTATCCTCTAAATTGCGCTCTTCGTTATCGGAGCTAGAGAGAATTGAACCTATGTTTGGACTGTTGAGCTTGGCTGTACTGCGCAATACCATATTTGCGGGTGAAGCGTTTGATTCAGCAAACCCAAAGCTGGAATGTATCGATTGCCATGACGTTATAGAAAAATCCTCGTTTCTATAGGAGTTGTTGTAAGCATTGAGTTCAGGGTTTAAATTAAGCGGCGTGGGAATTCGTTGTGCAGGGCCATTTTCCAGAGCCGATAGATCGAGCTCCAGTTCCGGATTGTGAAGGGCCTGGAATATTGAGAAATGCGGTGACAGGATGCTTTCAGATTTCCTTATCACTCCACTAGACGAATTGGTGCCCTCAGAAGCAATTTCCCTGCTCATCCCTGGGGTCGACTCGTGTTGCTGCTTTTTGGCCTTGTTTAGCTTCTGTTTCTTTGATTGAAGTAGCATGGTGTTCGAAGATATCGGATCACCTAGAAGGAGGTCTGAATTCACTCTCTTGGGGTATACGCTAAATAGGCCGTTGTTATGAAAGTGAAAATGCTAAGGAGTCAGGAATTTATACTTGTTGACAACCGTAAGGCAACTAGAGCAAACTGATAGACTGCAAAAGTGCCTCAATGAATTGGTGACAGATGTTCGGAGAACAAAGAAGAGAAGTTAACAATTACAAATCTTTAGGCTAGCTAGTGCTACTGCCAAAGAGAGATCGTGTACAAAGATATAATTATCCGATTTGAAGCTACTGATTTCTCTTGCAGGGGAATGCTCGACCGAGAAAACAATCTCCCAAGAAGTTTCCCTACAGTGCTCAGCACTTAGTACAGCAGCCTCACCTGATTGTTCTAACCCAGCTTTCGCCAGCAATGTTCCGAATTCTGCGACACATCTTTACACCAGAATAGCATCAAAAAAATATCTTATCTAAGATGAACCCCGCTTATTGGGAGCACACAACAAAATGGTCACGAAGTCCGTGAGCGAGGGTATTTGTATAAGAGACGTGCAGGACACCTCAATTGCAATTTGGGCGATTGCCTTCTTGAGCAATATGTAATGGGGGTCGGATCGCGTTTTATGGTGCAGAGATGTACATGCACGAGGGCGACTGTGCTTTGTTTACAACTAATTGCTGTTGCTTGATACGCCACATAGATAAGAAATTTGTGGCAGTGTCTTGAACACCAGAGGATCCACGAGAGTCCCTGGCCATTTCTTGAGCACAGAGAAGGTTTATCTCTACACATTAGAGCGTGCGCGCTCACGCTTGTCGTTTTTGCCACTAAAAAAGGCGTCAGAGAACATTTTTCTGGCATCCGCTGGATGTGGCGAGTGCGTTAGATTTCCCCATATACGGCCATCATGCTAGCCATTTTTTTGTTTTCCTCAATTATCTGCCCTGCTGACAAGCACGAGCCCTAATCGGTTAGCTTGATCAAAACACACGCTCTCTGCTAATTCAATATGTTCACATTCGACAAACCCGGTGCTTCCGAAGCTGACACGTCTTCGGAACCACAAGTGATTGATTTAAACACGTTCGAGTACGATACCGTGTCTCCTGAGGCACCGGCAGCCAGGAAGTCTCGATTCTGGTTCTGGCCATTTGGCGGCAACAGAAGCGCCGAAGAATCGATTGCAGCGTCAGGTCCTGAAGCAGTCGCCACTAAGGGAAAGCAGCCTAAGAAAATTAACGACTCAACCAACAAGGTGATTGCTATGAGGAAGGTGCACGATGATGGTGTTGAGTTGGAAGATGATTTTATTGACATTCAAGTTCGGAAGCTTTCGTATGCGGAAGTTGCCGCCCTCCAACTAAGGAAGGATGGAGAACTTCTACCAGACTCTTCTAGAAATGCGTCTTCGGGTGTTTCCCACATTGACCCAGTTGTCGACCAAGACTTGGAGCTAGAGAAATCCATTACTGACGTTGAGTTTGCAGACAGCTACTCGAAGTCAAAGAAGTTCTCAATCGACGAATACGGCTGCAGGGAATCCGCTTGGACGGAGGAGGAGCAGATCCTTGAAGACTTCAACAAGAAGCTTCCGAAAAGGTTTGCCAAAAATGGCAGATACATGAAGAAGAGAGATACTCCAGCAGCAAAATAGACTGATTAGTGTGTTTTGTGTCCTCTGCTTTCACTTTCTGTATTATCAATGGATACTAGTAAATTATGCGACACAGCCCTAAACTATTAAAAAGGGGATATTTTTATGAAAAAGGGGATAAACCGCTTCTAGATGACTAGCTACCGAAAAGTGTTTAGTTCCATATCAGTTTTACCCGTTGGTGAGAACTCCGCAGATACTATTATAAAAAGCATAAACGGCTCCTCGAGCGGACCCGAGCTTTCTGAATCTCCCTCGGCAAATGCCAAACTGAGGGCCAATAGAAAAGAGGAAAAGTCGATCCAATCGTCTCTCCTCCTCCCAAGTGAACCACACCGAGATGGCCAAAAGAAAGCAAAAGTCAGCATCGTCTCTAGTGACAGTCAACCCAGATCAATGGTCAGCACCCCTTGGAAGGTAAATAATGCCGAAACTTCTTCCTGGAAGCCAAAAATTCAAAAAGAGGGTAGGAAAAGAAGGGTTGTAGACAGCGACGACGAAATTGAAAAGCAACAGCAATTTGATCCTAATGAAGTACAATGTATGGGGACTCCATCGCAATCCGAGTTAGGTGCCACAATTATAGACGAGTTCAGTCTTGATCCCATCATCACTTCGTCATTGATCGAAGGAGACATGGAAAGTGTTCGCAGAAGCCAATCTCCAAGATGTTGGCCAGGAGATTCAACAAATCAAACCGAGGAGGACACTACACTTGTCGGCGGTAATAGCTTGAAGTTAGCCAGTCAAAACCAAGTGGCAGGCACGCTCTCTTCATTTCTCGATAGATTGCGGCAGATGGAAGCATTTATCATAAAGAGACAGCGTCACATGCACCAAGAGCTGGAGACAAATGAAGCGGCTAGAAAGCAACTTATCGATATCATCAGCCAAACAGAAAAAATCTTGAGCAGCTTGAATCCCTCTGATAATGCACGAAATAAGGCGCAGCAGAAAAATAGTCTGAAATGCATGCATCTCGGACCCTGATGACCACAATATGGAGATAGAACACAATAATCGGGTTCTGCTAAGCCACATATTTCTGATATATATTGAACGCTGCATTTCCAATGAGACTGGACATGACCGAATCGAAGACATATGAGCGTCCGAGTGGTCCTCCACCATCAAAATCTGGTGAAGATTATGGGGAGCTGTTAAAGTATTGCGTGGGTACCATAAATCGACTGCAAGCACCGAAGGTGTTTGATGAGCATTTGCGAAAACTCGGAAAGAAACGTAAAGCCCTGTTTGGTGGAAATAAAGAAGCTAAAAAACTAGCAGAAGTGTTCGAAAAGCAGGTGATAAACTCATGTTTGGACGGGGTGCCATTGTACGCGAACGACCAGGCAGTAATAAGTCAACTAGCTCAGTCCAAGTGTCTAACTCGAATCAAAGAAGTTGCTGCGGAATTTGGATTACAAGATCAGGAGTACGTTTTTTATGATTTATGCCAACTTTGTTTATTCAAGATCATATTCTACATTGACAATTCGGGCTCAATGAAGAAAGGCAATCGATTACAACAGCTACACGATTTCCTCAAACTTTTCATGAAAATTAACGTTAGTCCACAACCATTGAGACTGAAATTCATGAACCACAATAATGAGATCCATACTGTTCTTAGGCAGAAATTTAATATTGACTGCGATAGAATCGAGACAGAGGAGCAACTTAACACCGTGATGGCAAACATCGCGATTAATGGCGCCACTCCACTCGCTACGAACTTGTACACAACAATCCTTGAACCAGAAGTGCTCAACCGTAAACTTGGCCAGCCTATACTCGTTGTCACTTTTACGGACGGCTCCCCGAACGGAGACAAGTACACATTAGGCAAGGTCATCAGGATGGCTCAGAAAAAGCTTTCAGAGAACAATCTGCCGAAAAAGGCAATTTGCTACCAGTTTGCTCAAATTGGAGATGATAAAGAGGCAGGAGAGTATTTAGATAGCTTGGATAGTGATGCCACTATTGGTGATGTTATCGACTGCACATCTCCAATTGAAATTGAGATGAAGCAGATCCGGCGGAAGAATCCAGAGCTATCCACGGAAGTCAATTACGTGAAAAAACTGCTTCTTGGACCTATAGACATTGCTTACGATTCCATGGATGAGATCAATAATCGTGTATACTGATGTAAAGATGTATTAGCTTCAGGCATATAATTTCTCCAAGGGCATAAGTCAGAAAATACTGTGCGCGCGACTTAATGCCACACAAATGATTTTTTTCCAATGTTGATTGGACGACAGAAAAAGACACCGGTTTTTTACAATTCTAAATTGAACGTTCAAGTATATCTTTGGTAGATATTATAGGCAAAGACCTGGTTGAGATAAAGACGAACAGCTTAGATTGACCACATCTGCAGATCCTGGATAAATATACTACTTTGACGAGGAATTGATCATCGGAGTTACTGGAAACTATCAACAAACAAAGGATGTCTTCTGTTGCCAAATCTGCCGCCACCAAGCTGGACTGGACCAAAATTGTGTCGAAATTGGGCCTTTCTGGTCAAACGGCAGCTGCATTGACCTCGTTCAAGAAGAGAAACGACGAAGCCAAGAGAGTTTTGTTCGAACTGAAACAGCAACCTAGCAACGTCGACTTTGCGTTCTACAAGAGCACATTGAAGAATTCTGCCATCGTTGACAAGATTCAGAGCGATGTCTCCAAATTCACTCCATCCAAGACCAACCTTTCTAAACAGCTCAAGCTGATTGAGTCCTTCGAGGCAAAGGCCTTGGAAAACGCAAAGGAGACAGAAAGCGTTGTTCTTGCCGAGCTTACCGATTTGGAAAAGACGCTTGAGAACATCGAGAGCGCCAGACCATTTGATCAACTTACCGTGGAGGACGTCGTCAAGGCTAGACCAGACGTCGAAGAAAAGGTCCAAGACATGGTGTCGAAGGGTAGATTCGAGGTGCCAGGCTACAAGGAGAAGTTTGGTGACTTGGTCATCATGTAAGATCGCACATAAATTGAACACTAGAGAATTGATATATGATTCATGTAACACGAGGCTAAGCAGTTCTGTACATCTTTTTTTTTCTCTGTAGGGTTATCTTCCATGTCTCAGTCAAATGTTGATCTCTCCTCTCAATTTCTTGAATGTCTGGCCGTCGAGCGCCAGGAGAGCTTCGAACAGACATCTGAGCTGATCTCGCGCGCCTCGCCCAAAAGCTTGAGTGCCAATGGCCTAGCAGTGCTGAATCTGAGAATTGCGAACGTGCGGACTGGAATTGGGGGCAAACAGATCGTGGAGATGGTTCCTCATAGTTCTATTGTCGGAAAAGACAATGGGGCGATCCAAACAGGTGACTTCAAGGTCGGTGACATTGTCAAGTTGGACAAGTATGGCTCCGATATGAACACTAAAAAGCTGAAAAACTCATCTAAAAAGAAAGACGTTGACGATGCCGAGGAAGCGAGTGTCCAGATTGACGGTGTGGTGGTGCTTGTGAGCGAGCGGCAGATCAACATTGCTCTCAACTACGACTCAATGACAGCCGAAGGTGCCACAATTGAGGAGAAAGTCTACTCTCTTTACAACTCGGACGCTAAGGTATGGCTTGTTCAGGTGGACAACGAGATCACTTACAATCGCATGGAGTCAACAATGAGGAAACTGGGCGAACTAGACTCTGATACGGCGTCTGAGCTTGTGAAGCTTGTATTGGGCAAGTCTGCATTTATCCCGCCTCCATTAAAGTACCAAACGACAGAGCTCAATTGGTTCAATAAGAGTCTTAATGCCTCTCAAAAATATGCAGTTCAGTTCTCGCTGGCAAGCAATCTGAGCATAATCCATGGCCCCCCTGGAACGGGAAAGACAAGCACCATAGTGGAGCTCGTCAAACAGATGGTGTGGAGGAAAAGAGAGTCTGAAGGCAGGAAACGTATACTGATCTGTGGGCCCTCCAATATCTCGATCGATACCATACTGGAACGACTTTCGCCTTTTTTCTCAGACAACAACTACTCAAGGCTGGTCCGCATTGGGCATCCTGCGAGAATTCTGCCCCAGATTTTGCGTCACTCATTAGATCTCATAGCAGAGAGCGAGTCAGGCGAGATACTAGGAGATATTCTGCAAGAGATCAATCAGTTGACTCGGAAAATCAAGAAAACAAAGAGCTACAGAGAGCGCAGAGAACTCTATCAAACAATCAAAGAGCTAAAGAAGGATCTGCGTTTTCGATCGAAGAAAGCATACAGCGATGTTCTCTCGAACTCGGAGGTCGTGACAGCTACTCTTCACGGGTCCTCGGCAAGAGAAGTCGTGAATTGTATCCGCGAAAGGGGAGATTTGTTTGACACGATCATTATAGACGAAGTTTCACAAGCCTTGGAGCCTTCCTGCTGGATCCCGTTGATATATCATCAATCTTTGAAACAGCTGGTCATTGCAGGCGATAACAAACAGTTGTCACCGACGATAAAAACGAAGAAAAATGCCAAAGTGGTCGAAACATTGAGCAAAACGTTATTTGATAGATTAATCGAAGTGCACAGAAATCACCAAGAGTTCACCTGCTTCCTTGACATCCAGTACCGCATGAACAAGAAAATCATGAGGTTTTTCAGTGATGCGCTCTATGGCGGAAGGCTCATCGCTCATTCCTCAGTCGAAAATATTAAACTTTCGGACCTGGGGTATGTGAAGTCTCCCGAAGACGACAACGTTGCGGAGGAGATCATTTGGTACGATACTCAGGGAGGCGACTTCCCGGAAGCAGACTCTGCTGAAGATGATTCAGCAGGTCTGCAAGCTTCGAGGTATAACGATGGAGAATGTTTGGTGGTTCTGAAACATGTTCGTTCTTTGGTGGAGGACCATAACGTGAAGCAGAGAGACATAGGAATTATTTCTCCGTACAGTGCCCAGGTGTCTTGCTTGCGAAAGCTCTTTCGAGAGGAGACGGAGCATCCGTTTCCAGACATCGAAATCAGCACTGTGGACGGTTTCCAGGGACGCGAAAAAGAGGTGATCATTCTGTCATTGGTGAGGTCGAACGACTCGCACGATGTGGGATTCTTGAATGACTATAGACGTATGAACGTTTCCATCAGTCGGGCCAAGCGCCAGCTGTGCGTTGTAGGGGACATGGAAACAGTTAGCGAGAGCAATGTGGTTTTCCTCAAGCAGTGGTGTGAGTGGTGCGAAGAAAATGCCGATATTAGATATGTGGATGTAAGCGAGTTATGAGCTTGGCGTCCACAGACACAGCTCCGAGTCTGCCGACGCCATCACACAGTACTGGGGGTCGAACAGAAGCATTCGCGGAAGAGTTTTCGTCTCATTTTCTATCTTTTTGACTGGATGCAATACTGCCGGCAGTTCTTGAGTCGACAAAAGTTTCAAGTCCCATACCAGTACAGAACCGTCGCCATTGCCACCAAAGATGAACCGGCAGTCCGGAGAGACCGCCAAGTTGCCGGTGTCGGGGTATTCTCTCTCGATGAGAGGCAATTGGCCTGGTAGTCTTGCTACCAGGCTCAATTTGAAAGCGTCTAGAAGGAAGTGCTCGGTGGAATTGGTGGTGATCAAAATATACTTATTATTGTTCATGAAGTCAATTTTCGTGACAGACGACGGCTTTGCAAAGTCACACACCACGGTGGCGAATGGCCGTTCCGTAATATGCGCCACCGCATGCAGGGATAGGACATTTGAACTAGAGTTGTAGATGGCAACGACTGTGTTCGATGGATCAAGGGCTATGGAGAACGGGATGTCGTCGGTCACCAGAGTAGCCTGGCAATTGGCACTCCTCGTGTCCCACAGGCGGACACTGTAATCGTAGGCGGCACTAACAAACATATGATTAAGATCGGCCATGGCCAGATCTGTCACCAGGGCCGTATGACCTTTGAAATATCTGATGAAAGAGTTATCATGCAGCGATAGATACCGAATTGTATCGTTTTCCTTGGTGGATGCAAACACACAAGTGTTTTCCTTGCTGGTCAGTTTGGCCAGATGGCAGCCGTATTTCTTGGAGTAGATGGGCTTGACATGTCTTCCTTTGGCGACATCGTAGAGATGTATGCTTTCGTCGACGCCGGCGGTGAGGAGGAACTGGCCTGTGTGGTCAAAATCAATAGACGTTATGGGCGTGTTCGGCACGTGATTGCTAAACAACTTTGCCGGCTTCAGCGAGAGCAGAAGGTTAGCTGAGATTGGCGTCGCCATAAATGAAGCAAAAATTGGGATGAAAAATAAAAATGCACAGCCACATAATAAAGATGAATTAATTTATATATACAAAATGGGAGTGAGTACCTGTGTAGATCTTGCGGAAGCCTAACACTAGATTGGCAAATATGCGCATTATGCCTTTGATCTGGTTTTAATCTCGATGGTGCTTGCAGGTATCAAGAAAACCACCGGACTCACTCTGTCTGTGGAGGACCTTGCCGAGGGGCCAAGTTCCAGATCGCTGCTCTCCCGCTACCTGTCGGTTGGCGAAGGGTGTTTTGACTATGCAGTCTCCTGGTGCAGGGGCTCACGCTTATTCAGGCCAAAGAATGTTGAGAATTTCGACGACTTGAAGGACGCACTGAGACACGGTGTGAACAACATGATTGATGACAGAAAATGATAGGATGTATAGTTTAACACGGAAATATTGGGCGTTTAGCCGTCCTTCAGTAGAAGGATAAGACACTGTTGTCTTTCTATCAGTAGGCGGCCAAATTAAACCTCCTTAAATGGGGCTTGTAACGATTACTGGTTATAAGCCATAAGGCAAAGGAGAACATCGTATTTGAATCTATATACATTGATCATTTGTCCTCTTCCTCTTCTGGGACCAGAGCATCAGCAGACTCAAGGAGCTCGCTTAGCTCGCCCGACTGACTCATGGCCATCACAATATCGCAGCCTCCGACGAAATCTTTATTGACGTAGAGTTGAGGGATGGTAGGCCATTCACTGTATTCCTTGATACCCTGTCTGAGCTCCGGATCTTCCAAGACATTGTAGGCAGCAAACTTGTGTGGATCCACACCCAGCTGTCCCAGTATCTGAATGGTGGCTCTCGAAAAGCCACAAGCTGGGGCCTGTGGAGTACCTTTCATGAAGAGCACGACAGGTGCAGACGAAATGGCCTGCTCAATCGCAGATCTTGTCTCCTGGGACAAGAATCTCACGGCAGGAGGCGCCAGCCGGAACTTTGGTGTACGGAGCGAACTTTGGAAGGCACGGGCAAACATGGTGGAACCTATAGACGAGAAGTTTTTATTTGTAATGCGTCGATCGTCCGCACAGTACAAATTATCGTCGCTGTAGAGACCCTTGCTCCGCTAAAAAAGACAGGCCTCTGGTATAACAGAGATTGCCGATCAACGACCCTCTCCACCGGCGCAAGCCACACCTGTTGCATGTGAACCGTCTAAATGAATTCTATTGTGCAACGCAACGCACGCACCCTTCCACCTTATATTATTCAATTTCGCTAAAAGCAAGCCATTTTTTATTTTTCGATAAAGCAACATATATCCCAAATACCAGATAAAAAGTTCTTACCAGAGGCAATTTTCACCACTTTATCAATATCAGGATACTGGAAGCCGCTAGGTCGACTTAGAATAACCTTTGCCATTCAATTTTCCCAGTGTGAACTGATCACCTGTTGTCTACTGTTGTCCCAATCTCCCTTTCGGGTATTAATATAGCTAAGTTGCTAGCACAAAATAACCCGGAATTGCGAGTCACACCACAATGAACGGAACCTCCAGACGTTCCAGCTCTTACGAGTTTGTGCCCGAATACTTGAATCACGGGCCGTTGCGCCCCCAGCCCACGAATTATCACAAACACAACGGTTCGCTGTCGTTCCAACAGGGTCTGCAGACGGATAATCACTGCCCGACCTCTTCTTTTTACCATCAGAGCATCGATAATGTTCAGTACCTCCATGACAGGCAGCCCTTCCCGCAGTCAATCCAAAGAAGCGCTACTGACTACTCCAATTTTGAATATCTGGAGAGAATACCACTAGACGTACCACTGGACGACCCTATTCCTCTCCCAAGCGCCACGGATAGCGTTGCAAGCCAAGTCAGCCCGGATCTGGGATTCACTTCAGAGACTTCCATGTCCTCCGCGGGTAACTACGTGAGCACAAGCCCCAGTTATCTGGAGGATTTTGTCACCACAGAACCATCGTCGGAGGAATCAGCCCACATCGACGACTACCTCACCCAATATATCAAGCTTGAAATGATCAGCACGCCCAATGAACATCGCTCAGAGGGTTTGGGAATAAAGTCTTCAACGCAGTCTGCCCAAAAACGGTCGTCTCCAAAAACAAATCCTCCACTCGTTTTCAAGCAAGAGGTTATTTCTCCGACAGCCAAAAAAATGGCTTTGCCCAAACTGAAGCCAAAACCAAAGACTCCTCGGGCACCACCGAAGTCTGCTAATAAAATGGCCAAATCCCTGTCCACGACACAAATGGCCACTGCAGCAGCTGCTGCTGCTGTATCGTCTCAGGCTGCGCCGAAAAGAAAACCTAGCGTCTCGTCACTGTCGTCTGCAGCAGCAATAGCCACCACCACGATGGCTAGAAATCCAGCTGATGCACAAAAGACGCCGGTTTCCGCAAGAAAGTCGCTGCCGTCAACTCCCAAAAAAGCATCAAAATCACCGAGCCACTCGAAGCAGAATTCCGGAAGCCGATTTTCATTTGTGTTTGAGACCGCTCCGAAAATGCCAGTTAATAGCTCTTCCGCATGTTCACTGTCCTCCAATTCGACCGTCTCTTCTAATTTGTCAGCCTCCTCGCCAACTCACAGCATGGGCTCGCCCACGACCATCCCGCACTCCATCAACGCATCGTCCAAGCCTACATTCATTATCTACTCGCAACAGCATCAATTCATTCCCGAGACCATACCGAACTATTTTCGCCCTCACTCGCGTCGCAACAGCATCGCCACCTCGACGTCGTCCGGCGTCACTCCGCTGCAGAGCCCGATGTCTTCGTCTATGTCTAAATTTCCCAAAGCGCCAACATACTCGTCTTCAGTGTCGTCCGTGTCAATATCGAGCACAAAGTACAAGAAACTGGCCAAAACGTCACATTCAAAGCACGTGATAGATACCGATCTGAAACATAACTCGGAATTTCAAAAGTCCATTACCAAGTTCCCTAAGAACGACGTCGTTCCATTCGAGCCGAAGATCTACAAGGACATGAGACAGGGCCTGATGGAATTCCAGCTTCAGGTTCCGCCCAAATAGCGCCAGTCATTCGTATAGCGTTAATAAACTAATAGTATTCTATACACCGGATGCTGTATCGCAGTGCACTGGCTCCCCACGCCTTGGCAGGGGTCGTGTGCGAACCGGCTTTTTCATCTAGAATGTTGCTAAAAACAAACCTGGCTAAAATTGTATGTTCCTCGCTACTACTTGCTCGTAAAGTACTGAACGCACACTCGTCCGGCTCGCATCGCAGCATACCATACCATACAGTTAAACGACGCAAAATGAGTTTGGAAGGCATGAATGATTTTAGACTCGGGACAGAAGCTTTCGCAGCAGGGGTACCGTCTCCTCCTCCAAAAGACGTTGATGGGGCCAAGACATCAGGAACAGACTTTGTAAAGAAGCTTTTCCAGATGCTCGAGGAAAACCGCTACGCAGATATTGTCCGATGGTCAGAGACAGGTGACTCGTTTATTATCGCAGATACAAACGAGTTCACCAAACAGGTTTTGCCTAAACATTTCAAGCATAGTAACTTTGCCTCGTTTGTGCGCCAACTCAACAAGTATGATTTCCACAAGGTGAAAATTAGCAACGAGCTCAAACAGAGATACAGTATCGAGAATGTGTGGGAGTTTAAGCATCCCGAGTTCCAGAGAAATAATAAAGAGGCGCTTGAGAATATCAAGCGAAAGGTGACGGCTAAGAAGGAGGGAGACACCGGCGCTTCATCAAACACGGTCTCTCTTGCGCAGTTCCGCAATCTGCAAGACAATTTTGGATTTTTGGAAAAGCAAAACCAGTCTCTGACAGAGACGGTGCAGAAACTCCATGATGAGCTGAACATTCTCAACACCAAGTACAATACGATGGTGTCGAGTTTTCTGACGTCGAAATCAATCAACGAGTCGTACTCCCGCGCGATCAATATCTTGGCCAAATCCTTGACCCAGATGGGCGTTGAGTTGCCGCCACTGAATCTTCCTTTCATCGACCAAAATCAACCGTCTCAGGAACCGCAGCCTGCTGGTAGCATGCCTTCGTCAGTGGAGGCGCCTCCACAGGAACATCCACAATACATTCCCGCAAACGAGCCTACTAAACCAGCATCCCAGCCTCCGGCAGGAACACAGCAAGACAACCGTATTGTGCGACGGACGAATGGCTCTGGAATGCATGTTTTGCTGGTTGAAGACGACGACGTCTGCATCCAGCTCTGCAGCAAATTCTTGATGAAGTACGGTTGCACGGTGGAGGTGGTGACAGACGGACTGGCCGCTATCAATGTCTTGGAAAAGGTCAAATTTGACTTGGTACTGATGGACATTGTGATGCCAAATCTCGATGGAGCATCAGCAACCTCTGTTATCCGATCTTTCGATGTGGATACGCCGATCATCGCCATGACAGGGAACTATCAGCATCAGGACCTGGTAACGTATCTGAACCATGGAATGACGGATATTCTGGCCAAGCCATTCACCAAAAACGATCTGTACAACATCCTGGAGAAGCACCACATAGATAAGAAGCTGATTTATCCAGTCAACGATCCGTTCAACCCCGTGAACAAAAATAGCACTTCGCACTCGGTGGCGGGCCAGCAGGCACAGGTGGTTGCTCCGATGCCGATAGAGTCGGAGCCGGAGCCGCTGCAGCCAAAGATGAAGCCAGACTACGAGAACACGCTAAAGAGACAAAAACTTGTATAGTGTACATACGACTCGCTTACCTAATGGATAATATTTTCAAGGAATTAGCGACAGGATCTTTTTCAGCGAAATTAAACCAAGTAACATACGCCAGGCATTCGTTTTCATTCCACTGACACCCATGTTTGGACTTTCTAGAACTGTCGGCTTGAGTCAGCGCATGGCATTCGCCAGACTGAGCTCTACACTGGCTTTTGTCGAGACCGCTGGCTCCAAAATCACTCCTTCGTCGCTTTCGGCCTTAACTGCGGCACAGGAGCTGGGTAAGCCAATTACAGCTCTGTTGGTGGGCCCGCACGCTGCCGATGCCGCCAAGGAGGTTTCAAAGGTCACCTCCGTGGACAAGATCCTGGTGTCGCCTTCTGAAAAGTACGACCACTACCTGCCAGAGCAAGTCTCTCCGCTGGTCGCCAGCTTGCTGAAAGATTCCGACTACTCCAATTTTGTTGTTGCTGCGTCCACTGTGGGAAAGAACTTCCTTCCTCGCGTCGGGGCCATTCTGGATCTACAGCCTATTTCGGATATCATCAAGGTTGTTTCTCCGGACACTTTTGTGAGACCAACATATGCTGGTAACGCAATTTTGACTGTCAAGTCCAAGGACAGCCAGGTTCTATTTTCTGTCAGAAGCTCTGCGTTTGCACCTGTCGAGCTGAAGGATACTCGTGACGTGCCTGTGGAAGAGGTTCCGTACGTTGAGGCGGGCAACAGTGCGGAGTTTGTTTCTGAAGAGCTCGTCAAGAGCGAGAGGCCAGATCTGGGATCTGCCAAGGTCGTTGTTGCCGGCGGCCGCGGACTCAAGAACAAGGAGGAGTTTGATAGACTGATCACCCCGCTGGCCGAGAAGCTGAATGCTGCCATCGGTGCTTCGAGGGCCGCCGTTGACGCTGGGTTCTGCGACAACTCGCTGCAGGTGGGGCAAACCGGGAAAGTCGTTGCCCCAGACCTGTACATTGCCGTTGGTATTTCGGGAGCCATTCAGCACCTGGCGGGTATGAAGGACGCCAAGACGATTGTGGCAATCAACAAGGACGAGGAGGCCCCTATTTTCTCTGTTGCCGATGTGGGCATTGTTGGCGATGTTTTTGAAATTGTTCCTGAGCTAACTGCAAAGATTTAGAGCCGGGGGAAAAAACCGTTTCGCCGCGCCGTGGCCGGGCCTTGATTTAAATAAAGCGCTCTTCTTAATTGAATCTCATATTACACTTTGCTGAATAAAACTAATTAACATAGACAATGCCCTACGACAGATCAAAGGAGATGGAACAACAGGCCTGGGTGGCCGAAAGACTGAACAGCACCCCTGCCCTGTCTGCGCTGAACGGACTGCTTTCTTCCTTCCCCGTGGTGAAGATCTTCACCTCTAACGCTGTTCCTCTTCTTATCTGGAGGGAGCACAACCAGGCTGCCAGACTCGAAAAGAGATACAATCACTAGAGCACGTTCTCGTCAGCGTGGCGGCGCCGCTGAGCACGCTATAGTTCATTTTATGTACTGAATGGAATAATCTTTGTGGAAAGGGTCTAGCGTTTCCTGTCCAGGGAGTCGAATATCGAGTAGGGCGCGTCGCTCGGCGTCGGCGTTCTGTAGCTGCGCAGCGTTTCCCGCGTGGTTCTGTCGAAGTCGAAGAGCGGACTGGGATCTCGCACGCTGCCTGTGGAGCTGGTGTCTGTAAAATTAAAGCGGGCCAGCATCATGGGTTTCTCGATCACCACGGCGTTCTGAGAGCTTGAGTTGCGGTCCACGCGCAGAGACCGCTGGCGAACGGCAGGCACAGAGCCGGAATGGGACGACAGAGACGTGTTGGAAGAGCGAATTTGTCGCGTGGACATCGAGTTCGAGCTCACAGAAATCGCCGAGGCCAGCGGCGAAACCAGTGCCAAAGTAGCGTCGCTCGCGAGCGACAGAGTGTCTGAGCGCTGCGACTCGGGGACCGGGGAGTCTGTCTGCGTGAGTTTGTCGATGGCGCGCTGGATATAGTTGTCCTTTCTAGGTCGCTTGATGCCAACAGTCTCGTGCGAGACCCGTTTGCGTTTCTGGAGCTGGGTCGGGAGCGACGAGCTGGGCCTTGTTCTTACGAGTCCGAGCACACGCTTGTTTTTGCGGGCCGGGACGCTCGAAGGCTGCGAGTGCGGCTGCGGAGCCGACTTCTGGTGCGCGCGGATGTTGAGATCGTTGGCGTTCAGGTTCTGCATCTGCTTCACGACGTTCCTCTCGTAAGTCCCCAAGACCTCGTCTATCATGATCCAGATCGACTCGAGCTTGACCAGATCGTCGACTCGGTACCGCGGGTACGAGCTCAGGAAGTCAGAGTAGATTTCCATGCGATCCTCGTCGTAGACTATTAGCTTCTTGTTCAGCTTGAACAGACGCATTGTGCCGTCGTGCCAGACCTTGTGTTTCTTTGCGGTCTCATTAGTGTACAATATTTGGTACTCGGAGTACTCGGAATGCTCCAGATGGCTGTAGGAGGGCGGCACTTGGGTTGTCATGGAGAATGGTGACAGATCATAATTACCGACTGGTGGTTATACAAATATTTTTTCTTCGCCACTGCAGTGTGCTTGCCGGACGCGAAAAAAGTGGCTAGTACGCCTCCTGGATGTTTCAGATTTAGCGTGTTGGCTGCCGGTGTCCTGGACGACTGAAACGGGTGGTGGAAAGAGCGGAAGCGTGTGTGCATCGTTGAGGATTCCCCGGCGGCGAGAAGAGCCTGGCAGGGTTCTGCCGGGTCTCAGAGCGAAGACGAGCTGAAATTCTGCGCAGCTCGCGAGGCTCGAAAAGAAAAGCGGATCTGGCAGGCTGGATGCACCCGGCGCGGGCTGTCCCGAGGCTCGTGGTGGAAGCTTGTCTGTGAAGCTCATGTAGCTTGGGTGAGCTCGACAAAAGAAAAAAGCAGGCGAATGAAGTTCTCGACTCGTCAGATCCGCATCCCGTTAGACTTCCGTTTCAGGTAAATAGGCCAGGTGAAGGAGTGCACGTTGGCACAGCCCTATTGCCTGCCCAAAAGGGGATATCGATCTAGACTCTGTATGCAAGACCTATGCCACCGTCCTCACACGGGAAGCGTCCGAGATACTGTATGTACGGCAAGCAAGGCCTGGAAAAAAGAAAACGCGCTTCAGGAATATGCGCGATACCACCGACGCGATTTCCTGTAAGCGACTCCTATTGATCTGACGCACGGTCTGAAAAAATATTATTGTTTCGGCACTTAAGGTTCTAGAGGCTCAGCAGCCAAACAAAAACATCCTACAGGAGAGTGCGGCTCGTACCTGCTACCAAAAATTGGTTTCGGACGTGTTTGGAGACGTCTAAGCACTGCATGTTTCAATACAAGATATAAATCCCAGCTTTCCCCAGCTGAATCTCTCTCCATTATAGCTCAGGGGTAACAGCCATCCGGATTTCATTCATTTTCCTCTCGACTCGTTCCTTATGTTCGCCAGAACCCTCCTGTGCACGTTGTTGGCTACTGCTGCCCTGGCTTCGCCCATCCACCAGCACCACCAGCACGCAAAGAGAAACCCAGCTGTTACCGTTGTTGTCACAGAATACTTCGATGCCAACGGCCAGGTGACTTCCTCGCAGAACCCTGTGCCAAGCGGCGACGCATCCGACAGCGTCTCATACTCGGTTGCCAGCGCCCCTGCGTCGGGAACCTCCGAGGAGCCATACTATCCTTCCAGCCAGAGCACCTCGGGCTCCAGCTCCACGGCCTCGGCCGGCTCTGTGGAGGCCTACGCAGAAAAAAGCAAGGGTATCACGTACTCTCCGTACACCGATTCGGGATCGTGCAAGTCCGAGAGCGAGGTTGCCAGCGACATCGCCAAACTCTCGGCCTACGAAATCATCAGAGTGTACGCTCCAGACTGCTCCTGCATCACCAACATCATGGCCAACATGGGCTCGAACCAGAAAATTTTCGCCGGGCTCTTCAACATCGGCTCGCTCACTGACGACATCGCTACTTTGGCCGAACAGGTCCAGGCCTCGAGCCAGGGCTGGGACGGCATCTACGCTGTGGCCATCGGCAACGAGTGGGTGCAAAACGGCGAGTCTGCCTCGAACGTCGTTAACGCTGTCTCCTCGGGCAGATCGACCCTTTCGTCTAAAGGCTGGACTGGAAAGGTGGTGACTGTCGACACCGTGGGAGCATACCAGGACAACGACAGCCTGTGCGAGGCGTCCGACTTCATTGCCGTCAACGCACATCCATACTGGAACGGGAACGTCAAGCCAGAGGATAGTGGCAGCTTCCTGCAGTCTCAGCTCTCGCTTCTGCAGAGCGTCTGTGGCAGCGAGAAGTCGATCCTCATCTGCGAAACCGGATGGCCAACCCAGGGAGACACCTTCGGACAGGACGGTGTTCCATCGACGGCAAACCAGCTCACTGCCATCAAATCCATCACCGACTCGCTTGCCGACCAGGTGATCATGTTCACCACATACAACGACTACTGGAAAGACCCGGGTAGCTACGGTGTCGAGCAGTACTGGGGTATCTATCCCAACTGAACCCGTTCGTTCATGTTCCCTCGTTTGCATTCGCTCTATAGAAGTCGACTGATTTGCATTCCCCATAGACGTAGTTGCGGCACGATGCTAGCGAAAAAAATAATATTTCGCGTCGCGTTCTGCTCCTTCATAGTGTACATTTATTTATAGAAAGGCACGTACTATACAATCTAGGCGGCCGTGCCGTTGGAGGCAGCCGCTTTGCTTTGCTGCGCCAGTTTCCAGGCAAGGTACTTGGCACTGTGGCCCAATCGCACCGGCTGCAACGCCTCGCCAACACGCTTCTTCTTGACAAAAGGCAGTGCTAGGTCCTCGTTGTCAAAGTCCTCCTGCGAAACCAGACGGTTAGGAATGTACTGGGGCGGTCCTCTGTACCACAACATTGGGGTCAGCTCGTCCTCGGGGTACTCGTCAGGCTTGCTCATCGTATCGGTGCTTCCATTGAGGTAATTGTTCTGAGCAAGGTTCTTGGTGAATCTGTGGAAATTGCCGCTATCTATCCGCTCGTAGAGACTTCTGACTTCCTTCGGCATCTTTAGCTCTTGCGACGTAGGCAGGATGAACGACTGCGAGTATGAAGGAGGGTTGAACGGCGAGTACTGGTATGCCAGATTATTATACGGAGTCTGCACCACCTTCTGGCCTCCATACATGTTCCCGTACGATGGCACGGCGGGCTGCTGTTGGTAGCTGTTGTAACTAGAGGCTCCGTTGCTATGGTATGGCGACTGGAAGTTGAACGGCTGCATATTCGACATTGATTGCGGGTAGCCGGATGCAGGGTTTGGCGGAATCGGCATGTTCTGAGGAGGAGGACTTTGGTCAGAGTGTAGCATGGGCAGTCTGATATTTGGCGACGGTGGGATGTACGTTTTGTACTCGTTGCTCTTCAGCGAAGCATCGTAATAGTTTGGATCGTCGTGCGGCTCGCTGTCTGGTCCTGGCTCAAAGATATGGATGCCACCCACCAGCGGGGGAGCATTGAGGTTCAAGATCGTTGGTGGAGGAGGCTTTTCGGAGGGGACAGCGTTGGGAGGAAGCATGTACTTGATCGGAGACGGAAACTTTTTCAAGACCCGCGGCTTGTCAATGGGAGTCACTGGATCTTCAATGTGTCTCACCTCGTCTGGGAGACAGGCTCTCCATGTTCTGATTTTGGCAAATGACAGCTCTCTGTCGCTGTACCTGAACTCGCATATAAATAGTGGACCCTCGTATTTGACAGCAGGATCGCCCTTCAGCCATCTGGTGAAGTAAGCAACATAGCACGGTCCCAAAATATCCTCCACAGGATGGTCTCTATACTGACCAGTCTTGAAGACCTCGTTCTCGAGGAATAAGCGGTCGTAACTGTGCGAAGTCCATTCTGGTCTGTAGTACCAACACACGTTGACGTAACTCTTTCCATGTTCCTGCCACATCCTAAAGATCTGTCCAACAATCGGTCTATCAGGATCATTGGGATTTTTCAGTAAGACCCAATTTCCAACCTTGTACGTTCTTCCCTCGTAAACCAGAAAGGGAACAGGCACTTTGGACGTGACAACATCACCGTAGTCGCTGTCTGGCCTCTGCATCTCCAGATGATAGAGTCTGGTGATGTTGGACTCCAGAAGATGGACGTTATTCAGCATGGCCGAGTTGGCCGGATAGTATGCCTTCGAGTTGGCAATTAGCTTGAAAACATCCGCCATATAAGCGTCCACACTCTGGTAGTGTCGCTGTTTAATCAATCCCTTGATGTCCAGCATAGAAATGGGCTCCTTGACAATCCTGTAATATTCAGGATGATCCTGTTGATTCGGCAGCTTGTCGAACACGGTAATGATTGTTTTTCCATTAACCTTGATTTTCTTGAGACCCCTCATGATACTCTTTATTCTCTGTTCGTGGGGCTGATCCACGATCGGGGGTCTTCCTCTCTTAACCCAGTTCTCTAGCAGCTGATCGTTCGACTTTGCGACGTTACGTGTTGGTGGATAGTAGTAGTTAGACTGCTGCGAAACCTCGGTTTTTGACACATATGCCGATGGGTTGTAGTTTGGCATCGCGTTGTTGTAACCTCCTGGTAGTGAATGCATTGGATTTGTATGTTGCATCATGTTGGATCCCGCACTAGGTTCCCGATAATCTTCATCCTGGTAATCGTCGTCCTGCTGTCTTGTCTCGTCCACTTCCTCCTCCTCGTAGTCCTCGTCCTCGTAGTCGCCACGAGACTTTGACTGACGAGCAGGAGGGGTTGGAGACGGGATTTGCATGACAAAATCGTCCTCTCCTGGCAATTTGCCAAGATTAGGGTAGTGGACTTCGGAACGTCCAGGAATGGAGGAGTCTTTTTTGATAGCAGGGATCACGGTTTGCTGAATGTAATTATCGAGCACAACTGCACATTCGTGATAGATTGATGTTTTTTCGTTGTAAAACCGAGCATTCCAGGTGATCTGGGCCAGATCGTTAATGAACTGCTGTGGATGGGAGTACTTGAGACTCTTTATCGTAGAGCGGATCTTGGAATATGACATTGGCTTGCGGATCACCTTGTAGTAATCGGTGTTGGATCTTAGTGGAAGAACCTGGAACATTTCGTAGAACTCATTCCCCTCGGAGTCCTTCAGCGTGAGAATGTCGTCCATGAACTCTGTAAACTTTGCTGCCATCGCACGGCGCTCCTGTTCGGAGGCATTCGGTTTCTCGTAAGGTGCCATGGGAGTCTATAAGGTTGAAAATGCACTCTTATGACGAATATCTGGAGACAAGCCTATAAAGCGGCGGAAAATGGGTAGAAACGTGGCAAAACGCGTGCGATTCTGCAGTTTGCAACTTTTTTCTGTTATGAAAATAGTACGGATCTGATTTCTCGCAACGAGACGAAAAAAACAACCCTTAAGTCTTTTCCTAGTTTGTGTTTTTATGAAGGAAAAAAAGGCTGGCAAAAATTTTCGACTCTAGACACAATCTTATTTTGACAGACAGAGGCTTTTTAGATTAGAGAAAGCTCAACTATTTATTTAGCAAGATAACCTATCAGATGTCGTGAAGAAAGTCACTGTCTTTTTTGATGCAGTCCTCAGAACACCACGATGAAGATAGTAACGAGTCTCCAGTAAACAGCGAGGACTGGACAGAGTCTGCCCCCTCTTCCACGCTAATACCAGTCTCCACACTTGAGTCTTTCCATAACTTCTTGCGATCGCCAAATTGCAAAACCGTACTTGCTCTTGTCGGCGCTGGGCTGTCTGCCTCCTCTGGATTGTCGACTTTCCGCGGGTCAGGGGGACTGTGGAAACGGTACAACGCAATCGACCTAGCCACCCCCGATGCGTTTCTCGACAACCCGGGGCTGGTGTGGCAATTTTACGCCTATCGCAGACACAAAGCCTTGCAGGCGCAGCCGAACCTCGGCCATTACGTGCTGGCCGAGCTCAGCAAACTCGCAAACATTAATTTTCTTACAATTACACAGAACGTCGACGGCTTGTCTCAGAGAAGCGACCATGTGCCAGAGAAATTGCTCGAGTTCCACGGGTCGTTGTTTGGGATGAGATGCACAAACTTCAGCTGCTCGTACGAGGAGCACAATAATTATAAGGACCCGCTATGCGAGGCCTTGAGAGTGGACAATTTCGACCAGACCGACGTCCTGCCGTTTCTCGACGAGCAGGAACTCCCGCACTGTCCCGCATGCAAGGTTGGACTGTTGAGGCCGGCTGTGGTGTGGTTTGGAGAGTCGCTGCCTCTGCAGATGATCGACAAGGCAGACGAGTTTATAGTGCGGAACAGAGTGGATTTGATGCTGGTGATAGGAACTTCTCAAGCGGTGTGGCCAGCGGCGTCGTATGTGGACATCGTCAGAAACCAGGGAGGCAAAATCGCCATTTTCAACACCGAGCCGGACGGCGACGAGAAAGACTGCTGGCAGTTTATAGGAGACAGTGCAGAGACCTTGCCCGTGGCTATGGAGCCGCTGATCGGCAAGCTCAGCCCAGATACTTCCATATCAAATACATCACGTACAACGTGAGTGCTGCGCCGATGTAGAATATCCATTTGTCCTCAAATGCCTTTTTCTCGATCTGTCTAATGGTGGCTTTCGAGACTCCGAGAGTCTGCAAGCTAGACGACATTCTCTCCTTCATTTTCAGCACCACTTCGTTCTGCTCCACCAGGTCGTCAAACGCCATTCTTCCCATCTCCAGAATCTCGTCTAGCTGCTGGTTTGAGCGTTCTAGCACAGACTGTTCTTTCTGCAGCCCCTCCTGCATGGACAGTCCCGAAAGCTGTTCCTGCCGGCTCTGGCCGGCCCTGTTGGTCACAGAGGAAACGTTGCCGTCGTCGTACGGGTTTTCAGAAATGGCCGTCGACCTGTTTGCGAATAATTGGTTTCTATTAACCTCAGCTAATCCTTCCTCTCGCTGTTTCTTTAATGATTGCGTTTTCAGCTTGTACTCTAGGAGCTCGTTTTTCAGGCTCGCAAGCCTGTTTTCATTCTTCAGTTTCTGCGACTCGTTCAGGCTCAGCGTTTGCTTGACGATGTAGTCCTCGTAGTCCTGGAGAGTTCTCGAAAGGTTGGTGATGGTGGTAGTGATCTGGCCGATCAGAGAGAGCTGCGCCGAAGCAGGGTCTTTTTCAAACTGCTCAAGGTCCTTTCGCAGTTGCTGCGTCTGCTTGATGGCATTATTATACAGGAGAGACTAAGTTAGCAGTGGACTAGAAAACACTTACCATGTGTATTGTTTTACAATTTCGCGACCGTTGAAAATGAGAGTTTTAATTATTTCAGTGACGAGCCGTCGCTGACATCTGCTTTTGAGAATTACCGTGAGCCTTCAATGAACCGACAGTGCGCTACCGCACGGATTGGACGGTGGACAGCGTGCTGTTGAACCAGTGAAAGCAGTAGTAGCCAGTAGCTTGACACGGTACTAGGGCATGTCCCTCCTTTCTTCTTGGTTCGCCAATCTGAACTGACAGCAGCTCACCTACTTCACATCGCCCTTCGCAGTAGCTCCCGACTGATCTTTTCGCCACGCGTCCTCTCTAATCCTTGTAGCTTCTCAGTGTTCTCTGCCACCGGGTTATGTGCCCGTGCCCTCAGAAAGCAGCACCAATAATCAGAAAAAAATAAAAGACTGGAAATATAGGTGTCAATTGATTAAGTGTTTGTTACAAATCAATAATCTAGCTCTGTTTCATCACTCTATTTCACAATAAGGACTCGCACCTGTCCATAGATCAAATAGTCAAATTCACAATGTCTGACCTTTGGTAAGTACTGCAATTCGCAAGCAATTCCGGAGAACAATACAAACGGATAAGATTCCTGTAAACTAGCCATTTGCTTGCTAAGTTAACGCCTAGCACCTGCTAACAGTTAGTCCCGTGTACGCTCCATTCTTTGGCTCTATCGGCTGCGCTGCTGCTATCATCTTCACCTGTTTCGGTGCCTCCTACGGTACTGCCAAATCTGGTGTTGGTATCTGTGCCACCTGTGTTTTGAGACCAGATCTCTTGATCAAAAACACCGTCCCTGTCATTATGGCCGGTATCATTGCCATTTACGGACTAGTGGTGTCGGTCTTGATCTCCTCGTCACTGAAACAACAGCAGGCCCTTTATACTGGCTTCATCCAATTGGGTGCTGGTCTCTCTGTCGGCCTCTCTGGTTTGGCCGCTGGCTTTGCTATCGGTATTGTTGGTGACGCCGGTGTGAGAGGTAACGCTCAGCAACCTAGATTGTTTGTGGGTATGATTCTGATTTTGATTTTCGCCGAAGTCTTGGGTCTGTACGGTCTGATTGTCGCCCTTCTGCTCAACTCTAGGGCTACCCAGGACGTCGTCTGTTAAGCCCTTTTCCCTTTGTCATCTCCAAATTCCATATAAATCAGGGAATAAATAAAATTAGGTGCTACAAAGCAATCTATAAGTTGGGGTCTTTCTCGAGCCACTTGGATAGATCGTCTGGGAACTCGTCCCAGCGTATATCTATCCGAGTTTTTTTGCTGTGTTCACAGACTAAACAGTCTTGCTTGATCTCTCCTGTTGTGCGGTCTATCAAGTTCTCGTTAGTGAGGACTTGACAGTCGCACACGTCTTCGTCTTCGCTAAGACTTCTGCCTTCGTTCTCCGCCTTGACCTGATCGAACAACGGCCTGTAAAATTCGGGGAGGTTTTTTGGTTCGTAGTCTCTGACCAGCCTGGTCCGCCATAGAGCAGTCCAATGAAGTCTGGCGTTTCGGGGAAGGTTTCTTGTTCGTCCCAGATTCGGGTAGTAAATTCTCCTCCACTTCCCGTTTCTGTTTTCAATGAAATACCCAACGGGCAAGACCTCCACCATCCACCAGAAAAGGCACTTCAAGACGGTATCCGTTCCTCGGCCAACAAATCTAGACACCGGGTGAGGGGGGATCTGTGATACATTTTTACCTGGCTGGTGGAAGAGATCCTCGCTCTGAGCAGTAACTATGCTGGAATTGAATGAGTTGTTGTGCGAAACAGCCGGTGGATGTACTGCAATGACTTCTGACTCATCATGAAGCTTCGAGCTATTTCTTATCAATTGTAGACAATCATGGTTGCACGACAATAAACTATCCAAGTTAGTGAATTTAGTTGCAAATTCGTATACAGCGTGCTTCTTGAAGAGCACGCCCATTTCTATTGCAGATGCCAAAATCCACCGAAACGGGAGATTTGATATTGAATGGCCGTCAATGTCGTTGGCCCATCCACCACCCACATCGCTGTGGTCGCCAGGAAACCACAGTTCTACCAGGTCGTTAGACGTGGGAGCAGGACGATTGGCATAAGCGTGGGTTCTATTAACGTAGTCTGGCTCGAGATGCAATAGGTTATCGAGCTCGCTGGCGGAATCTGAGTAAACGCTGGAATCCTGGGCGTCCTGGTCAATGCACTGGAGGTTGAACAAGGACGGCAAGTAGGAATGAGGAAGAAACAGGTTCTGCTTGAACTTCGCTCTTCGCTCGTCTATACTCACCGCATGTCTTATATGTTCAACATGGTGCGAAATGGAGGTGAACGGAAACAGCCTGTCTCGAAAGATCCCGCACGAGTTGACGGAATCCCACAGCCCCATGAACTTGATGATCACCTTCTCCCGGCAGAACGTCTTTTTGAAGACACTGGCACTAGAGTTTGTCCATTCTCTGCCGATCGGCTGGCCGTGCTGCTCCCATTTTTTGTAGATCTCCCAGGCAGTGCTAACCATCACTTCCAATCCCTGGTTCAGCAGCCCAATGCGCTCGATCATCCCGGCAAGTATCCTGGCAATGAAAGATCCGCGGCTGAAGCCAAACAGATAGACCCGGTCGCCGTCCACATAGTACCGCATCAGATACGTGTATGCCTCTATCACGTGATAATCGACCGAGAAGGCTACCAGCTCGTCGAGATCGGACTTGACGTTCTCGACCGAGGAGCAAAACCAGCCGCCGTCGTGAAACTCCCCGAACCCTGTCCGGATGTCCTTTCCTATCCCCGCTAGACGTCAGAACTGCGATAGAGCCCACTTACGCTGGTAGTAGCACATTTGTTCGTGAGATCCCTTTTCTAGCATTTTGTACAGCTTGAGGATGTTGGTTTCGACGCGTGTGCTGAAACTGTTCGCCGTCCCGTCGAAACAGAGGACCAGGTTCTTCGACCTGGAGCCGCGCGACCCGTCTAAATTGCGCCCGTCCATAGACCTGTCTTCTGCAAGAGAAAGAAACAAAAGCCAGGGAATTTTTTGGCGCAGGGGAGATTTATATCCCGGATCCCATTAGGTGTGAACTAACGTCTATTGTTATTTACTACTCATCCAGATCCAGCGTAACGTAAGGCTGCGGCTTGCGGCCAACCAATGCAAGTATTCTATGGCGCACTTTCGACGCGAAGTTCACCATTAAGGCAAACACTTTCTCATCTTTGGCAGAGACGAACGGGTCGCCATGTTCTAGCCCATGAAGGTAGAGCTCGAACTTTATCAGGTCCTTGCGACATATTATGCCCGCCATCTTGCCGCCGTCCTCGACAACGACGAGTTTCGGGCCCAATTTCATGAAGATATTGACCAGCGTGTTGAAGGAGCTGTTGATGTTGACCCGGTAGTATTGGGTGTCGACAAACGGCTCGAACGAAAGGACGTCCTGTTGGTCTTGGGGAGGCGTTGGCGAGAAATTCACCGGCGTGTCCAGCGGGATCTCCAGATGGCGCAGCTGTTTGTAGTAGTTGAGCCCTGCCAGCAGCTGCGACCGTTTGATGATGCCTGTCACCACAGACTCGTTTCCAGCTACGATCGGGTAGCTTTGGAAACTCGTTTCCGCGAGAACGTGCTCGACATCACGGTACGTGTATCCAGAAGCAGGGAGCACAACTACCTGGTCGGTCATACAGTCGGAAATGCTATGCGTTCCAAAATCGTGCTCTTCCTTGGGGTCCAAAAATGGGATGCCGTTGAATTTGATCATCTGGTCTGCGATGCCTCCAAAACCGGTCCCCCAGCGGTCATTGATGATCTTGGTCACCCCAACAACTATCATTGTGGGCACAATGTACTTGATTGCGCCGGTGAGCTCGAACATTATGACGACCACTGCGAGAGTGAGGCGTGTGATGCCGCTTAGCGCGGCAGCCGCGCCGAGAAAAGCGTATGTGCCGGAGATGATGCACTTGCCAGAGTTGGCGTCCACGCACGGATTGAACGCCTCCACGAGAAGGCCGACTGCGCGTCCAAAAGTGGCACCTGCGGCCATGGACGGCACAAATATACCGCATGGAACCTTGCACCCGTACGAAACGACCACCAGCACGACACGCAAAACGGTCGCGTAAAGCAGACTGACGAGGAATTTCAGCTTTGAGCCCAAACGCTGGTCTATTTTGCACAGGGAGTGGTCGAACTCTCCGCCACATTCGTGGAACAGAATCTGCATTCCCTCGGTCATTTCCAGTCGCAGAAACTCGTTGAAATAGCCGATCGCCGACGTGAGCAAACACAGGATCACGACCTCCCTGATAGCGTAATTGGAGAGATACTGCTGTCTAAAGGCCACCCATTTGATATTGAATTTTGCAACCAGGATTCCATAGACACCTCCAAATATCCCCAAGATGACAAAGAGCGGAATTTCAAAGTATCTCCAATCGGAGTCGTATCTCACCTCAAACAGCACGATCTGGCCCGTTCGGAACGGGTTCATTGCCGAGAGCGTTCCAGTCGCGATCAGTGCACAGTAATAACTTTTCCAGAGGGTGGACAATTTGAAGTTCGAGCTGATTTCCTCTATGGAGAATAAAACTCCACCAATCGGTGACGCAAACGCCACGGCCACGCCAGCAGCCGAGCCGGCGGTCAGAAACTGCGACAGCGAGACGTAGGAGCGGCTAAACCGCTTGAACAGTTTTGGAATCACGTTACCCACGCACGCAGCGTAGTGCACACTGGGGCCTTCCTTACCGACGCTGAGGCCAGACGCGATCACCAGGGGAAGAGCGATTGATTTGATGATGAGTGTCTGCCATCCAAGGAAGCCGTCCATCACAAATCCAGAAACAATGCATTTGACCTCTGAGATCCCTGATCCTGCTGCTGTGGGGGCGAAAGCCTTGCAGAGAAGAGCTGCGATACTCCCGAACGTGACAGAAATTAAAATGAATATGAAGTACTGGAGAAACGAGTTGCCGGACCACGGCTGCCACTTGGAACACCTTCCTTCCTCGCTCCAGCAGCAGAATTCCTTGTTGAGATAGAGATTTGACTGGCAATATCCCGTTTTGAAGTTTCCAAGCCATTCTGTGATGATGTTGATGGCCGCTGCAATCAGGCCAATGCACACGCCCATAAGAGTGAGAGCGAGCCAGTTCTGGACCGAGGTAACAAACTTTGTCTTGATGGTGTTCCATCTGTCTGCGGAAGAGTCCTCGCCGCGCGTTCTGGGACGGATGGCATCGTAGTACTTTTTGTTCTCCACGAGCGCTTCCTGGACCCAATCGACGGTATGGAACTCCTTAAACCGCTTGATTGGTTTCTGGGCCCTGGCAGACACCTCGAAAGCGCTTCTCCAGGACGACGAGCCTGCGGAAGACGACAGACGATCCATTAGCAAAAGACTAGAAAGACATAAGCGTGAAAAAATTAGTTTAATAGTGGAGGAGAATATTCTATTACTAGAGATCCAACTGGATGCTAATTTTCTGCGTTTGTTTGTGACTTTATACATTTGTGTCCCTCTAATCAGCCAACAACCAAAGTGGACTCGTCGGAGAATTCGTATTCTGGAATTTCAAGGTTCAATGGAGCAGGGCCCTTTCTGATTCTGCCGGAAATGTCGTAGTGGGAACCGTGACATGGGCAGAACCATCCGCCGTAGTCACCGGACTCTCCAATAGGAACGCAACCCAAGTGGGTGCAGATACCGAGCATGATCAGCCACTCTGGGTTCTTCACTCTGTCGGAGTCTTTCTGTGGGTCTCTCAGAGAAGAGATGTCCACCTCGTTGGCCTCGGCTATCTCTGCTTGGGTTCTGTGTCTGATGAAAACAGGCTTACCCTGCCATTTGACAACGACGTTCTTTCCCTCAGGAATGGCGTTCAGCTTGACCTCGACCTTGGCCATGGCCAGCACATCGGCAGACGCCGACATGGTGGTCAAGAAGGCCTCGACGGTCGACTTGGCAGCTGCAGCCGAAAGCAGTCCGTACGAGCCAACCATGAAGTAGGTGTAAACTCTAGATTTGTCATTGGTTCCTTTGGATTTGTTGAGGTAGTGAGAGAAGTCTGGGGAATCGTAGGTAGATTTGAGAGCGGCAGTGGTAGAAGACAGAGCTCTAGCCTGGGAGGCCAATCCCATGTTGGCCCTAAGGCCTCTAACAAAAGATCTCGACAACATTGACGACTTGTGCTTACTGTTGAAAACTTTTAAATTGTTTTTCTTGTAAAATCCTGTGCGGTGCGTCCCGGCGAGAGTGCGTAGGGGAAAAAAAATACCGTGGAAATTATAGGCCGGCCTTCTTGTAATTACAATTAATTGCTCGTGATTGGCTGGCTCGGGAAAAAGCAGCAGTATTTTGCGCCAAAATGTTTCGACCCCATGTTCTGGTAGCCAACGCCCGAGTAGCGTAATGGTTAACGCGTTTGACTTCTAATCAAAAGATTCCGGGTTCGACTCCCGGCTTGGGTGCTTTTTTGGCCCAACTATCCTTTTTTTTTTTTTGCCCCTTCTTACTTCTTGTTTATGCTGACAGAGTAGTTGCCCCCGGTTAAATTTACTACAAGCCACATGGAAGACCAGACAGAAACCTGCAGTAACCTCCGAACGCTGGAAAATGCCGTTTGCAGTTGGCGGGAAGACCATCTTCAATGCAAGGAGACCCGCTGCGAGCTTGTAATCCAGGAATTGGAGCTTGAAAAGGGGAAGAGCACCAGGATCGTGGCTCCTGGAGAAGTTGAAGTATACGTCAATGGTGTCCCTGTGGATGACAGCCATATAGGGGACTTAACTTTTGACATCAATATGAGTACGGATATCGTTGAGAAGACCATTCTTAGGATCCGCTCGGTGTGCGTGCTTCCCCGTGGATGGCAGCTTACGCCAAATTTCAGTCTTGGATGTTTTCTGGCGGCAGCAGACAAGGACACGTCACAGATTTATGTGTCAATGTCGGTCGACGGGCTGCTGGACGCCTGCGGAATCGAAACAGCCAAGACACAGGTTTTGTACGACACAGACACAACCGTTTGCCAGATGCAAGTCGCTGCAAACTGCCTGAAGCTGGAAATGTCAAGTATGACCAAAATCAGTTTGCGACAGGAGCCTGGACGCCGGCTATACAATTCGCAGTTGTTCAGACTACACGACAATATCCAAAACTCGATAGCTGTACAAAAGTATCATCCAGGCAATATCTTGCTGCGCAGTGCACTGTTTTCAAACTTCATGAGCTTTCTGAACTTCATCCTTGGCGCAATCACTTTTGCGTACTTCCGCAAAACAACCACGCTGCTCAGTGCTCTGTCGACGCTGTCCATGTTTGTGTCGTCGCTTTTCCTCACCGCCGTCATCGTCTTGCTTCACGTCGACGCCCACAGTATCTTCCAGCAGTTTGCCGCGTTGTTCAGGTACTTCTTCTACTGGTGGATCGTCGTTATTGTGCATTGTCTATTATCGATGGCCATCTGCGTCTACTTCAGCATGGCAAATGAGAAATTTATCATCAGCCGCGCCGTGAGCGGAAAGTACACTTCGGTAGACGACCGCGGCACAGTCGAGTTCGTTATCTACTTTCAGACGACTTCAGTCGTCCTTGTTCTGGTCCTCTTCACCATCTCCCTGTTCAGATCGAAGAAAAGACTCAACAATTTCCTCAACCTCACGCTAAAAAGCCGCGATGTTCAACAATAGCGGGCCGATCAGTGTCTCTTCACGACTCCAGAAGCGTCCGCCTTCGCCAGAATGTACTTCTTGTATGCATAGATGTCGCCGTCGAACCGTTTGACCGTTCCGTCCTCACTGACCCAAATCTCGTTGCACACGCTATTGATCATCGCGACGTCGTGCGACACCATCAGCACTCCGCCCTTGAAGTTCTTGAGCGCGTCGCTCAGCGCGTCCAGCCCAGAAGTGTCCAGATGGTTAGAAGGTTCGTCCAATATCAAAATATGGGGAGTGTTGAGACACAGCGAGGCAAAGGCCACTCTCGACTTCTGTCCTCCAGACAGCGACTCCATCTTCTGCAAAGACAACGAGCCGGTGATGCCGAACGACCCGAGATGTCTTCTGTACTCCTCGTCGGTCTTTCCGGGGAACTTGGTGCTCAGCCAGCTGACAGCGCTCAGGTTCAAATCCATCTGGTCGACGTGGTGCTGTGCAAAGTAGCCAATCCGCAGCCGCGAGTTTCTGGTCACAGATCCTTTGAGCGGAGTGTTGTCGCCCATGAGGATCTTCAAAAGCGTCGTCTTACCGCATCCGTTGGCTCCAACAAGCGCGATTCTCGAGTCCAATTGCACGTCCAGGTCGACATCCGAAAGGAGCAATTTTTGAGGATCGTAGCCGAACGAGACGCCGCTGAGCTGCAGAATCGGCGGCTGTATCTTGTCTGGCTCCGGGAATTTGAACGTTATTTGCTTCTCTTCCTGTGGAGGCTCCAGCACAGGCAGTTTCTCGAGCTTTTTGATTCGCGACTGCGCTTCGGACGATTTCGCAGCGTTGTACCGGAACTTGTCAATGAATGCTTGCAGATGCTGTCTGTATTGCATCTGATTCTCGTACTCGCGCTTCTGGTTCTTGAGCCGCTCCTCTCTGGTGTTGTAGAACGAGTCGAAATTCGAGCCTCTGTAATAGTCCAGTCTCTCAGAGTGCTGGTGAATTATATCCGTCGCCACCTCGTTCAAGAACGCACGGTCATGAGAGACAACCAGCACCGTCGCAGGGTACGTTTGCAAATAATGGGCCAGGTACGTGCTCGAAGGCACGTCCAGCATGTTGGTTGGCTCGTCCAGAAGAAGCAGGTCCGGCTTGCAGAAGAGCGCTCTGGCCAATGACAACCGCATCCGCCATCCTCCGGAAAACGTGTTGGTAGGCTGCTGCTGTGCCTCCTCGCTGAATCCCAAGCCGTACAAAATCGACGCGGCCCGGCCTTCGGCACGGTCGCTCTCCATCTCGCTCAGCTTCTCGTGCACCTCCTCGAGCCGCTCGGCGAGGTCGTTCTGTTCGTTGTCGAGCTTTTTTGCCTCGAGCGACTCCGGCTCGAATTCTGTCTTGAGCCTGTCGATCTCCGCGATCCGCTCGTCTATCTTGGCCTGCTCGTGCAGAAGCTGTTTTCGCCAAACGTCGGCGTCCAGCACAGACTGCAGTGCCGTGGTCTCGTCTCCACGCAGCTCCTGCTCCACGTGCAAAATGGTGATGTGCTTGGGGATGTTCAGCTCTCTGCGCGAAAGAGCACGCAGCAACGTCGACTTACCAATACCGTTCTGTCCAACAAGACCATAGCGACGGCCGTACGCCAGGGTGAGCGAGGCGTCTGAAAGAATACGCTTTCCTGCCCCCACGTACAGATCGAAGTTCTCCACTTTGATATCCTTGGACTTGCCGGCCCCAGCGCCAAAATCAATAGGGTTGACCTTGAGGAAGAAGGAGTCGTAGTCCTCCTTGGTCTGCTCGTTCAGCAGTTTGGATGCTTCGTACTGGACAAATTTGTTGGCCCGCTTGGCCACCTTCTTCGCAATCTTTGCTTCGGCTTTCTGCAGCTTCTTCTTGTCGACACGGGTTTCCATGTTTCGGCCGGTGTGGGCAATGTCAGAGGTTGAGTTCAGTAGGGCCAAAGAGCTGTCCAGATCACGTTGCTGGCTATGGATCAGATCCACGTCCAACAGCCGTTTCGACGTGTCTCCCGTGACCGCCAGCTTGGCCATGTTATCTGCCAGCTGCTTCTTGAGCGCCTCCTGTACTTTTGCTGCTAGACCACCCACCTTGTCTGACTCTCCGCCAGCACTGACCAGGAGCTGGCTTAGAAACTGTATTTCCTTGGGGATGTCCAATTGCTGCGCAAGAACAGAGTCCTCTGTTGCTTGGAAAAGATGGCCCAGATAGCCAATAGCGTAGTCGGTGACCACCGGGTCGATCGCCGGCACGGTCTCTCTAACCTGAAGCCCAAAGTTTGACATGGAAGAGAATATGGAAAAAATTTGAAAAAATAAAATCCAACATCGATTATCTCTACTTACGCCAGCAGCAGCAGCGCTTTTCTCTTGCCGGTCATCTCGTCCAGCTGCGACGTGACAGACACCTGGACGCGGTCAAACACGCTCACCTGACGCTCGCTGCCGCTCTTATCTGTGAAAGTCAGTTTGTAAAGGTCCTCGTCAAAACGGCTCGTCCTGATGTCTCCAAGACTTTCGAGCTTGATCAGACTCTCGACGCCAAACTTCGGCACCAGAACAACAATTCCGTTCGAGAACACCTTGATCACGTATCCCTCGTGCGTACTCTGCGCGTTCTTCATCACCTGTCCGACGTAGTACTCAATACTGGCCCGTCCAGCAAACTGTGCGTTTCTGTGTCTCTTGTTGATATTCTTCACCACCAGGTCCATCTTGGCCTTGTCTCTGTGCAGCGGGTGCAACGGCTCGTAGCCAATAGCCGCCGCAAGCTGTCTGTGCACAACGACGTCGCAGTACCGTCTAATTGGAGAGGTGAAGTGGGTGTAGATCTCGGTAGCAAGACCGTAGTGGCGGAAATCCTCGTAGCCGTAGTTTCCGGCAGAGAAGTACTCGGCGGCCATCATGCACCGCGTGGCCATAATCCTCAGCAGAGTGTTAAAGTACGGGTCCTGCGGGTCCACACACCTATCAAGCGAGTCTGCCAGGGCCTTGGAGCTTTCCAGAGAGATGGACATTCCCTTGCGCACGCGCAACATGTCGTTCAGAACCTCAAAGTTGGTGGCCGGCGGCGCCGCGTGGCGTCTGAGCATGGCCACCTGCGGGAACTCGTCGTAGATTTTCTTGGCCACAGAAATGTTGGCCAGAAGCATAAATTCTTCCACGAGCGAGTTGGCCTCGACGAGTTTTTTCACCTCCACCTCGCCCGGGTCCGACGTCTCGCTGTCCATGTGCACCTTCACCTCCGGCGACGCGAGGTTCAACGCGCCGGCGTCCAGTCTCTTTTGCTTGAGTTTTTTCGACAGCTGCAGCAAAATCCGCATACCTTTGGTCAGTTCGTCCTGCTGCGCCGGATCGTCCATCCGCAGCTGCGCCTGCTCGTACGCAAACGCTTCCTTCGACCGAATGATCGACTTGAAGTAGTCCACGCGCACAATATTCGCGTCCTCGTCCATTTCCCACAGAACAGTGAACGCAAACCGGTCCACGTACGGTTTCAGCGAACACAGGTCCGTGCCCAGCAGCATCGGCAACATGTCGATTCTTTTGTCCACCAGGTACACAGACGTGGCCCTGGAGGCTCCCTCCTGGTCCAGCGCCGTTCCGGGCTTCACAAAGTGCGTCACGTCCGCAATGTGCACGCCCACCTCGTAGTTCCCGTTAGGCAGTCGCTGAGCGTGCAACGCATCGTCGATGTCCACACAGCCCGGCGGGTCGATCGAGCACACGAGTTTCTCTCTGAGGTCGCGTCTTTGCGCCAGCTGCGGGTCGCCGTTGTCGAGCTTCTCCGGCACCTTCCAGTCGTGGCCCTCCTTGGGCAGACAGTCCAGAACGTTCTTCGAAAACGGCCTGTACTCCACGTCGTGCTCCAGAAGAAGCGCCTCCTGCTCCGCGTCCTTGTCCTCGATGTCGCCCAGAACACGCACAAAATGGCCGTCCGGATACTTCGAGGTGGGGCTCCACGAGTCGACCGCCACGACGATCCGCTTTCCCTGCAGCTCGCGGGCCCGCCTGGTGCGGATGCGCACCTTTGGCAGCGACCGGTCCATCAGGATGACAAAACACGACTTCGCAGCGTTGCCACCAGCTTGGTCTTTGGAGGCAGAGTTCGGGGCCAGCTGCCCAACATACAGCCGCCAGCTCCGCTTCACAATGCCCACGACTCGCGCGGTCGGAATCACCTTCTGGTCCTCGCCCTGGGCAGCCACCGCGTGCTCGGCAAGCAGCCGCCGCTCCTGGTCAGAAATCACCACCTCGTCCTCATCCTCGTCGCCGAGTCCGTTGCTGTTGATGGTCTCCTCGTCGACGATCTCTGTAGACGGCTTTTTCCACTTGTGCTTCGGCAACAGTTCCACCACGACGGTGTCACCATTGAAACTCCGGTTCAGGTTCTCTCTGCCCAGAATGAGCAGCGGTTTCGGCATCGACGGCACCGAAATCGAGCCTTCCAGGAAATTATACGACGAGATGTTGATTGTGCCCTGGTACAGGGTCCCGTTCTTGATCCCGCCCATGAGACGCGCAGGCGAGTAGTACTCCTGGTAGCTGATCTCCGTGAGCTGACGCGAGAACGTCTCGTTGGATGGCAACATGTCCTCGAGCTCGTTGCAATTGGGTAACAGAGAAACGTAGCTGTGCAACGACATGGCTCTTATTCCCTCGTTGACGGCTTTTTCGATGTTATTCTTGTCGCTGGTCAGTAGCACGACCGAGATGCTGTGTTTTCCCAAATGCTGGCTGTAGAACAAGGCGCACTTTCTGATCAGTCTATCGTTGTAATCCTGTGCTGACTCGCCTTTCTCGCGCGCAACAAACGAGTCGGCCTTGAACTCGTTGTGGAACACCACAAACCGTTTGTCGTCGTTCTTGCACAGCGCCCGGAGACGCATGTATATAGGATAGCTGCGGTTTCGCACCTCTTCCAGCACTGTTTGCGGAACGATCACGTCGTAGAACACCTTGTCGCTTTCGAGCAGATCTATGGCGTTCAGAACCACGTTCGTGTCCAGGATCAGGTAGTGTCTTCCAATGCCGTTTTTCGTGATCTCCAGGGGCTCGCCGCTCAAAATTGGCTCGCTGGGCTGGCCATCAGGAGAAGGCCTGTAGTATTCCTCGCAATCGTCGCAACAGACGCTAGAGCACGGGATGTCGTCTCTCAAGTAATGCTCACGGACAATCTTCAGGGCACCGCCATTGCGGGACCGCACGAACACTTTCTGTGTGACTGCAAGCCCGTCTGCTGGACGCTGCCTTTTCACAGAGGCCATTTTATATTTACAAAAAAAATTATTTTACTGAATTTTTTCTAATTATCGTCTTTTCTTCAGAGCTGCCTCCTTGCTCCATTTCGAGATCCACGTTTTGGAGTCCGCTTTCGGCACAAAGTAGATCCGCATCATGTTGTCGAACAGCGGCACGCGCGGAGATGCCGCAGAGAGGATCGCGTTGAACGCCACCTTCTTCCCGGCCTTGATCAAACCGCCGCTCTCTGTCTCCATGTATGCTTCCATCTGTCTGAAATTCTTATGCTTTGGATCCTCAAAGTAGGAATCAGGGCGGTCCATCACCAGTTCTACCAGCTCTCCAGGCGTAGAAAGCTCGCTGACCTCGTTGACAAAGTCAAACTCGTCTGTAGTCGGATACAGAACCATCGTGGGGATAATCAGCTGTGTCTCTATGTCTTCCGGGTCCTCCAGATGGATCTGCGTTCCTGCGGGGAGCTCTGCAGGCTCGGCACTAGAGACGCTGAGGAAATTTCGCACTACTATGGCTTGTCTGAGGTTGTTCTTTTTGCGTTCTTCGGCCTCCTCCTCCCGACGTCTCTTCTCCTCCAGCTTGCGTAGCAGACTACGTCTGTCTTCAAGCTGCTTGTTTAGCGACTTGAAAGCAGGCGACGCGTTGTCCAAAGAGGAGGCGTACTGCAGAATTTGCTCGGCCTCGTCGTACTTCTCGATAGCAAGAAAAGCTTTGGCAGCACGGAACAGGGCTTTGACGTTCTTGGGCTGGATCTTGAGACACTCCTTGGCGTCGTTGATACATCTGCGGTAGTTCTTCAGCTCCAAGTTGCAGGCCGCTCTGTTAAGGTACAGGGCTGCGTTGATCTCGTCCACATTACAACCAACTTCGAGTCCCTTTGTGTAATATTCCACGGCATTCTTATACTGCTTGGCCTTGTAGCAGTCGTTTCCCTGGTTTTTGAAATTCGTAGCAATCTCATCGGGCTCACCTTCGTACGCGAGAGCCTTCAGGGCCTCAACGTGTAAGTTTTCGCCACCGGCACCGTCAGATTCATCGAGTTCTGTCATGAACAGAGGCAGTCTGTTCAAGTCGGCCATAACTTCTTCCGTGGGCTTGTTGGCGAGCTCTGAAAGCTGCGGAGGCAAGTCCGGATCCCCATCTTTGGGAACATACCGTCTTTTCTCCCATTCGCTGATGAGCTGGTCGGTTTTCTGGTCTAGTTCCGTGATTTCCACCATACTGAAAGAATAAATTATTTTTTTTATTTCCACACCTCTATTACCAGGACAGAGTCACTCCTCTCTCCATTTACCAAACTTCTTGTAGTCGTCAAAGAGAGTTTTGTAAACCACTCTCGCTTGCGAATCAAGACTCAGGTTGATGTAGTTCAGTTCGTTAATTGTCAAGAGATCGAAAATCACAAACATGCTGCCCTCCAGTGCTTCCTTGGTAGCAGGATCTAGTCTATAAATGAGGTAGAACTTGACATAGTTCATGATCAACAAGGAAGCAAACTTTCGCAGCTGGAATTTCATATATGAGACGGCACTCGTGAGAGATGACTCGGTTTCAGCATTAGTCACCGAAGAGGCCGAGATTTCGCACAGGTTTCCAACGAGACGCTGGTATGCCAGTCCAGCAGACGCATCCATTTTCAGCTTGAAAAGGCACTCCATCAATGGGATGAAAGACAGCGTTATCAAGTGCTGTCTGTTTGAAAATCTAAACCGTTGGAAGAGCAGGACATTCGATAATAATTGACAGTTCTGAGCAAAGAGAGCTTGTCTGTCGTCTGGAGATCCCTCGAAATCCAGGAGTTGTTTCGTGACTCGGTTGACGAAAGTGATGATGAGCTCCACGGTGTACTGTGTCAGCATCCAGTGCGAAGAACTCAATACCTGTTTGAGAACCTGTGCCACATACAGCATGTCTTTCGTGGAAAGCTGCAAATCCAGGAGCTTAGAAACCGAAGCTATCGCCAGTCTCTGGGCGTACTGATTTCCAGAGGTCTGTATCTGCAAGAATAGGCCTATCAGGGAGCACAGTTTGCTGCAAAGCTCGTCGCTCTCCAAAGCCCACATCCACAGAGCAGAAATCTGCTCGAAACCAAGCTCTCGTAAGTATGTTCTTAGTGAATCGATCACTTCACTCGAGTCCTTCAGATTCATGTACAGGGCAAGCACGTAGGCTGGGCTGTAGGTATTTTTCAGCTGGCACACCAGCGAGAAAAGCTTTGCTGAGGTTACTTCGTCACAGTTGGCGCCCAGCTCCCTGATGACTGGTTTGATAGACGGGTCCGCTTCCCTGTTCCAGCTTTTCAGCTCCACCAAAAAGTCCAAAGATCGAGTGTCTGTTGAAAGACTGTCGACACACCTCTTGACTGTGGCCTCAAACAGCTGAGCGTTTAGTTTCCCCACTTTGCGCTCTGCTCTCAGCAGACACAGCGCCGTTTTGAGACTCTTGCTCTGAAGTTCCTTTTCGGCGTCGCATACAAATGAAGACCCTTGACGAAGATGAGCATCAAAAATCTTCTCCGCTATATCCATCCGCCTATGGTCGTCGGACAAGTCCACAAACGTAATCAGAACGTCGAGGTTGGACTCCAGCTTGGATCTCAAAGTGGGCTGGCTCAAAAGCATCAGTATCGAAGCCAAGGAGGCTTCAGATGGCACAGAAACCAGTGCATCCAAAGCATGTTCTCTCTGAGCGCGCGAGTAACAGTAAACTGGAATTTGCTCTGTGCACCGTGCCATATTTTCGGGATCTTCACTGAAATGATGGACGATGTAGTTGATTATTTCTCTCACGAGATTGATCTGCTCGTGCAAGACGCCATTGGAAAGCACCTTAACCGGCTCTCTTTCGACTCTCAAATATTCTTCAACGAGAGTTCTGAGCTGCTGCTTATCAAGCATCGCATTCATGAGAACAAACCATCGTTTGAAAATCACACGCTTGAAGCTGAGGTCGGACTTTATATAGTGGTTGATAAATTGGCTCACTTGTGCTTCGTTGCGGTGTGATAAATTGCGCTCGCAGAGACGAAGATATGCAAAGTAGTACTCATCAAGCTCGCCGGATGGTAAGTCAGGCTCGACGTCGTATATCATGAGAATCATCGTCGCAAGCTTCCAATAGTGGGCATTACCTACCTTGCGATCCAGGACTCGGAGAAAAAGCGGTTTGGCCTCCTGCACGGTCTGCTGTAGTGTTTTGGTGACGGCCACATGAGTGGATCCGGTAACACTCGAAAGAAGACATTTCGCGATTGCAGAAAGAAGAACCGCGTTCCACTCGCTATCTTCAAAAGTCTCGACATATTTGCCGATCAGGGCAATGATTTGCTTCTGGGATAGGTCAACTATGACTTGCGAGACCTGCGTCACAAACTGATCGGAGATTAGAACAGATTTCGGGTGGCAGTTCTTTAGCCAGAGATCGAAAAATTCATCAATTTCACGAGCTTTCGCATAAACATCTAGCAGAGTAGAGAGTAGTTGGAACTTCTGTTCGTCGAAGCCAGTGCTGGCCAGCTCAAAAATCTTGCTCGAGTAGTGAAGACCGACATCAACATTTTTGTTGATTGCAAATTGCAGGATTTCCAGGTTCAAATTACTGGACTCAACTAGATCCGTGAGGAACCTGGCTGACAAAACCTTGTTCATTGCCACAATTCTCCTTAGCAAATCCACTTTCACGTCCGGAAACTTTGAAACAATCTCCATATAAATTTGTTCCACATCGCTGACTGCAAGTCTTCCTGCTATTCTTTGGAAAAGCTCGGCCACCGACGACCCTTCTATTCTTTTAACGTATGCTGAATTGCAGAAAAATCCAATATTCTCCTTCAGGTCCGGAATTGCGTCTCTTCGCAGTAGCACCTCTCTCAACATGCCTTCCAGTAGCTGAGCTTCATTGGAGTTCATGAGACACAAAAGGCTGGGAAGACACTCGGCGCAAAAATAAGCAGCATTTTTCTTACTGTAGTGAAGAGTGGTGGTGTTGGCCATCTTGAAAAGCCGGTAAGCTAGTTTAATGCACGAGTCCTGCTTCGTCTTGAGCGCAAGGTCCAAAAGTCTTGCAACCATTTCGACATTTGTGTCGGAAGAAAATGACAGTCGGAGTTCATTCATCACTAGATTCACCGAGTTGACAAAAATGACGAGGAATTCAATGTCGTTCTCAAATTCCACGTCGCTCAACATGGATACCACCAGATCATTGAATCGAATTCTATTAATGCACTTGATTCTCGTTGATTTCAGTGACTCTGTTGCATCGAATGCTAGCCAGACTTTCTGGAAAAGCTCCCAGAATTCCCTGCTGGTCCTGTACTCTCTGTTCTTGGTCTGTCCCAGCCGATCACAGACCAATTCGAAAATAAACCTCTCTTTGTCAGGAAGAGCCACTGGTTCGTCATTCTCGAGCAATTTTTCAGAGACCGTGCAAACATCCGAGATCGGACATTTTTGATTTCTCAGAAATCTTGTGATTCCCTCCGTGGTTCGAATCTCTTTCCAGCTCATCTGAGTATGGACACCCTGAATCTCTGGTCTGAATATTTTTTTTAATCTTTTTCACCGCCAACTTTGAAAGATTTAAAATTTTGATTGTTTATTTAGCTTTTCTACCATGTCACTCATAAAACCGAATGGCGGGACGCAGGCTGCTGAACCGGACGATTTGGACTCTGAGATTGAAATTGATCCACAGACACAATTGCCAATCACAAGACTGCCCTATGATGACGCCCCCATCGCTAAAAGTGATCTCAGCTGGCTGAAAAATGGACGGACTCTGCAGTTCTCGCTGGACAAGGCGCACGACAATGGAATGCTGTTTTTGGCGTCCCGAGACGAAGACAAGATGGAACCTTTGAACGACCGTGAGCGGAAGCTATATCCATTTGACATACCCTCAAATATAGACACTTCTGAGGAGTACATCCATTTTCTTACCAAAACTTACCGCACTTTTGAGCCACTCCTGACGAACCAAGCATACAAGCATTTCAGCGACGACGACGAAGACATGACATTCGGTGTGTTAAGCAAAATTGAAGAGAATCGTCGAGAGAAAAAACAGACGTTACAGTCCATTATCACGGCCATGGTAGAAAACCTCAAGAGCTTAATCTCCATCAAGTCCAAGCTTGATCCTAATTTCGAAGAGACTTTCATTTTTAACTATGAGGAGATTCTCAACGTCCTCAACTTACTGAATGCTGTGCATTTCTCCAACAAGGAAGAGAGAATCGCCTTGCTTTCGGTCTGGGTCAATCGCGCCGATATACAGCCGGACGACGAGCTTTTCGAAGAGGTGATGAGCTTTGAACACCCTTACAAAAACTTCCTGTTTTGGTCGACGTACATGAAGAAGCTCCTGCTCCGCGGTTTTTTCAAAGAGGCCTTGGAAGCGCTGGACAAGAGCAAGTGGACCGATTTGGAACACATAGATGCCAACTTGTTCCACGTGCTGACCGATTTCAAGAACCTTCTGGAGTCCTACGATATGCTAAGGTTTTCTGTCGATCCTAAGGAGTTTCTGGTGTGGAAGCAAATGATGGTCGAGCTGCGCGAGAGAGTCAAGTCGCTGAGTTTCTCCGAGGCCGGACTGGCGTCAGAGGTGTCCGAGCTTATCACCATTATGTCCGGGTCTTCAAATAGTATACTAGAGGCCTCCAGCACATGGTATGAAGCATTCTATGCACATTATCTTTACCAGCTGCCGTCCATGGAGCTTTTAGATGAGTATCTCCAGGTGGCTATTGATAAATACCCACCTGAAACCACCCAGTCGTGGGAAACCATGTGCATTGAGCTGTTGCAGGGAAAGTATCTGTCTGTGATCAGCTCGATTGAGCTGCTCGACAAGTCCATTGCCACGTTCGTGGTAGTTCTGATGACCTCTGCTGGTCTTTTGAAAGGATACTCGTCCGTTGTGTCGTTTACAGAGGCGTCTCTTACGTCGACCATTGACCAGATGCTGGAGAATTTGTCCTTTTCATATCTGACGCATCGCCAGCTGTTTCCTATTGGTATCGGAATTTTGATTCTTATCAACAACTCGAACTCAAGGGAGATCGTTTCCGAGCTTCTTCCCAGATACCACATCACGAGCAATGATGACCTGGAGTGGTGTCTCTCGATCTGCGCCAAGCTCAAGCTGCACCAAACTGCAGTGAAAATATACAAAATCCAGGGTGCAAGATTGGCTACAATGGGGTATCTGTACGAGGCTCTATACTGCTACACTGAGGCAGGGGACTATACGCGATTGACGAAGCTTGCATGGGAAATTTTCGAAAAGATTCTTGCGGGGGAGCTGGAAGACGAGACTTTGATAGCGAAGATTCGGTCTAACGAGATCTCGGAGCCCGCTCTGCGACAAGCACTAAGTCCGCTGGCTATCCTGGACGAGTTCCTACAAAAGAAAGACCCGCCCAATTTCAGACTTCTTTTTCAGCTGTTGAACTTTAGGTATCTGCCCAAACAGTACAAGATATCGCTAGTGCTACTGATAGAGCCTTACTTGGAGAAGAGGGTGCTAAAGAACGAGGAGTTGGTGGAGCTTATCAAGGTTCTGAACGAGTTTGAGAAGGAGGCAGACGACGAGACGCTTGCCGCGACCCAGAAGCTTTGTTCGCGCCAGGTGCCTAATTTCGACCTAAAACAACAACTTCTTTCGGTGCGCAAAAAAATTGGCTACGAGATGAGTTTGAACTTCCTATAGATAAGCGAAAAATTAAACTTCACCGTTTATTTAATTTTTATACACCCAACAATTATCATGTCGCAGTACGAAAATGTCATTATGCTTCCGCAGACCAACCAGCTGAAGTGTCTGTACACGATCATCCGTGACAGAAACACACGCAGAGGAGATTTTATCTTCTACTCCGATAGAATCATCCGGCTTCTGGTGGAAGAAGGTCTTAATCAGCTGCCGGTCGAGCCCTGCCAGATTCACACTCCCTTGGGAGTCGCGTACGACGGCCACAAATTCCAGGGCAAGATCTGCGGCGTCTCCATTATCAGAGCGGGAGAGAGCATGGAGCAGGGTCTTAGAGACTGCTGTCGGTCTGTGAGATTGGGCAAGATTTTGATTCAGAGAGACGAGGAAACGGCCACTCCGAAACTTTTCTACGTCAAGCTTCCAGAGGACATTCCGGAGAGATACGTGTTCTTGCTGGACCCGCTGCTTGCCACAGGTGGCTCTGCGTCGATGGCTGTGGACGTGCTGCTGCAGAAAGGCGTGAAAGAGGAGCGGATCCTGTTCCTGAACGTGCTGGCCAGTCCGGAGGGCATCGAGGTGTTCAAGAAGAAATTCCCGAAAATCAAGGTCATCACCGGAATGATTGACCAGGCTCTGGACGAGAAGAAGTTTGTTGTTCCTGGTCTGGGAGACTTCGGCGATAGATATTACTGTATCTGAATGCACTACTAATAATTATTTTTATTCATTTATTTACATTTTCATGGAGTTTGTCTACAACCAGCCGATCGTCATAGACAACGGCTCGGGGACGATCCGCGCCGGCTTTGCGGGCGACGAGAAGCCCAAGATCAACCACTCGAACCTCGTCGGCCGCCCCAAGTACAACAAGATCATGCCGTCGGCCATCTCGCAGACAGACACATTTATAGGGTCGCGCGCGCAGCAGCTCCGCGGGCTGCTGAAGCTCAAATACCCGCTGGCAAACGGCATTGTCGACGACTGGGAGTCTCTCGAGCTTGTGTGGAGCGACGTGGTGCAGCAACTGGAGGCCAAGACCAATCAGCATCCGCTCTTGGTGAGCGAGCATCCGTTGAACCCCAGCAAGAACAGAGACCGGCTGGCGGAGCTTGTTTTCGAGACGTTCAATTTTCCTGCGCTGTACGTGGCGATGCCGGCAGTTTTGTCGCTGTACTCGTCGGGACGGACCACGGGGACGGTGCTGGACTCTGGCGACGGAGTCACGACGGTGGTGCCGATCTACGACGGGTTCTCGGTTCCGGGCACTATCAAGCGGCTCAACTTTGGCGGCAGAGACATCACGCGGCTTGTGCAGGGCGAGCTGATGAAGAGCGGGTACTTTCTCTCGACCTCGTCCGAGTTTGAGCTCGTGCGCAGTCTGAAGGAGCGGCTGTGTCACGTGAACCCGAAGCCGGCGGAGCAGCACGCCAAGGGGCCTGCTGCTGCCGAGGAGCGCAAGGAGTTCCCGCTGCCGGACGGCAAGATGGTGCGGGTTGCCGGGCAGACGCTGTGGCAGCCGACGGAGCTGTACTTCCAGCCGGAGAAGTTTGGCGTCGAGGAGGTGCCGGTGCACCAGGCGGTGGTGAACTCTGTGCGGAAGACCAACTACGACCTGCGGCCGCAGCTTTTCGAGAACATCATTTTGGCGGGCGGGTCGACGATGTTCCGGAACTACGGCGTGCGGCTGCTGGAGGAGATGAAGCTCGAGGACCCTGAGTTGCGGCTCAAGATATACGCGTCGCCGGAGCGACGCGCGAGCTGTTTCGTCGGCGGGTCGATCCTGGCGAGTCTGAGCGTGTTCAAGCAGATGTGGGTGACGAAGGCGGAGTACGAGGAGAACCCGCAGCTGGTGCACCAAAACAGCGAAAAACGATAGAATGGAGGATAAATCTAATATACATACGCTACGTCACGTGGCCGCAGCTTCAATCGTCGTGGTGGATCTTGCAGATGTCGATGCCGAAGATCTCGTTCGCAGAGTACCGCGAGGAGGAACCGGTCTTGCGTTTCTTGACCGGCGCCAGGGGCGAGCCGTATACGGCGTCCTCGTCTGCTCCGCGGCCGGTGCTGGGCGAGGTATAGAAGTCGTCGAGATAGGACGGCGAGGTCCAGAGCTTTTTGGAGGCCGACAGGTTGGGCGTCTTGAGCACGCTCGTGGGCGACCGGAACTTCGACAGCAGAAGCTGGTCGTACTGATACTGCGACTTCTGCAACGTGTTGAGCGAGCTGTTCTGTTTGGGCGTGAGCGGTTCGAGCAAGGGTCCTGTTTCGCCGGACTTGATTGGAGAGAGCTCGAGCGTGGACTTGCAGCTGAATGAGGACGTGAACGGCAGCGAGCGGGCCGCGAAGATGGGCCCGCCGGGCGACTCCTGCAGGAAAGACTGTTCGGGCGACATCTGGGTCTCTTTGAAGACGATATGCTCTCCCGCGGCCGCAGCCTTCCACGAGGACGACGGGGCCACGAGCTCGGGGATGGAGCCCAGAGGACCAGCGGGGTGTTGTCGGTCGAAGTCCACGTGGTACGGGTCGGTGTTGGCCCGTTTGAGTGGCAGCTCGGGCGACTGCGGGTGACGGTGCGACGTCTGCGGCGTGTACGATAGCGACTTGGCGGCCGGCTGCGGGTGGGAGTCTCTCGAGCGCTTGAGTTTCCCGGCAGCCATCATTTTTTCGAAATTCTTGATATTGCAAAACTGGTACTCGTACCCGTCCACAATCTTCCAGAAGTGGCCCTTGCCGTCCTTGGACTTCTCTGTCTTGGCGAACGACTTGTTGAGCGAGAGGTTGTGGCGGATGGAGTTCTGCCAGCCCACCTCGCCTTTCTTGTAGTACTTGAAGTTATCCGAGATCCACTGGTATATTTGCGACAGCGTGAGTTTGCGGCCCGGCGCGCGCAGAATGGCCATGCCGATCAGAGAGGCGTACGAAAATGGCGGTTTCTCGTGCGAGTCGAAGGTCACGGGCGGCATGTCCTCCGGGTCCGGTATCTCGATGTTCTGCGGGCCCTTGAGCCGTCTGGTCTTGTTCGGGGCGCGGCTTTTTGCGGCACCCTCGGGCTGCGCAAACTTGGGCGGCGGCGGCGGAGACGAGTGCAGCTTGCGTTTTCTGGAGAAGCCGGGCTCGTCGTACTCGTCGTCGTCGTCGTAGTCGTCGTCCGCGCCGCGGGTCACCTGCGGCGACGAGAACTCTGGCGACAGCAGGCCGTTTGTTCGGAGGGCGGAGCGCGTGTCGTGGGACTTGACGGGGCCGTGTCTGACGACCGAGTGCGGAGGTGTTTTCAGCTCGAAGGACTTGTTGACCGGGCTGATGATCGTTGCTGGCGGCAAAAGCTCCTGTTTCATCGTGAAAGAGCTGTTGGCTAAGGAACAGGGAAAGATCAGGTGGATTTTAAAGGGAAATAATTTTGTGCGCGGACGCGTTCGCGGCGTGTATTGTTTTCCTGTTGCCATTTGCGACTCACAATGGCACTAGGGACGCGGTGCGAGGTGTGACGTGCTCGATATTACAGGAGAACAGCCCGCAAGAGTGCGGTGTGCCGGCGACAGGTCACATGCGCACGCCATTGGCCGCTTGGGGAACGTGCGCATTGTCCGCGCGCGGGGGCTTCGCTGCAGAGCGTCTCTTGAAACAGCTACGTAGAGGTAGTTAGTCCAGCAGGCTTTCCAGAATTTCCACGATTTTCTCCGGCTGCGTCGAGCTCTCGATGCTGCCCACGACCATGCCGTCGACAAAAACGGTCGGCGTCACGTGCACGCCCACCGTGCGGTGGTATCTGGTGAAGTACTTGATGTCGTTCTGCAGCTGGTTCTGGCCGCCCTCCGGGACGGCGACCTGCTCCCACAGCTTTGCTGGCTCGACGTGGTCGAGGTGCTGTGCGGCGAGGTCGATCGCCGTGGCCAGAACCTGCTTCTTGGTCTTCTCGTACGAAAGAGAGTCCGTCATGATGTTGTCCCAGAGCACGCCGGAAAACTGCCAGAACTGCTCCGGGTACACCTTGGCGACGGCAAGAGCCACCTCGTGGTACGCGCCGGAGCCGACGTAGTGCCACGGCTGGATCACGTTCATGAAGACGAAGCTGAACTTGTCGAGCAGGTTCTTTTTCTCCAGCAACGGAATGACGTCACCGGTGATTTTGCGGAACAGCTTGCCCGAGAAGGGACAGTTGTAGTCCAGGTACAGCTGGACGGTGTGTCTGAGGCCGCCCGAGAGGCCGGCAGGGCCGTTGTAGACGTGGGACTTGGCGTATCTGGGAGCAATTGCCATTGTGGCGGAGAGACGTAAAATTGTCGACTTATTTCTTTGCGCCTGTGCAAAGGTGTGGCGTCCGGGCACCGATGCCCGTCACAAACGGAGAGACCTGATATGCTCTGCGTGCGCAGATAACGCACGCCAGTCTTCCTGCGGCCGCTGTCTGTCACCGCTGTCGAGCTCGCGCGTTTCCCCAGGAACTGCTCGCCCCGTATCTGGCTGCGCGCAGACCGCTTTATCTAGCCGCGCACTTGGCATGTCCTCGCGGAAAAACCGTGGTCGTGCGCGACTCGAGAAAAATTAGCGATGTCTATAAGATAAGTGAATTTCAATCTTCCGGCTTAGATCTTGCGCAGCGATGGACCAGTACAGCGACAAGTACCATCCAGACTTTGTCCCGGGCACGATCAACATTTTAGTCCACCAGCTGGACCGCGGCCAGGTCACTGTGGAGGACCAGTCGAGCACAGTCAAGACCACCAAGGACGGCATCGTCCTGCATCCACAGCCGTCGGACTCGCCCAACGACCCGCTCAACTGGGGGTTCTGGACCAAGGCGTACCAGTTCGCGCTTCTGGCGTTCATCACCGGGTTCACGGCGGCCACGTCGAACGACGCCGGCTCGACGCAGGACTCGCTGAACGAGCTGTACGGCATCTCGTACGACTCGATGAACACCGGCGCCGGCGTGCTCTTCGCGTCCATCGGGCTCACCACCGTGATTCTCGGGCCGGCCTCGTCGCTCTACGGCCGCAAAATCAGCTACGTCATCTGCATACTGCTCGGCCTCGTCGGCGCGGTGTGGTTTGCCCTGTCCAAGACAACCAGCGACACCATCTGGTCGCAGCTGTTTGTTGGCGCGTCTGAGGCCTGCGCAGAGGCCCAGGTGCAGCTCTCGCTGTCGGATATGTACTTTTCGCACCAGCTCGGCGGAGTGCTGACCGTCTACATCCTGGCTACCTCTGTCGGAACCTACCTGGGGCCTTTCATAGCCGGCTTCGTGGTCCAGTACACCACGTTCCGGTGGGTCGGCTGGATCGCCGTGATCATCTCGGGCGTGCTGCTGGCGGTGATGTTCCTGACGCAGTACGAGACGTACTTCGACAGACAGCGCTACATAGGGCAGATCGACTCGAGAGAGAAGCGCGAAAAAATGGACGACAAAACTGCCGACTCGCACTCTGGCAACCGCTCCGACGTGATCGAGGTCACCGGCGTGTACGGCACGGGCGCGGGCGAGCCGCGGCTGCCGTACTGGAAGCGCGTGCAGCTGATCACGCCGTCGGCGTCGCTTGTCGGGCTTGGCGCCAAGCAGTACCTGCAACGGCTCGTGCTCATGCTGCGCGTGTTCTGGTTCCCGCCCGTGCTGCTGTCGGGGCTGCTTTGGGGGCTGCAGGACGCGTTTCTCACGTTCTACCTCACCACAGAGGACGACCTGTACTACGACGCGCCGTGGAACTACTCCGACACCGGCGTTGCGCTGATGAATCTGCCGTGCGTCATCGGCGCCCTGATCGGGTGTCTGTACGCGGGCTACTTCTCGGACTGGTTTGTGATCTGGAAAGCCAAGCGCAACGGCGGCATCCAGGAGGCCGAGTTCCGGCTCTGGTTCCTGTTCCCGGGCGCCATCATCTCGCCGCTGGGGCTGCTGCTCTTCGGCATCGGCACAGACAAGCTCTGGAGCTGGAAGGTCACATACACCGTCGGACTGGGCTTCATCGGCTTCGGCTTCGCCACGGCCGGCGACATCGCCATGGGCTACCTCATGGACGCGTACCCGGAAATGGTGCTGGAGGGCATGCTGGGCGTGGCGTTCATCAACAACATGATCGGCTGCATTTTCACGTTTGCCTGCTCGCCGCTGATCGACGCGCTCGGCACGGTCCGCACATACATCATGCTGGCCGTCATCGACTTCGGCACGTTCCTGTTCATCATCCCGTTCCTGCTGTACGGCAAACAGATGAGGCGCTGGACAAAGAAGTACTACCTCAGCTACGTGGAGCTGCGCGATGCAGAAAGGAGCTAGGGTTCAGTTACGTAATCAGAAAAAGACCGTCCTTAAACTAAAAGTTGTCCTCCTCGTCGTTGTAGACGGGAACGCCCCAGTCCGGGTTCAGGATCCGTCTGCCCTTGGTCTTGTACAGCGCCGAGATGGCGTCGGCGGTCTCGTCGTCCAGGTCGACGACCTTGATGTTGGCCTCGATCCGCGACGGAGTCACGCTCTTTGGCAGCACCACAGTGTCTCTGTGCAGCGCCCACGAGATCACCAGACAGGCCGGAGAGATGCCCTTCTTCTCGGCGAGCGCAATGATGTCCTCGTCCTTGAGCAGCGGCGAGCCAGTGCTGCCCAGCGGCGAGTACGCCTCCACAACAATGCCTTTCTGCTTGCAGTACTCGAGCAGCTGGTGGCGCGGGTAGTATGGGTGCATCTCGACCTGGTTGGCTGCAGGAACGACCTTGGTGGTTGGCGCAGAGAGCAGCTTCTCCAGGTTTGTCTTGGACATGTTCGACACGCCCACGGCCCGGGCCTTCTCCTTAGGCAGCTGCTGCATCAGCTCCCATGTCTTGACGAAATCCCAGTCTTTGTCGAGGGCTGGTTTTCCAGGGTTGTTCGGATCCTTCGGGAACAGCTGTTCCTCAGCGTCTGGTGGAGGCTTGACAAAGGGAACAGGCCAGTGCACCAGGTACAGGTCGACGTAGTCCATGCCGAGTCTCTCCAACGAGCCGTTCAGCGCAGACAATGGGTCTCTGTGGTTGGTGTTCCAGAGCTTGGTGGTGATGAACAGCGACTCTCTAGGGACGCCCGAGTCCTTGATGGCTCTGCCCACGTCCGCCTCGTTGCAGTACACATGGGCGGTGTCGATGTGTCTGTAGCCGGCCTTCAAGGCGGCCAGAACTGAGGTGTACGTGTCCTCTGGCGACGCCTGCCAGCATCCGAGGGCAATTGAAGGGATGGAGGCGCCGGTGTTGAGCTTTTGGGTCTTTGTGCAGATAGAAGCCATTAGAAGTATTTGACAGGAAATTTACGTGCACAAAAAAGTTGCGAGATAGAAATACCTACAGCTGTGGCAACTGTCCCAAAGGGGCAACTCCAATCACGCAAAAACGGTTATGTAATTGTCCACATAATTATTTTGTTTTATTTCAGCTCGCATGTCGCTGTTCCAGGAGATCGAGCTGCCAACTGGCCAAAAGTACCAACAGCCCCTGGGGCTGTTCATCAATAACGAGTGGGTTGCCACGGACACCACTCTCGAAACGCTCAACCCGGCTACTGAGCAGGTTATCGCCAAAGTGTACGCTGCCGGCGAGAAAGAGGTCGACGCAGCCGTCGCCGCAGCGCGAGGCGTCTACCAGAGCTGGCTGCAGGTGCCGGGCGAGGAGCGGGCGCTCAAGATGCTGAAACTCGCTGATATCCTCGAGCAGAACGCGGAGCTGGTCGCCGCGGTCGAGGCAATGGACTCGGGCAAGCCGCTGCACAGCAACGCCCGCGCCGACATCGACGGCGTGGTGGAGTATCTGCGGTACTGCGCCGGCTGGGCCGACAAGATCCACGGCAAGACGATCCCGCTCAGCAACAACCGGCTCGCCATCACCAGGAGGTACCCGCTGGTGGTGGGCCAGATCGTGCCGTGGAACTACCCGCTCTCGATGTCGGGCTGGAAATTCTGCCCGGCGTTGGCGTGCGGGTGTCCGCTGGTGATCAAGTCGAGCGAGCTGACGCCGCTGTCGCTGCTGCTGTTTGCGCAGTACGTCAAGGACGCCGGGTTCCCCGCTGGCGTGTTCAACGTGCTGTCCGGGCTGGGCTCTGTGGCCGGCCAGAGACTCGCCGAGCACCCGGGCCTGGACAAGGTGGCGTTCACGGGCTCGACGGCCACGGGCGCAAAGGTGATGCAGAGCGCGGCAGCGAACCTCAAGAACGTGTCGCTCGAGTGCGGCGGCAAGTCGCCGCTCCTGGTGTTTGACGACGCCGACCTCGAGCAGGCGGCCAAGTGGGCCTCGTTCGGCGTCATGTACAACTCGGGCCAGAACTGCACGGCCAACTCCCGCGTGCTTGTCCAGGACAGCGTGTACGAGCGGTTTCTGGAGCTGTTCAAGAAGCAGATTCTCGAGGACTGGAAAGTCGGCGACCCGTTCGACCAGAGCGCTACAATGGGGCCCGTGATTTCCAAGGCCCAGTACGACAAAATCCAGCGGTACATCGAGTCGGGCAAGAGCGAGGGCGCGCGGCTCGTGCTGGGCGACGAGCCGACCGGCCAGAGCGCCGGCTATTTCATTCCGCCAACGGTGTTTGCCGACTGCAACCAGAACATGACTATTGTCAGAGAGGAGATATTCGGGCCGGTCGTGGCGGTGGCAAGATTCTCGTCCGAGCAGGAGGCCGTGAAGAACGCCAACGACACGATCTACGGTCTCGCCGCCATGGTCTTCTCTAGGGACTTCCACAGAGCACACCGCGTGGCCGAGCAGCTCGAGGCCGGCTCTGTGTACATCAACTCGTCTAACGACGAGAACTGCAGGGTGCCGTTCGGCGGCTTCAAGATGTCCGGCATCGGCAGAGAGCTCGGCGAAAGCGGCATCGACCTCTACACGCAGTCCAAGAGCATCTACCTCAACATTGGCAACAAGCTCTAGCGCCTGCTGTGTCCTGGCTGTGCAAGAAAAATATGTATCCAAAAATCTAGTAAATATTTTATTCATGTCCCGCCATCAGCTCGACCTGGTGCTATGTCTCAAACAGCCCGGCACGGCTGTGGGCCGGCTGTGCGAGAAGTGCGATGGTAAGTGCCCCGCGTGCGACTCCTTTGTCAACGCGGCCCGCCCGGCGCGCATCTGCGACGACTGCGCGTTCGGGTCTGCCCGTGAAAAATGCATCATCTGCGGCCTCCCCGGCATCAGCGACGCATACTACTGCCGCGAGTGCGTCACGCTCGAGCGCGACAGAGACGGGTGTCCGAAAGTCGTCAACATCGGGTCCTCGCGCTCAGACATGTTTTTCGAGCGCAAAAGACTGGGCAGGTGAATCACTCCTGCAGAATGTCGATCGCCGTGACAAACTCCTCGTCCTCGGACTCAGAGCGCTGCTGCTCCAGATGGTCGTACGCGCACTCGCAAATGTGCCGGAACAGCGAGTTTCGCGACAGCTCGAACCACGTCCACTCGATCTTCACGGCGAACAGCTTCACGCCCGCGTGGAGGGTTTCTCGCGTCTTGGCCTGGAACGGCGTCAGCAGTGAGACTCTTCTGATCATGAAGAAGAAGTCCTGCAGCGATTTTATGGACGCCTCGATCGCCTGGTTCAGCTTCTCGAGCCGCTCGGCAGCGGTGAGGACTCGCAGGTTGATCACCTCGGCGATCGACGCGTCGGCAAACGGCAGGTCCAGCTTCTCGATCGGCAGGTTCACCGGGTCCAGCGCGGAGAGATAGTTGATCGAGTTGATCCATGAAATGAGCTCGTACTGGTTGTCCACCATGTACACGTCTTTGGAGTGTTTTCCATAGATGTAGAAAGTGCAGTGTTGCAGCTGCGACGATTGGGTATCGTTGACGAGGCTGTCGAAGTATACGTTTTTGCGCATTCGCATGGCGAATGCGCCGTTCGGGATCGTGAAGCTCGGTTCTGGCGACTCCAGTATCGGCGTGTTGCTTGTCTTCTCCTCCAAAACAATCGTTTTCTCGCGTTTGGAGTTCATCACGTACTTCATCTTGAACTGCGAAACGTTCTTGAAAAAAAACAGCCCCACCGACGTGAGCACGCAGAAATACCGTTTCCAGGACTTGTAATTCGAGAGCAGTTTAGTTTCCTGCCGCGTCAGCATGCCAATCTTAAATATACGCGTAATAAGATACTCTTCGCCAGTGGTTTCGCAGTTGTAGTTAATCACCTCTGTCCTGCTCCCCAGCAAGTAGGCGGCCTTACTTTTCGCAACCTTGAGCAGCATCGAGCAATGGCTGCCTTTTAACGTGTTCAGAACGTTGCCCAGCAAACGCTCGTCCAGATACTCTTCATCCGGCACGGTTTGCGACCCGATGATGTCGTCTGGGTCATACTCGGCCGTGCTGAGCAGGAACGGGTTCTTGAAGTCAAACGGTACATCCATCTTGAGCTCGCTCGCGTTGTGATTGATGATATACTCGTAGGGGTCGATCGACACGCTGCTCCAACGGAACGTGCTGCTTCTTTTTCTGGTCAGTATGACTTGTGTCGCAGAGGACGCAGCGCCGTTCAGAAAACTCCCAGACGGATACGGCAGGGGCGTCTTGTTGACGAGGCCCTCCAGTATTCTATCGCTCTGGTCTTTGGTGATGTTGGTGAACGGCGTGTACGTCACGTTGTCGTAGTAATACTCCAGCACCGCTTTAATGCTGATTTTCGACAGCTCGCCGTTTTTGCCCCAGTCCTCGTTCTGCTCAAGCGTGGCCAGCAAATTGTCGACGAACTCGTACTTGGCCATTTTCTTTTTGTTATTCTGGTTGAACCTGTCTGTGTGCAGCATGATCAGTGAGTACGTCAGAATATAGCAGTAGTCCTCGTTTATGCCGGCGTCCCGGTGTTGCGCGCAGTAATGGCGGCTGAACTCGTAGATGACCCTGTCAATCTGCTGGGTCTCCTTGGGCAGCTCGTTGATCATGAGGAACTTGCGCAGCGACAGATCGAGCGGTTCTTGGGAGAAGTCGAAGTAGCGTGCTAAGAACTCTCGCATGCACTGCTTGAAAAACTCCGACTCGTTCGAAAGCAGCAGACTGGCTATGTTGGTGACGGGGTAGTTCTGGAGCAGTCGGTCAAGGTACTGCGCAGGCGTTTCAGAGTCCTCAACCGTGAGCAGTTCTGCCAGGCTCTGTTCCACGAACTCCTCCAGCCTGCTGGACGAGGTGGTCCGGGATGTGGGCGCGTACCGTCTCATGAGTCCTGTAAGCGAATTGAGGATTCCCGGGCTCAGCTCGCGTCTCTCCTCGTCCAGAGCATTGAGCGTCTTCGACCGCTGCCGGGTGATCTTGTTGGACTCGGGCGAGTCTGCCGTTGTGTCTGTGCGGCCGCTCGGGATGCTGGACGGCTCCTTGTCTTCGGACCCGTCGTTCATCGAGTGCGACCGGCGGTACGAGGGCCTTGACACCTTCAGAATCATCTCGTCCTCGTCGTCGGGGTCTGGGGAGAGCGTGAACTTGACGTTGGACGGCGAGGCGGGCTTGGACGACGACTCAGACAAGCAGGAGGGCGCGTCCAGCATAAGAATGGACTTTGTGCGCTGTTTGATGCGCGACAGCTGACCGTTGCTCTTGTCTGAAATAAGCGAGCTGCTGGATTCTAGACGGAGTTCCAGGGACGACGAGTCAGAGGGCAAGGACCGCAGCGGAGGCGCCGACGCGGCCCCGGACGGCTGGGCGTTGGCAGGCGGGGTGTCGGGCAACTTCAGGGACGACGACGAGAACCGGCGCGGTAAGAGCCACGATGCCGGTCGTTCGCGCGACCGGGCGCGCACCACAGGCTTGATTTTGGACTTCAGAGACCCCCATGAGCTTTTCCTCGACCGCGAGTCCGGCGCCGGGCCGGTGTCTGCGGTGGCCGCAAAAGTGATTGTTTTTTTTTCATCACCCATGGAGTGTCATGAGTTGAACAAGACAAAAATAATGTGAATTATTTGAATAAATTATTTTATTTTATTTTATTGTTAATTCACTCTATGGCCCATGAGTGCCTTTGGTTCTGCCCCAGCGTTATCTGCTGCTGAGGAACACTTTCTGAAAAAGGAATTGATTAATCTAGAGCTCACCAAGGAGATCAACAAGCTCTCGCCAACCTACACTGATGCGCACGGCCTGCGCCGGTTTGGCCCGCCTTTCAGGATGTACGATCCCCGCAGGCCGCCTGCGATGGATCGCGAACGGCTCGAGGCCGTCGCAAACGGGTATGTGGCCCAATTCGACGCCGAGTTCCCTCTTCTGCGCTTCATGTTCACCGAATTCCTCGTCACGTTTCCGTTTATCAAAATGCACCTGGAAAGACTGGAGAATGAGCACGAGCTATGGGACAAAGTGCAGGTGTTCTGGGAGATGTGGCGGACAAAGAAGATCAGCAACAGCAACGACCGGGGGGAGCTCAGCAAGCGCAAGCTGGCGGTGCACAAGCTGCAGTCGCTGCTGCTGACGTTGTTCAACTCTGCTATCCTCTGTCGCGGCGACGAAGAGTATTTCAGAACGAGCGAGCACAGAAACACGTACAAGAAAATGAACAAGCTGACGGCGGGCGAGCTGACACTGGAGCAGCGCGAAGACGAGAATTACGTGAACGGCTTGCTGATCAACGTCGTTGGCGTGACTGTAGCCAGGGAAACAAAGGCCCGCTATTTTTTGGGCTCGAGCGAGTCGAAATATTATAATTTCATCATCAGAGTGCGCACGCAGGACGGGAAAGAATGGCACGTGAAACGACGGTATTCGCAGTTTGCAGAGTTCGACAAGACGCTCGGCAAACTGTTTCCCGGCACAGACCTGCCTGTTCTGCCTGCAAAGACCAAGGCCAAGGTGGTTCTCTCGTCCGCGGCCGAAACAGAGCAGCTGGCACAGGGCGCGGACGCCGTGGACGTGGCGGAGCTGGAAGAGCTGTTCATGAGCGCGCTGCGGCGCACATTCAGCGAGGAACACGACGAGAGCGACAACGAGCACGAGTTCCCGCGCGAGGGTCTGCGCATGGCTCTGCGCGGCTACCTGCGGGCGCTGGTGGCTTTGCGGCCGGTCTGCGAGAGCGCCGAGTTCCTGGAGTTTATTTCGGCAAACCGCGTTCGGCTGACGGTCGAAGAGCAGCACGACATTGAGCAGCGGCGCCAGCTGGAATTCTACACCGTTCTGCAGCACTACAAGTTCCAGCAGGAGACGCTCCGTGCGGTGACCCAGCTGGAGACACAAATGGAGGAGCTCAAGGAGGCACTGTATTCTGACGGCTTTGCGTACATTTTCAAGCAGCTGGAGACGAAGAGCACGTCCAGCGAGCTGTCAAAGCCGCTCCGGTCGCTGGTCCAGCTGGTGCAGATCGAGGTTGCGTCGACAATATACGAGCTGCTGGTTGGCAGCGACAACTCGCGCGAGACGCTGGGCTTGGTGAAACGGCTGCACCGGCTGTTTCCGTACGGTTTGGTGGCCACGATTCTGCGGTTCACGAACCCGATGCAAATCGTCAAGAAGCTGATAGACTTGTTCACGTTCCAGATGCCTGTCGGGTTCGGACGCAGAAGCCGGTCGCTGCTGCAGATGATTTTTACGGGAGTCCTGAACGACGACCTGAAAAAATGCGACAGAGAGCTGGGCGGGCTGCACAGAGCAGTGCTGCGCAAGGGAGAAAAATACGCCGCGTTGCTCCACAAGGTCGACGCGTATTTTGCCGCGTCGGACGAGACGGTGCTGCAGGTGAAGAAGACGGCGCAGAAAAGCGGACTGGGCATTTTCCCGGCGCTGCTGCTGAACAACAACGACCTGTCGCCAAAACTGGACGAGCGGGTTCTGCTGGAGGTGCTGGATGCAATGAGAAAGTCCAAAACCGACAGGAACACGGTCTACTTCCTGCTGCACTCGTACTTCAAAACGAGCTTGCGCCGGCTCGACAAGATCGCGCTCAAGGAGCTGTGGGACGAGCCGGAGCTGATCGACCTGATCAAGGAGCTGCTGGCGATCTTCTTCCAGCCGCTGATCCGGCTGTTCAAAAGCGCGCAGATCCACCTGTACATCCCGGTCGTGCAGCGGTACATGAACGAGCTGATCCAGCTGGCAGAGTACTTCCAGAACGAGCACTTTGCGCCCAACGTGGTGGCCAGCTTCATGGGGCTCCAGGAAAAGTACCAGGAGGCGGTGTACGGGTTTATGCACAGGCTGTATCTGCGAGACATGGAGCAGCAGGAGGGTCTGTTTGCCGGGTTTCTGGGCTGGTTCAACCGGTTTGTGTCGTTCGTGCGGTTCGTGCGGGACGGCCACGAGGAGCTGGTCCTGGATCTGAGCTCGCTGGGCGTCGACGAGGGCGTGAGGAAGGAGCTACGGGCGATACTTGCGGAAATCGAGGAAAAACGGCGCAAGTACGAGCAGCTGGCGCAGCAGCCGCCGCAGACGACGCGCACGCAGGTGGACGCGAACTGGGAGAAGGTGAATAGCAGGATGCTGGGGCTTGCAGGCGACGTGGCAGACCTGGACCGGCTGGGCGAGTACGTGGGGCTGAGCAGCGAGGACCTGATGGAGCTGAACGGAGAACTCGACGCGGAGGAGCCGGCGGACGGGTTTTTCCACGAGATGGACACGGCAGCGTTTCTGCGCGCGGTGCAGCAGGTGAGCGTGAGCGACGAGGAGTTCCGCAAGAACGACGAGACGGGACAGTACAGGTGGAGCCACATAGCCGGGCTGGAAGGCCGGTTCCGGCCGCAGCTGGCGGCGGTGCTGGCGGCGTGGAGAAAACTGGAATCTGAGTAGATTGGTACTTATATATAAACAAGCAGGAACGGGTCTAGTCCTGGTCGAGCGACGGAATGCTGTCCTGGAGGACGTTCATCACGCTTGCTGGGGGCTGGATGGCGGTGAGCATCATGATCAGCTCGTAGATGTGTTCAGGAATGGTTCTTTGGTAGATGTCCAAGATTCCGGTCGGGTTAGGGTAGACGGCCAGGCCTTTGTAGAAGTGGATGGCAGCCTCGATGTCCTTGCCCTCGAGAGCACTCATTTGCTCGCCGATGGTGACCTGGGTCATGAAGAATTTCTCCTTCTCGGCCGCGTCCTTAGGCAGCGGCTCCTCTGCGAGCGACTGGTTGAGTTTCTCCTTGAGAGCCTCCAGTTTCTGCTTTTTGTCGGCCTCGGCCTCCTGCTTGGCCTTTTTGGCTGCTCTTTTCTTGTTTCTGACGATTTTCTTTCTGAACTCCGGGTTGTTTCTTCTTGCGTAGTCGAAGTAGATGCAGTAGCCGACGGCGGCGGTGGCGACTGCCAAGAGGGAGTATCCGAGAGCTCTGGACATGAGAAGTGGAAAAAATAAATAAAAAAAATGCAAGAAAATTTTACGTAATGGGCGTGGGCAAGAGAACGAGTTTGCGGGCCAAGCTGGAGAAGCGGGTCAAGAGCGGCGGCGTGGCGAAGCCTGCCGAGCGCGCCGAAAAGCGCAAGGACGACTCGCTGGTCTCGAAGTCGGCTCTGCGCCGGCGCAAGCGCAAGATGAAGGAGCAGCTGAAGCCCAAGCTGGAGGACCTCGCACGGGCGCTCGAGGAGGTGCCGGCGACGGCGCCGCAGCCCAAGCGTGACCACACGCCGAACCCACACAAGCGTGGGGCAAAACTAGTGGAAAAGGCGGAGATTCAGCGGTTCGGGGCGGTGCTGAAGGACGAGCAGTTCAGAAAAAGCCCGTTCGACGCCCTCAAACGGGCTATAGCAAACAACAGCTAGCAACAGCCAGCAGGGGCGGGATACGGACAATAAATACGGAGTTATGAATAAATAGAGCGGTGGAAGGGAGTCGCCTAGTCACCTAATAAATAGCCGCTGTCGCGGGCCCCTAGTACGCCCGGTACCACATGCGGTGCGTCTGGTGGGCCATGATCTTCTTCTGCAGCCGGAAAATGCCGTACATCAGAGCCTCCGACGACGGAGGACACCCCGGCACGTACACGTCCACAGGAACTATGCGGTCGACGCCTCTCACCACGCTGTAGCTGTAATGGTAGTAGCCGCCGCCGTTCGCACAGCTGCCCATCGAGATCACCCACCTCGGGTACGGCATCTGGTCGTACACCTGGCGAAGTGCCGGCGCCATCTTGTTTGTCACGGTGCCGGCCACAATCATGATGTCGGCCTGGCGCGGAGACGCACGGAAAATGATCCCCAGCCGGTCCTGGTCGTACCGTGGCGCGGAAACGTGCATCATCTCGACGGCACAGCAGGCCAGGCCGAAAGTCACTGGCCAGAAGGAGCTTCTTCTTGCCCAATTTTTGAGCTTGTCGAAAGTGGTAAAAGCGTAGTCCAAAGAGTTCGACAGAGGTAATTCGGAAAGCACAGGGCGGTCGACCTCGAGTTGCGGCTTGGCTCGCAAAACAGAGGTCGAAAACCTGGCCAGTTGTGCTGGTCTGATGAGCTTCATGTAAATGAGGGGAACCAAAGAAGTTTGATTACGAAATCATCTGGGTAATGGGGAGGGAAAAAATGGGCTGAGATAAGCACGGCGACGATCGACGCCAGTCTGCGTCGCACCAGCCCTACACAGTGCAAATCTTTGGTGGGCGGTAGTGCGGTGCCAACTTAAAGTTTGTGATGAAGTGCCCGAAAGTGGAAAAGTAATGGTTTTTGGGCAGGCTAGTCCAGAATTCCCATGTTGGGCAAAATGTAAACAATCGTAATTAGATATCCGCATTGGGGAGGTATGGCTGGATACGCAAATTACAAGCCTCGGGAACTCCCTGATGGAGCGAAACGGCGTCCAGAGAGCAGGGAGGGGCGCCAGCAGTGTTCCGGAGCCCCTGTGAAGGGTGCGCATTCCAACTGGCCAGAGACGTGGCGAAAATTTTAAACTTCTTAAATTAGGGCTTCTGCACCTGCGAAATCAGGATATGCGTTCCTTTTGTGCAGCCTTGCCAAAGGCTTTGCGAAATCCCCCTTGTTCTAGATCCAGTATAAAAGGCATGCCATTTCCCGCCTTTCATTTACCCAAAGCAATGAAGCTGTCGTCTTTTTCTCTCGTTGCTAGTTCACTTCTCTCGCTCGTGGCTGCGGCACCAGTCACTCTTCTGAAAAGAGACAACCGTTGGGACTACAAGAACGACAAGATCTACGGTGTCAATATCGGAGGATGGCTCGTTCTCGAGCCTTACATCACCCCTTCCTTGTTCGAAGCTGTCTCCTCAGACGTGCCTGTGGACGAATACCACTATACGGAGGCCCTAGGAAAAGAAGAGGCCGAAAGACGTCTTCAGGAGCACTGGTCCACGTGGATAAGAGAGGAGGACTTTAAGGGTATGGCAGATGTCGGTCTTAATTTCGTGAGACTCCCGATCGGATACTGGGCGTTCCAGCTTGCAGAGGGAGACCCTTATGTGCAGGGCCAGCAGGAGTATCTGGACAAGGCATTGGAATGGTGTGCTAAATATGGACTAAAGGCTTGGGTCGACTTGCACGGTGCGCCAGGCTCCCAAAACGGCTTCGACAACTCCGGCAAGAGAGGCGAGATCGGCTGGCAGAACACCACGGGCTATGTGGATCTCACGATCCAGGTCCTGGATCAGATCGCCTCGAAATATGGAGGTTCCAACTACTCTGACGTGATCATCGGCATCGAGCTGTTGAACGAGCCGCTGGGCTCGAACCTCGACTTCGACGAACTGGTGGACTTCTACAACAAGGGCTACCAACTGGTCAGAGATAACGGAAACGCTCCTGTTATCATCCACGACGCGTACCTTCCGGACCACACCTTCGACAATGTGCTCAACACCGAACAAGACCCGAACGTTTGGGAGGTGATCGTCGACCACCACCACTACCAGGTGTTTGACGTAGGATCTTTGAGCCAGTCTATCGACGAGCACGTCTCGACGGCCTGTGGCTGGGGACAGTCCGAAAACACCGAGTACCACTACACTCTCTGTGGAGAGTGGACTGCCGCTTTGACCGATTGCGCTAAATGGTTGAACGGAGCAGGCAGAGGTGCCAGATACGATGCCACTTTCGGTGGAGGAAACTACATTGGTTCCTGTGATCAGCTTTACACAGCCAACTACGACTACTTCACTCCGGAAGTGATTTCTAATTATAGACGTTATGTGGAGGCACAGATGGATTCGTTCCTGTACGGCAAGAACGCAGGATGGGTGTTCTGGTGCTGGAAGACCGAAAACACCATCGAGTGGGACATGCAAAGACTCATTGGTCTGGGCATTATCCCACAACCTTTCGACGACAGACAATATCCGAACCAATGTGGATTTGACTAGAGAGGTTGCGTAAATTTCTCACGAAAATGATATATATATTTTGTAAATTATCAACAATAACAGTTTCTGGCATTAATTTATGAGACTAGGCTGAAACGCGATCGCGCCCCAAAAAACACCTTTCAATTCCGGACGTCCCCCTTTCGGATATTTCGACTTGCGTCACCTCATGCAACATGTGTAATATTTTAAGATTTAACATAGTCGCGTCGATTTGCGTCGATCAGGCCAAATAAAATAAAAATCATTATTTTAAATCAAACATTATGAACCCTCCTGATCTGTGTCCCATATGTTTGGACGATCTTCCCGATCAGGACCAGATCATTGTGCGGGAAACCAGGTCCGCACAGCACCTCGCCCGTACAGTGCCCTGCCACCACTATTATCATGGGTTTTGCATTAATGAATGGGCCCAGAAGGCAAACTCGTGCCCGCAGTGTCGGGCAACTTTTACCGACATCGAGCTCATTTCCGACAACAACGTGTACCAGTCGAACCCGGTGCCGGACAGAAAGCAGACCCCAGAACCGTTCGAGCCGGTTGTTGAGAGCACATCTCTACACCAGCACTCCCACTTGAACAACCAGCTATGCTGTCTGTGCGACCGGTCAGGCGCCGGGGCGTTTGCGATCTGTCGCGAGTGTTCGAGCGGCTACCACACGGCGTGCCTGGGGGTGATTGAAGGCGCGCAATTCCACTGTCCTGTGTGCGACTCCTTGCAGGATGCGAGCAGCGTGATCCCGTCTCGTGGGGGCAGACGGGGGCAGACTTTTTTGCAAAGCGTGCGACGCCAGATCAGGAACGGGCGTCAGCGGCAATTGGGCGTGTATGTGTCCCGAGACGAGCCCGACTACGTTGCCCTTGTGGATGAGCAGCGGAGTAAGCAGACGGTGACGACGGAGGACATTGCGTGGCGGGCACTGGATGCGCTGCGTGGGGGTAAAAAAACGGGTGTTGTGGATGCCACCCACACCGGCGGCTTCGAGAAGTTTAAGCGGCCGAAACGGGCATCACGCAGGCGGCAGCTGTCTACTGCGGCGCTGGCCGAGCACAACAAGCTGCTGGGCGACCGTGTGCGCGAGGAAACGCCGTTTGCCCTGAGCTTTACGCCGAAATCGCTTATCCAGGCGCTTCTGCTACGGCCAAAGCTGAAAAGGCTGGGGTTGTCTTTTACCAAGTATACACAGGTGAACAAGGCGGTGTCGCGCCACCTGTACGGGCTCGTTTCCGGCCGTGCGGAGTATGTTGTGTGGCTGAACAAGGTTGCGGAGCTGGTCGAGCGCGAGGGCGTGGAGAAACGACGGTACGCCGAATTTGTGCAGCGTCTGAACGAGCCGGACCGGCAGATGGCGCGGCAGATGGCGGAGGAGTACGCTGTTACGGTGGACGAGATGGTTGCAAGACTGCTTAGTAACGAGTAATTAGAATTTCATGAGCGACGATAAGATTTCGAAGGCTCCACCCAAAGAGTGGTCCTGCTGCTCGTCCGGTAGCAGCAGGTGGTTGCTATCGACGATGCGCGCGTCTCCACCCCCACATATCACCACCTTGGAGTCGAACTGTAATGCCTGTACGTGGACGTTGATGAAACGGCCCGACGTGAGAGTCTTCTTGGCGTTATACAGCCGTGTTTCTGCGTGCTTCCATTGCCGCGTAGCAAAGTTGAGCACAAAGAAATCGTACACATCACGGTTGATTCCGGGCCCCACGTTCTCGCTGATCGTGTCAAAAGCCCTCTCTGCAATGTCCAGGTATTGCCTTGCGGCGTCCCCACTGTACTGGATGGCCAGCAGCTTGTCGTCAAGCTGATACCCACGCAACCCGCCGATCACCATGAGTTGCTGCCCATCGCTTGCCGACGCGTGGCCACACAGTTTTAGCGGCTCGCTGTCCGACTGTTTAACAGTACGCACGCTCGTCCACGTTTCCGTGTTGAGGTCGAACCACCACATGTCACTCAGCACATCCACTTTCGAGTATACGTGTTCCGACCCATCTTCGGCAACCACTTTGATATGGAGGATGCTGGAGCCACCAAACACCACGAGCGAGCTCGAGCGCACCGCGAGCGACGAAAACTGCGACGCCGCAGCGTTCGGCGACGACCGCGGGGTCTCCTCCGTGGATGACGGGGTCCTGCTCCTCATTCGGCCCTCGTATGGGAACAATGGGCGCATGTTGACTCTTTCTGTTGCCGACAAGGGCGATGAGGAGCGCAGCTGGGCCTGCAACGACGGGGTGGGCGACGGTGATCGGGCCTCGTCCTGCAACCCGGTGAAATGGCGGTAACTTTTCGGCTTGGGGTGGCTGATGTGGGGATGCTGCTCGGCCCACTCGCCCTCCGCCATCTGTTCCAGATCGGTAGTCTGCACAATGTCCATGCTGAAGAAACCACGCGGTTTGGGCCACTGCGCGTCTGTTCCGTGGCGGAACAGGCCCTGGATGACTTGCCGTTTTTCCTGGCCCAGCGGCTCTCCGTTTGCATTGTAGCTGAAACTGAATCGGTCGTTGAGGATGTCAGGGTTCCCCACAAGGGAGCAGATGGTTTCCGTGGAGAATTCAAGCTGGAACCCCCGCGAAGAAGGGTCTGTTGTGTTGCTGGCCGACAGCTCGCACTTCCACAGGTCGTTGAGTGCCACGAGCCTATTTGAATGCTGTTCGATTTTGTAGCCACCCATCACGAAGACAACGGCGGGGCGCGGAAACCGGGAGTGCGAGCCAATGGTGGGGTCGTGGGAGGGTCCAGAGTGGAGGCTCTCGTCGTCGTTCCGTGAATTGTTCTGCTCGATGGTGATGCCTTGGATTTTGTGGCCGAACCGCGGGATGTAGTGCGGCAAAATGGTGGATATGGACGAGCTGAGGATGGCCTTGAGCTGTGTGAAGACCTGGGTGCGGATATCGAACATCCAGATAGCCGTTTGCGGGGCGAGCGTCCTGGTGATGTGGACGTGGCCGTCGCGCTTCTCTACGTGGGTGTGCAATTCAAACCCTGCGTGGAGCATAAAATGGTACGCGCTGATCTGCTGCAGGCCCGAGCACAGCAGCGGCGGGGGCGTCTTGACGCCGTCGAGCTCGCACGTCTTCAGCAGCGTGCTTGTCTCCGAGTTGTACGTGTACACGTTTTTGTTCGGCCGCAAAGCGAGCGACGTGAGCTTCGCCTTGCTAAGTGGGGCGGGCAGCTCGTAGTCGAAGTGCATGTGGATGTTGGCTGGCGCGATGGAGAAGTCGTCGGTGAGCTCGCGCAGGTACGTTTCATACTGTGCGGCCGGCATGAGCTCGAGCCCGCCAAAAAGGAGTATCCGGTGTCCCATGCGCACGACAGAGTGGTGGATAAGGTGGGGGAAGCTGTCGCCGGCGAGCAGGTCGGGGAAGTTCACGAGGTTGCTGGTCTCCAACGGGCGCTCTGCGGCCGGCTGGTTGGGGCTGTCGGCGGTCAATTCCTGCAAATCCACCTGTGCTGAGTATAGGCGGTGCTCTTTGTAGTACCTGGCCGTGGCGGAATCCGAGTACGGCTCGAACAGAAGGCCGTCAGTGTTGAGCTTGGAGTAGTACTGGTAATACTGTTGGTGGCGCGCGCTCGTGCGGAACTTTGCTCTGTCGTATTTGCGTGCGAGGGGGAACTCTTCGTACCGGGGCAGTTGCACCGGCGGCACCACAAATGCCGGGGCCTGAGCCAAGTACGAGTCCATGGTGAATAATTGCTAAAAAATTTGTGCGCAGCTAGAATTGAACGTGGGCGGGGGAAGGGAAAAACACAACCGCAGTTTACAGTAGACCAAGTACCCGCGCCGTCTTGTTAACGTGGGGGTGCACACTGTCCAAGGCTGCCGCTTTCACGTCTGCAAAAAAAATGGTAAGATCTCTTTGTAAAGCGTGTCATCCTTATGCAGGGGCCATGCTAATCTTCTCTGTATTTTTTCGATTGACCAAATGTCCCGAAGGACAGGGAGTAGTGTGGAGGCGGGGATACATACACAAAGACTCCGGGATGGCCTTCCTGGCCAGCCTCCGACCTCTCCATCCACCGTCGTTTCCCGCCGCCCCTCGCAACACAAGCCCTTTTTCCTCCTCCCCCTCCAATCATTTTCGCCAAAATATTGATTCAACTATTTTTCTCTCTTTATGTCTTCTCCCTCTGAAGTGCTCCAACAAAACGCCACGGCCGGAGTCAATCTCAAGGCCGTCACCGTCGCCGGCGGCGAGCCGTTTTCAGACAACTTCTTCACCAAGCTGCTGTCGCCGTTGCTCTCGTCCGCGGACCTCACCGTCGGCCAGCTCAACAGCAGGTGCCAGTCGGCCCTCGAAAACCTCGCCCTCACAAACTGTTTCGACAGAGTTGCGGCCCAGGTGGAGCCCGCCGCGCAGGACCCACACAGCCCGCTCTGTCTGACGGCGAAATTCGACCTTGTCCCGGCAAAACTGGCCCACACCACCGTCGGCAGTGTCTACACCCCAGAGGGAAACCAGCTGGTGCTCAATTACATCAACAGCAACACGTTCGGCAACGCGGAGCTGCTGCAGGTGTCGTCGCTGGCCGGACTCGTGCCTCAGTCGCCGGTGCGGCTGCTCAACGTGCTGTACAAGGCTCCCATGGTGGACACGTCGCTGAAGCTGTTTGCGGACGGGTTTGTGTCGAACGCGAACGACGCGCGGTTCCAGTCGGAGCAGCAGTGGGTCGGCTCGGGCACGCTGGGCGTGGAGAAACTGAAGCTGTTCGGCAGCTTCACCACAGCCGTCTCGGCAGCCATCTCGCTCGTCAAGAGACGGACGCTCCGCGTCAGCGACGGCGCCAGCGACGAGATCAAAACCTACGCGGGCGACCACTTCAAGGAGTCGGTGCTGCTTTCTGTCGCGTGCGACAGCCTCACGTACCTGCCCGCGTCGAACAACGCGCTCCCGCTCAACGGGGTCCACTGGAGTCTGAAAAACGAGCTCACGGGCCTCTCCAACACCAGCCCAGAGAGGTTCGTCAAGCTCGAGTCGTCGCTGCAGCTCGTCAAGTCGGTCCTCAGGCACAGCCTCACGCTGGACTGCCAGCTCGCGGCGGGCCACATCGTCAACCTCGCGGGCTCCAAAACCATCCACTACCACGACAAATTCTATCTCGACGTGCTGGGCTGCAAAACGCTCGGCTACCCGAGCCTCAGCGAGACCCGGTTTGGCGGCACGTCCTACGTCAGCGCCAACTTGAGGCTGCTCTCCAGACTGCTCCTGGTCGACCCAGCGTACCCGCTTCGGCTGTACGTCGACCTCAACGGCGGCCAGGTGGCCTCCGACCCGGCGCAGCTGCTCCGGTGGCGCTCCGGCGCCGCCTTGGGCCTCACGTACAAGGTCGGCTCCGTGGCCCACTGCAATGTCTACTACGAGCTGCCGGTCGCCGGCCGCGGACGCTCCGGGCTCGGCTTCAATGTGGCTCTCTACGGCGACTACTAGCGCAGAAACGTCCGGGTCTAGACTCTCTAGCATACTATAGACAAGAATTGTAGAACTACTTCTCCTCCCCCTCCCGCTCCTCTTTCTCGGCCAGATACTTGTCGAAAGCGTCGTTCTTGTTGGCAAACGGCCGCTTCCCCAGCAGCCGGATCATGTCCTCTCTCGTGATCACCTCTTTCGCGAGCAGCTCCTCGGCAACAAGTGCCACCTCCTTGGACTTTTCCGTCAGCAAACCCTTGCACCGCTGGTAGCACTCGTCCACGATGCGGTGGATCTCCGAGTCGATCAGGCTCGAGGTCTTGTCGCTGAACGGCTTCGTCATGTCGTTGCCGCGGTCCACGTTGTAGTTGACGAGGCCCACTTTCGGCGACATGCCGCACTCCAGCACCATTTTCTGCGCCAGATTCGTCACCTTCTCGAAGTCGTCCGAGCCGCCGCTCGTGACAGAGTTGAAGTGCAGCTCCTCCGACACGCGGCCGCCCAGCGTCATCGTCATGCGGTCCAGCAGCTTCCGCGTGCTGTACAGATAGATGTCTGGCGGCAGGTACTGCGCGTAGCCCAGGGCTCCCTGGCCGCGCGGCACAATCGACACCTTGAGCAGCGGGTCTGCGTTCTCCAGGAACCAGCCACAGATGGCGTGGCCGGCCTCGTGGTACGCCACGATGCGCTTCTCGTCCGGCGACAGCAGCTTGCTTTTCTTCTCTAGCCCGGCAATCACACGCTCGATCGCCTGCTCGAAGTCGTGCAGGTCGACAAACTCCTCGTTGTGTCTCGCCGCGATCAGCGCGGCCTCGTTGCAGCAGTTGGCGATGTCTGCGCCCGAGAAGCCCGGCGTCATTGTTGCCAGCCGGCCTTTGAGGTCGTCCAAGTCAGCGCCCTCCTTCAGCTTGATGCTGCGCAGGTGCACGTCGAAAATCGCCTTTCTGCCCTCCAGCTCCGGATTGTCCAGATAAATCTTTCTGTCGAACCGGCCCGGCCTGAGCAACGCCTGGTCCAAGACGTCCGCGCGGTTCGTGCCCGCCAGCACCACCACGTAATCCGACGTGGTGAACCCGTCCATCTCGACAAGCAGCTGGTTCAAGGTGTTTTCTCTCTCGTCGTTGCTGCCGGCAGCACGGCCTTTCGACCGCGACTTGCCGATCGCGTCGATCTCGTCCACGAAGATGATCGAGGGCGCGTTCTCGCGCGCCGTCTTGAACAGCTCGCGCACCCGCGACGCCCCGACTCCGACAAACATCTCCACAAACTCAGACCCAGAGACGCTGTAGAACGGCACGCCCGCCTCGCCGGCCGTCGCCTTCGCCAGCATCGTCTTTCCCGTTCCCGGCGGACCCGTTAGGATGGCGCCGCGCGGGATCTTGGCGCCCAGACGCTCGTACTTCTCCGGGTGCTTCAGAAACTTGACAAACTCCATAATCTCCTCCTTGGCCTCGTCGCAGCCCGCCACGTCGTCAAACTTGATCTTGACACTTTTCTCCGCGTTGAACCGCTTGAACCGGTTGCCCGGCGCGCCAAATAGGCCGCCGCCTATGCCCGGAGCGCTGTTGAGCATCTTCTTCGACGACCAGATAATAAACGCAAACAACAGCACCGTCGGCAGAATGTTGTACAGCGCCTTAAACACAGACGCGTTCTGCACATACACCACCGGCAGCCGCAGCTCCTCGGGAACCTTGTTCTCCTCCTGTGCCTGCTTCAGCTTCTCTTCAAACACCTGCACAGAGCCGATCGTGAAGTAGTACTCGGTGCGCGCGTCGTGCACCGGCTGGCTCCGGCCCAGCTCGTTCATCACCACCCGCACAAGGTTGTTGTTCACCACCACCAGTTTCTCCACGTAACCTTTGTCCAGCAGCGACGTGCGGAAATCCTGCCACGTGATCTCGCGCTCGTGCGACTCCAGCGAAAAAAGATAGTACGTCAGCAGTCCCGTCGAGACCCAGAACAGCAGCACATCGGGCCTCAGGCCGGGCCCCATGGGGCCCATGGGGCCCATAGGCCCCGGGGAATTTCCGCCCCCGCCCGCGGCTCCCTTCGGCGGACTGAACTTGCTGCCAAACAACCCGTCCTTGTCTTGCTGCTCGTTGAGCTGCTCCTGCTTCTCTGTGTGATAGTCCAGCAGCGACTTGTGGAACTTGTGCACGTTCTCCATCTTCTCGCCTGCACGCGTGGCCATCTCGTCCGTCAGAATCGTGTTGATCATCTTCGTCGAGGACGGCGAAATAAGCCCGCCAATCTCGTACTTGTCGAACAGCTGCTTGATTTTCTCCTTCTGCTCTTCCTCGCTCAGGTCCTTCTTGTACCAAATTTTCTTCAAATCAATCAACAGGCTCTCGGCCTCCTCGTCCGTCAACTCACGATCGCCGTCGCTGTTAAACTTCTTTGACGAGTTGAAACGAACACTGCCAGGACGAATAAACCGCATGGTCGGCCGGACAGTGCTCGGCACCCTAAACTGGGCTAAATTGGCCGTCTGGGACACCGGCTTGGACACCGTCTGGGACACCTGCCTGCTAACAAGTAAACGGGCCCCACAGCGCAAAAAAGGGACGTTCCGGGCCGGAATTGGCCGGCAAATTCGTGTAACAGACATAAACCTAAATATCAGCGGCTGGCGTGTCAAAATCGCGGTCGTACTGCCAGCTAACCTTTCTCCGTCTAGGTTTGCCACTCTTAAAAAACTACAACATTACTGAAAAATAACTGGGATTAGTTCTTTGCGAGGTCGTGTATTTACCAATCTCAGGGGCGGCCTAGACAGTGGAAACGATCTCTGAAGCGTGTTTGAGCACCTCCACCATCTTCTTGCACTCCTTTCTTCTCGCAACAGTGATCTCGTTCTCCTTCACAAGCGACTCTAGGTCCTTGTTGCCGTACAGTTTCTCCAGAAGCACCTTCTGGATGTCGTTCTTCGACTGCTGGATCAGCTTGAGCATCACGGCCTTTGGAACGATGTCGGCCACCGTCCGCTTGACAATGTTGAAGTACGAATGTATGAGCAGCTTTATCACCTCTGTCTCCTGGGTCTCTCTATCAGTCATCTGGCCCGTGGCCTTCAGCACGCTTGGAGGAGCCTCCATGGCTGCCAGCCGTTTTTTATTCTTGGACGAAAAGAAGCCACCAAAGAACGACGACGACTTGTTCTCCTCGTCGTTGATTGACGAGGCCGAGTGCGCCGGAGCAGGCAGCGGCTTTCCCGTCTTTGGATCGACCTGGGCAGGCGTAGGATGCAATTTCTCTTGGACCATAGCAAGCGCCTGAGACCCCTTGAGCAGGTCCGGATGTGCTGTATTAATGTAGGTCTGTTCGGCCTTGATAATATCCTCGACAAACGTGTTGGTTGGAAGCACAGACTCCCGGAGATACTGGATGAAAATCTGGGAGATCTGCTCTTTCAAGCCGGGGTATCTTGAGTACTCTGGCTGCGCAAGGATCTGCGACAAAATACGCACCAGCTCGTCAAACACAAGCGTGATACATCTGAGCGAGGGGTCCTGGAATCTGTGGATCTGCTGTTTCACAAGCACCTCGAAAGCCTGTGTGCCCACAAACAGCGACGGAGCAGAACCAGACGAGTTGTACATGATGGTTCTGATGTCTGCGTCCTTGATCTGGTCAAATGGGTCAAGAGCGTACACTCCGTTCTTGAAGATCTCGTGGAACACAAAGCTGATTCTGGCTCCTCCGCTCAGCTCGTTCGAGGAGACGTCCTTGGTCTGTCCGTCCAGAATTCCAGTGTAGTCGTTGCAGAAGTCGGTGATGACACTCAAAACGATCGAGCTTGGCGACTCGGCCATTTCCGGGCCCAGTGCAGAGAGCTCCTGCTGGTACTTCTTCAACGCGGTCTCGATTCTGGCCTTGATCTCAGGAAGCGTGGTTCTGATGTGGTTCAGCAGGATCGCGTTCAGCTTCTTGGCCAGGTACGGGGTGCCGCAGTAGTGGGCCTTGCTGCTGTAGGACGGGTGGCTCTCGAAGAACCGCCTCTCGTCGTTCAGGGCCTCTCTGATGGTCTTGCGGTTCTCGATGTCTTTCTGGCCCCTGTTGATCACAGGAACGTATCCGGACCGCAGCGGGATCACCCGGCCGGCCAGGATGTCGATCACGTCGGTACCCTGGTCCATCAGGTCTACTTTCGTCAGCACGCCGATGGTTCTGAGCCCCTCGGGGTCGACCTCTCTGGCCAGCTTCAACCCGTCACTATTGGCCAGATCCTGGTTGGCAGCATTGACCGCCAAGATGATGGCGTTCGGCTTGGATATAAACTTCATAATCATGTCTCTGATCTGCTTCTCGATATCCTTTGGCTGGTCGCCGACAGGCACTTTGGTGAGTCCCGGCAAGTCGACCAGGGTCAGCGTCAGCACGTGTGGCGAGTAGATCCGCAGATTGATGGGCACAGAGCTGATCCCGGCGTTCTTACCCGTCTTCGCCTCCGTCTCCCTCACAATCTCGTCCCTGATGTCGTCAAAATTGTAGAACTTCTTGCCCGGCAGGTGCAGGAACTCTCCCCATTCCTCGGCGTTGTTCTCCGTCTTGTTTCCCTGCGCGTCGGTGGTCTGAATGTCAATCAGGTCGCTTGCAGCGCTCTTGCTGCCGCTGCGCCGGTTGATCAGCTGCAAAATCAGCGGCCGTCTAGTCACAATGCCCGTTCCTCTAGGAAGGAACTCGCGGCCAACAATGTTCTCCAGCACGGAACTTTTTCCCGACGATTGCGACCCGACAACGGTGATCTGCGGCAGATCGACCGGCGAGGTCGAGCCGGAGCCAAGAGGCGCGAGAGCGTCCTGCAGCTTGTTGATCGTTTGGATTAATGTTTCATCCATAGTGGCAATAAACAGCGAAGCGAAATAATAAAATAAAAACAGCAAAATTTGTTACCCGGCGGAGCTGGAAGTTTGTTCACCAGCCACGGCCCTGGCACGTTCCACAGGGTTCCATGACGCGAGCGCCGGGGAAACGCAGCCCCAGCGACTGCGCGGCTGTGGCTGGTACCGCCGCTAAGTCCAGCAGCCTCCTTACCCCAAGGCTGGCCTGCCGCGGCCTGGACGGCCCGTGCCCTCCAAAAGCAGCCTCCGGTAAGCGCTATCTTGACCACGTCCTCCTCTACAGGTTCCGTATTCGTGAAAAAGCAAAACTTTATTGGGACGCATGATTATGCGTACAGATAAGAATTCTTATCTTTGACGTTGAAATTCGACATCATCCGGAAACAAATAAAAAGACCTCTTTCCTTCTTCTTCAGCCATGTCAGTTTACGAGGCCGCAAAGCTGGCAAACACGCTCGGCTTTGCGCTCATGCCGGTGGCCACCGTGCCGACGGTCGGCTCCACGGCGAGTTTCGTCCCAATCCTGGGCACCGTGCTGGACCTGCTGAACTGCGCGTTCTCGTCGGCATGGCAGACGGACGTCAAGATGGCTCTCTCGCTAGTGCTCAGAGCGTGTCTGGACACTTATCTGCTTTTCCTGTGGATCCAACAATCGCGGCGAAACAGCCCAATATCCGTCGCTAGGCCCTGTTGTCTGCCGCGTCAAAACCGATTCTTCTTCACTCCCAGCTCATTCCCCGCCAACAGGGCAGAGACAATAGACCACCTGCCCCTGTTTAGCAACGACAACAGCCTTGTGATGTCTGGCAGTTACCCTCCAAGGCACAAACCGCAAACTGCGCCTGTGCTGGCCGCGCTTCTGGCCGTGTCGCCTGTGCCGTCGAATGCAAGCCCCATCAGTCACAGCCTGCAAAACTCGCCGCCCATACCTGCCGGGGCACCCGCGCTGATCGGCATGGTGCTCGTGGTGGCCACCAAGCTCGCAGAGTGCTACAGCACGTACTTCTGCGGCAGAAAACCGTACCAGAACGTCGGAGAGACGGTAGCTGTGCTCGTTGTTATGACAACGCATTGGGGGTTTGGTTATTTATTCGATTCCGTCGCGCTGCTCGCTGTGGTGCAGGCTCTCAACATCGTCGCCGTGCTAGGGCTCTTTCTCGCGCCACGACGCAACCGCAGCGCCCTTGCCAAGGCCCAGTACGGCTCCTTGGACATGGCCGACTCGCAGGCGAGCCTGTACGACTCGTTCGGGATCGCCTCCATCGACAAAGACCTAACAGTGCACACAGTTGAGCAGCTCTGAAAAAACACAGCCTTGCACAGCCAGGACGTTTATTTTGGTCTTCGATGGAAAAAAATTTAGGTGTCTACGTTGACATGTTGAGTGTGTTTGAATATCCAAAGTTGCTTGCGCAGCTGGAAGTGAGTAGAGAACGGCAGTATAGCAAACTAACGCCAGAAAATCGTGGCATACGCGGAAGGTGAGCTTGGCTCGGACAACACAGCTGTACTGAACTTCAGGGCCGAGGCCTCGAAGTTCGCCGAGCTGTACCGCCGCACAAACGACTTGCGCGTTCTGGCGGCTGTTCCGAAGGCACACGATCAGTCTGCAGACCCCAAGATCGCCGAGCTGTGCGAGTTTGACCAATTGCAGACCAGAAGCGACTCCATGCGCTTCATGCTCAAGCTCGAGGTCGTCAAGAGGGAAATCGTGACGCTGGTCGGAGGAGAATGCGATTTGATTGGCGCGTTCAAGGACGTTTGGCGACAGCTCGGTAAATAGACTTCTAATCTTTAAGAATATCCTTAATAGACCAATCTGAGTTGTCCAAAGGACACGAGTTTCGTTTCTGGATCCACGTGTCGATGCAGTGCAAATGGAACGAGTGGTTGCACACTCCCACGGCGCGCGGACACTTTGTGTGCGTTGCTGTCCTCGAATTGGCGCCGAAGTTCGGGTTGTTGCCGCAGTCGATACACGGTTCCATCAGGTGGTTTCTACAGATGGCGCAGGTCTCGTTGTTCTGATCCCACGTCCAGAAGGCCACTGCGGTCCACTTTTTGACCTCGAACCGCTTTTTCTTGGTTTGTTGCGGTGCTGGCGCAGGCAAATCAATATCCATTTGGTCGGCCATTTTCACGAGGGCGAAGGGTTCGAACAAAAATTAAACAAATAAAAAAATATTCTTTATTCTCAATGTCCGATTTGATATCCTCTCTTTACCCGCCGCCTCCGCCGTACGTTCGCTTTTTCACTGCCGAGAACGTGCGACGCGCGGCCGAATTGCGCAAGCAGCACGGTGCAGACGCCGACAAAGTGCTCTCGGAGACCAAGGATCTGCGGTTTCTTGTTCCGCCTCTGCCCCCCAACAAGCCACAGTACCGGTCTTTTGGAGACATCTGGAACTTCGAGGACAAGTTCATCACGCTGGAGGAATCTGGGATCCAGCAATTGTACGAGGAGGCTGAGAATGTGGAGGAGGAGACGTTCACGGTGGAACGGATCGAGGAGCTCAAGAAAATGACCAAGTCGCTGCTGCTGAACTTCCTGGAATTCACAGGGCTACTGGCGAAGAACCCGGCCCTGGCCCACGTGAAAATTGAGCAGATCCGAGTCATCTTGATTAATCTGCACCATCTGCTCAACAGCTACCGTCTGCACCAGTCGCGCGAAGGACTGATTCTCAAGATGGAGGAGAAAATCAGAAAAGACAGAGAAACCATCCAGAAAATCGAAAACACGTGTTTGCAGGTGGAGGAGCGCATACGGTCGCTTGCGTGGCGCGAGAACGACGTTGAAGTTGAGCACGTGGACGAATCGCAGAGCGCAGAGCCTAGTCGGGAGCAAATAGTCGAGATGGTGCGAAAGAGCGTTTTGGAAGAGGCCTAATTGTTATCTACTATACATATATACAGGGTTCATTCGGAGACTCCGACGACGTCGATCCACTTGACAAGACCGCCACGCAGACACAGACGATGCAGATGATTTCTTTCCTCCTCGCCGACGTCCAGAACCGGCGACAAAATTATCATTTTGTTTTTCACCTCCTTTTCGTCGTCCACAAGCCCAAATTGGTCCTGCGCAATCAGTCCAGACTCGTTGCGGAACCTCCCACAGAGAGAGACAAATGTTTTGGTGTCGCGGAGCGCGTCTAGCCCAAGGACAACCATGGTGTCCAGGGACTTGAACGTCATACCTTCAACCGTCTTCACATTGGCAATCAGCAGCTTGCCTTTTTTTGCGGCCGTGGCATTTTCCTGACCATTGAACACCTCGACGTTTTTCCCGAGCTTCGCGAGCAGGCCTTGCACCTGGAACACGCTGGTTTCGTCCGAGACGATCACCAAGACAGTTTTCTGGAAATTCTGCTTCTGCTTCTTGAGCAGCTTGACTAGCCCGGAAACGAGCACCGCCAGCTCGCCCTCGCGAACCGGCTTGTCCATCAGACTACGCTTACGTTTCCAGTACTCCACGTAGGCCGCTTCGCCGTCGGCCTGTTGCTCCCAGTCGTGACGCTCGCCGTAATTTGGAGCTTTCATGCTCACCAAATTTGTGCGGACCTTGTTGGACTTGGTCATGCTAGGGCGCACCAAAACACACCCCACGCCGACGTTCTTCGGCACAACACAGGTGTCGGCCATGTTGCCCCGGGTGAAACTGCCCATCTCGTGGAATTTGCTCCAGTCGAACCACTGCGTGTGGTCCTGCAACTCGTCCAGAAATGATCGCGGAGTGGGCGCCGTGGTGGTGAACAGCAGCTGCGGATGCGGCTCGTTGTGAAAACGCCGGTAGTCTTGGAGCTTCAGCACGTAATCGAGCAGCTTCACAATAGCCGTTTTGCGCTGGGCGTCGACCGGCGCGTCGGTATCCATCATATGGTCGATGTCGTCCACTCCAATGTACGCCAGACTGTTCACCTTCATGAAGTCCATACCACGGGTGGCAAGCAAGTCCAACAGACGCTGGGGCGTGGACACGAGGATGTGGGGGCACGGAGTGTCCATCAAGTCCTTGATCTGCTGCTCCTCTGTTTGCTGGTCGGCGCGATACAGAAACTGTGCCATCGTCTGGATATTGGGCAGGCTCTTTGGCTTGACGCGACGAATGCTCTGATACACTTTTTCCGCGTACTTTCTCATCTGCACTGCCTGCAGCCCGGAGTTCACAAGCACGAGCGAGTTTATGCCCTCACCGCGTGCCGGAGCACGGCGAAGAAAGAGACCGTGCGTGAACAACGCCGTGCTCTTGCCTGTTCCCGGCTCGCCAACGGCCACAGTGCTCACATATCCACTGGCCAGTGCAAAAATCCGTTTCTGGAACTCTGTTGGCGTGGTTATGCCGGTCGAGTTCTCGATAGCTTTTGCAACTAATAGATTTGAATAGAAGTCTCTAAACGTGAGGTTTTCCTTGGTGAGATCCACGCGAATCCGCTCCTCGATCGGGGTGTTGATGCGCACGTTGTAGCTCTCGATTTTGCGCAGGTTCTTCTGCAGCTTTTCCTGGAACCGCGTGTCCAGCACTCCGGACAGCTGCGAGAGCTGGTGGTAGTACGAGTTTCGCCATTTTCTGTCATTCACAATTTCAGGGTCCTTCTCGATCGCCTCCAGTAGCTCACTGTCGTTCATTGGCGGTGCCTCTAGTGTCCTGCCCTGAGGCAGTCTCGTCTTGGTGGCGAAACGTCTTGCGAAAATCCACCTTCGCAGCATAAAAAATATATTTTTCTAATTTTTCACTCTTGCATTATTATTTTATTTTTTTATTTATTTCTAGTTCATGTGGAGCATTTTCAAAATAGCCAGAACGGCAGCCGTCGGAACCAGGATCCTGAGGTCACCGGCCCCTCTTATTTCGAGGCTTCCATTTCCGCGTCCGGCTATCAGACCAACCGTTGTCTTTGCCTTGCGCCCGCAATCGTCGACCATCAAGATGGAGAAACCGATGCTGATGCTGGCTTTCACGTGCAAAAAGTGCCATGAGAGGTCGTCCCATATTATCTCCAAACAGGCGTACACCTCCGGAACCGTTCTGGTGCAGTGTCCGGGCTGCAAAAACAGACATTTGATTGCTGATCATCTAAAGGTACGTTTTCCCTGGTACTCCAGACTAACTCCAGATTTTCTCTGATCGCCGCATAAACATCGAAGACATCCTGGCGTTGAAAGGCGAGAGCGTCACTGTGACGCCCGAAGACCTTGCGTTCGAGGATATTCCCGAAAAACTGCGCGATCTGATCGGCCACCACGCCAAGGACGCTCCACAGAAGGCAGAGCCAGACACGCCGCTGCTGAAGGAATGAGCGGCCTGCCAGCTGCCAGCCGGTTGTCTGCGGGTGTCTGGCTTGCCCTGTATATATTCGCCCCGGCCGCGTGGCTTACCTAATTCTGCCGCCATATTTCTGACACCCGCTGGACCAAAAAACTCTTCAACCTTTGCTATTATGAAGAGTGGGATTATAGACAAAGTAGCCGGCCTGGCGGCGCTGATTCCCTGGAAGCGTGCCTCCGAGTCCGTGCTCAACATCTTCCCCGACGACAGCTTGCAATACATATGGATTTTCTCTCACTTTGTCACGTTTCTGGGTGCGGTGATGCACTTCTGCAGATTCCTCAGTCCAGCCTCCCTGATCTTTGCGTCTGTGCCCTGGTACAACCTCTCGCTGGCGGGTTCGATCTGCACGTACTCGCTCGTCGTGTACAGAAGACACATTCTGGACCCAGAGCTGATGGTGGCTGCTCCCTCGAGCTCTGTCAAGTCTCACCAGATGGACTACCACACAGTCCCGCTGGCGGAGATTCTCAAGTCGGAAAACACGCACCTGCTAGTCTATGCGTGTCTGTGGCTGACGACGCCAACCAACATGCTCAAGGTCTTCCCGTTTGCCGCGTACTCGCTGCTCAACCTCACCAACTACTGCATCATCGAGGCGTTTCCCAAACACCCGCTGTCGCTCGCAATCACGCCCCTGGTCAGCTATATTGAGTACCCGCTGCTGCTGTTTGCCGCACACGTCGATCTGGCGGTCATTGGGCTTCTGTGCAAGGAGGCCAAGAACCTGGGCTCGTTGTACGTGCTCATATTCTACATTTTTGTGTGGGGGCTGCGGGTCGAGTACTCCGACGCCAGCCGGCTGGCGGTGTCGAACTTACTGCGGTTCCTCGACAAGGCGTTCAACGAGGACGTTCTGCCGCACACCGTCCACAAGACTTGGGTGCTGGCGCGGACAAAGTTCACGCTCATGCTCTCGATTACCGACTACGACACGATCTCTGCCGAGGCAGAGCTCAGACAGTCTGCCTCGTTCGGGAAGGAGAGGAGTCCTGTGAGAGAGAAGCCAAAGCGGCGGAAGAAGAAGATCTACAGTGCGTGCTCGTGAGAAGCCATTTGTGGCTGCTGAATATTGCTACCATTTTTTATTTTATTTTGTTGGAAGTTAATTTTTTCCCCAATCTTCACTTCATGCCACCATTTTCTAGCTATGTCTATTTATTTTTCGTCTCATCTCTCAACTCCTGCAACCTCACATATTCCGCCGTGTCCTCCCACACCTTGCCCTTCGACAGCAGCGACCGCACCGTCGACCGCGCCTTGAACCGCCAATCCTTGCACACCACGTCTCCGGCACCGTGTTTCCCCGGCAGCTCGCCGAAATTCTCGTACGCAGACACCAGGTCCTCGCACGCCGCCACCGCCTCGCGCCAGGCGTCCTGGTCCGCCTCGAGCTCCGGCCGGCTGATCGCCGCGCGGTACGCCTTCTCGTAGTCTTCGAGAGCCAGCCATGGCTTCTTGCGCCACAAGTCGACCTTAGCCACAATGCGCCACACGCGTGCACTGTAGTTCACCACGGCCGGCACCTCCTGGCACAGAAACTTGACACACGTTCGCTGGAAATGCGTCTGCCGCGCATCCGCGTCGTACGGCTCGGCAACAAGCAGCCCGGCCAGTTTCTCCAAAATCGGGATATCCAGCGACCCGTCTCCGTCGAGCTTCCGCGTGTCCAGCAGAGTGCGCGACGCAAGAAGCACCTCGTCCCAGCGGCCCAGCTTCACCGCCACAATCAGGTAGTTCTCCCAGATCTTCCACGAGGCCTTCTCCGTGTCGCCTGAGCTGACGGCCCGCTGCAACGCCGTGAACGCCTCCTTCAGCTTGTCCAGCCGCAGCAGCGCCGACGCCAGGTTCGACCACGCGTACTGGCTGCTGTCGTCCAGCGCAACGCACCGCGTGAACGCCTCCGCGGCCAGCTCGTAGTCCTCCGTCTCCAGCCCCAGACACCCGTAGAAGTACCAGTTCTCGAAGTTGAGCGGGTTCGCACGCACGCAGTCGTACTGGTGGCCGATCGCCGCGCGGCAGTCACGTGACCCGTCCGGGCGCCGGTAGCAGTACTTGGCGAGCGAGCGTTTTGCGTTGGCGTAGCGGCCGAGCTGCCACGCCTTCTCCCACAGCGCCGGGTCCTGGCGCACGTCGCCGAGCACGCACACCGCGCGCGCGTCGTCGGGCGACTCGGCGAGCTGCCGCAGGACCAGCTCCTCGGCCTTGCTCTCGTTTCCCATCGAGCCGTAGCACAGGGCGGCGTCCGTCCACAGCTGCAGTCTTTCGTAGATCTCGAGCGCAGACTTGACGGACCCGAGCTCGAGGAGCTTCTCCGCCAGTCGGGAGTCCAGCGACCATTTGGGGCTTAGCGGCAAAGCGTAGACGTACTGCGATCTCACGGCATTTATTAGGGTAGTGTCGTCTCGGAGATCCGAGGCTGCGAACATTTGCGGAAACTGCTCCTCCTCTTTACTTTTCGGGAACAGCCGGGCGGTCTGCTCCGCGTGCACGCCGAGCTCCTCGACAAGCGAATAAAGCTGCAAAACTCCTCTCTCCACGGTTTTTGGCCTGGACGTTTCGAGCAGAGACCGCTGCCACAGAGCGTTGCTGAAAACGAGCCAGTTGACGCTCCCCGGCGGAGAAAACAGCACTCTTTCCACCAGCGCCCTCAGCTCCTCGCCCACGAGCGCGTTATTGGCCGGCGTGTTCGCACGGATGGTCTCCAGGCGCAGCAAAAGCTGCACGCTGTCGAGATCGGCGAGCGCCGGCTGGCTATTCGGGTCCAGCGACCGCAGTGGTGCAGGGATGTCGTCTTCCTTGACAGCGATCGGGAGCAGCTTTGCTTCCTGGTCCTCGGCAGACTCGTAGTTCGGGAAGTCAATCTTGACACGCTTCCCGTCGCCGAGCTCTTCCAAGGCCTGATCGTCTCCTAGATTTTCGAACCGCAACCGCTCCAAAAAGAGGTCGTCGTTCAGAGCCACCTCCTGCGGATTGTGCCTGCTTTCCGAGCCAACGCGCAACAGCGTGTCCTGCGAGCGGGCCAGAACAGCCAGTGCGGCAAAAGCCTTCTCCTGGAACCTGGTCCGCTTGGCCTTGCAGCCTGTGAGCACAAACTGCAGCCCTGAAGCAGATTTCGCCCTGGCCAGGCTTTCTGAGGCCTGGGTCTCTGAGCCGGCGCCCAGCGCAGCTCTGGCTCGCTCCAGGTGGTACAAAACCAGTGTGTACTGGTTTGGGGCAGTGTTGACATCTGTGTTGTCCATTAGGGCTGCCACCAGAGACGGACAGAGCAGCGAGAACGTAAGTGTAGACAGCACTGGATTTGCGTCGTGAAACAGCGACTGCTGGACCTGGAGTGCTCTTGCCCGCCACCAGCACAGAGCGGCTTGGACGTAATTGTCCTCGGTAAATTCTGGGATGTTTGATTGGCTGATGGCAGCCTCAGGCTCAAGGGACTGGTTTTCTCCAACAAGACTGATCGGACAGCGTTGCAGCTTCTCAAAGAGACGCAGCGACAAAATAAGAAGCAAGGGCCAGTCCACAAGTTTGCTGGGCCGCTGTCCTGACAGAGAAAGAAGAGACAGAACTGCTGGGGTGGAGGAGGTCAGCCTTACGAGAAAGCCCAACTCGTCTACTCGAGGCAGTCTAGGACCTGTGAAGTTGGTCTGGACGAAGATCTGGAGCAGCAAGATGGCCGAGAAATAAGACAGCTCTTCAGAGACGCTGATGATTTTATCTGCAATCTGGTCAACGACGCTTCGCAGCTGCTCTTGCCCCAAGTGTTCGACCTCGCACAGCTCAAGAATACTATGATCATGAAAGATCTGGCGCAGTTCAGTGCCGGTCAGCTTTGCGTACTGGCCATTGATCAGCAGCTTAATGGGCCGCTCCTCGGGAGCTCCGCTTAGAAACTCTTTTTTCAGGCAGATCAGAGCGACCTGAGACTGTCTGGTCGTCATGAAGTTGAACTAATAATTTTTTTTATTTTTTTTTAAATATTTTTTTGAAATTTTTTAATCCTTTATTAGCATATTTCGGTTTCGTAGCCGTTTACTTATTTTAGCACTGCGGAGCAGTCCTTGTCAGGAATCGACCGCAAGTCCGCGAAAATGCCTAGGTTCTCACTATATGGCTGACTTATCGCCTTTAGTGTTATCCCACGCAGCTACTCGCTGTCCTTTCCTGCAGCGTAGTAGTGCAAGTAAGCACTCAACGTCTTGACACCTTCCAGATAATTAGCGACGTCAATCTTCTCGTTAATCGAGTGTGCTCCGTCATCGCCCTTTCCCATTGGAAGCAGCAAAACGTCGGTCTTGAGTTGCTCTTCGAAAGTCAGCGTGATCGGAATGGAGCCACCTTCTCTGGTGAGATCAGGGTCGACATTCCAGACGAGCTGTGTGGCCTTTCTAGCAGCAGTAAAAGCCTCATTAAACGGATCACTAACCCAGTAGTTGCCGTCGTGGATCAGCTCGACATTGAAGCTGTTTGGAGACTTGAGCTCGGCAAACTTCTCCTTGCAGAATTTGAACACATACTCGTCCAGCTTGCGTGGGTCCATGTCCGGAACAGTTCTGATGGAGAACTTTCCAACGACCTTGGCTGGAATCACCGTTTTGGCTCCTCCTCCAGAGAAAGCGCCCTCAATTCCGTGCAGCGACAACGAAGGGTATCTCCATCTGTGCATAAGGATGTTCTTTTTGTCCTGGTAGATGGCGGTGTTTGAGCCAGAAGCAAGGTTCAGCTCGTCCACGTCGAAGTCGATCTTCTCGTACAGCTTCTCCTCCTTCTCTGTGAGCGGAGCCACCATCTCGTTGACGCCAGGAATCTGGATATTGCCCTGGGTGTCGACCAGCTTGGACATGACGTTGAATAGGTCGGTCATTGGCTCGTGAATCACGCCTCCAAAAATGCCCGAGTGCAAATCTGCGCCCGGCCCGCTCACGGTGATCTGGTAGTAGCTGCATCCACGAAGGCCGTAGGTGAGAACCGGTTTTTTGGTTCCGAGCCAGTAGTTGTCCGAGATACAGACGGTGTCGACGCCCTTGAAGTACTTGTCTGCCTCCTGGGCGACAAGCTCGTCCAGACCCAGCGAGCCGCTCTCCTCCATGCCTTCGAAGCAGCAGACGAGGTTGACTGGCAGCTCCATGCCGGCCTTGTTGTGGGCCTCGACGGCATTGAGCCAGCCCATGACAGGACCCTTGTCGTCTGTGGAGCCACGGCCGTACAGCTTGCCGTTCTTCTCAACGAGCTTGAAAGGGTCTGAGTTCCAGCCGTCCTCCAGCAGCGCCGGCTGGACGTCGTAGTGGCCGTACACCAAAACGGTTTTTTTTGCTGGGTTCTTGCCGAAACGAGCCAATACAATTGGAGGCAATTGTAATTTTGGATCCGCCACCGGTGGCGGCTGGGTTCCCAGGTCGCGCAGCTGGATGTCCTCAGCACCGAGCGACTCCAGCTGTTTCTTTAGGAAATCGGCCATGGCAAACACCTGTGGTCTGAGCGACTCGTCGCTGGAAACAGAGGGAATGGCGACCGCCTGCGCCAATCTGTTGACGTACTCCGGCTTGAGCTTATCGATCTGTGCAAAAAGCGGCTTGATGGATTCAGAGACACTCATCTTATTTGTTCTAGAGATATACGATAGGGGGCGAACAAATTTAAGCATGCAAACAATTTTTTGATACATGTTTTATGGCAGGAGATGGAAAACAGGCGGGGGATGCCGCCTTCCCGCTGTGTAGACGGAGGCTGCCGTCGAAAGCATGCTATGGCCAGCCGGAATTGATACTATGCCGATCCGTGGCTGCAGTTGACGTCGCTGAGGAGAACTACATCGCGGGAACCAGTGGGGTGGAGCTCTGGGTCGAGAGAAATACGCTCTGCCGCCCTCGTCCCTCCACAAACAGACTCCCAGAGCCCCTTGTTGCGCGGCGAGTTCGTATCGCGAGCTACTCCGACATCTTTCTTATCGCACCGGGTAACACGACAGGGAACTTGTTGCGGTGCCAGTTGCGGATGTCCCTGCGACGGCCGTGCTCCGCAGGCTCTCTGGAGGGCAGCGTGGCCCATGCGCAGTCGCCAGACCGCACACGCGCCGAACCAGGCTCAGATTTCTGCTACTCGCATAATCAGCCCCAAAAGTTCGCTATCTCTGTTTCGTCTTTGCACGACGATGACTAAATAAATAATTTTTCACGAGAAAAACATCTTCAACATGTGTGGTATCTTTGCTGCTTACAACGTCGAGGAGGTGGAGGCCTTCAAGGGCAAGGCCCTGCAATACTCGAAGAGAATCAGACACAGAGGCCCGGACTGGTCGGGCAACAAGATCGTCAACAACACGATCCTGTGCCACGAGAGACTGGCCATCGTTGGCCTGGATTCCGGCGCCCAGCCAATCACCTCTCCGGACGAGAGATACACTCTTGCCGTCAACGGCGAGATCTACAACCACATCCACATTAGAGAGGAGTTCAAGGACTACAAGTTCAAGACTCTGTCTGACTGCGAGCCTATCATTCCGCTGTTCCAGAAGTACGACGTGGACGCCCCTAAGCATCTGGACGGCATGTTTGCGTGGGTGCTCTACGACAAGCAGGAGGACAGAGTCATCGCTTCCAGAGACCCTATTGGTATCACGACGCTGTACATGGGCCGCTCGTCCAGCAGGCCTGGAACGGTGTTTTTCGCCTCGGAGCTGAAATGTCTGACCGACGAGTGCGACCAGATCACGCACTTCCCTCCAGGTCACGTGTACGACTCGAAGACCGACCAGCTCACCAGGTACTTCACGCCTTCGTGGTGGGACGGTGAGAAAATCCCAACCAACCCGGTCGACTACAAGAAGGTGAGAGAGACGCTGGAGATGGCCGTGAGAAAGCGGCTCATGGCAGAGGTTCCGTTTGGTGTGCTGCTTTCCGGCGGCCTGGACTCGTCGCTGATCGCTTCGATTGCCGCCCGAGAGACCGCCAAGGCCGCCAAGGAGGCCGATTCTCACACCGAGGGCATCGACGCGTCGCACACGCTGACCGGTGTGGACGACGACGGGAAACTCGCTCTCTCGGGCTGGACCAAGCTGCACTCGTACGCGATCGGTCTGCCGGGCGCGCCGGACCTCGTGGCTGCCAAGAAGGTGGCCAAGTTCATCGGAACGATCCACCACGAGCACACCTTCACCGTGGAGGAAGGCTTCGACGCTCTCTCGGACGTCATTTACCATCTGGAGACCTACGACGTCACGACGATCCGCGCGTCGACCCCTATGTACCTGCTCTCGAGAAAGATCAAGGCGCAGGGTGTCAAGATGGTGCTGTCTGGCGAGGGCTCCGACGAGATCTTTGGTGGCTATCTGTACTTTGCGTCCGCTCCGTCTCCTGAGGAGTTCCACACCGAATGCGTCAAGAGAGTCAAGAACCTGCATTACGCCGACTGTCTGAGAGCCAACAAGTCCACCATGGCCTGGGGGCTCGAGGCCCGTGTGCCGTTCCTGGACAAGCAGTTCCTGGAGCTGTGCATGAACATCGACCCGAAGGAGAAGCTGATTGTGCCTGAGACGGGCAGAATCGAGAAGTACATCCTGAGAAAGGCGTTCGACACCAGCGACGACCCGTCTGCCAAGCCATACCTGCCGGACGAGATTCTTTGGAGGCAGAAGGAGCAGTTCTCCGACGGCGTGGGCTACTCCTGGATCGACGGGCTGAAGGAGCTTGCGGAGAAATCCGTCTCCGACGAGGAGTTTGCTCACCCTAAGCCAGAATGGGGCGACGACATCCCAACCACCAAGGAGGCCTACTTCTACCGCTGCAAGTTCGACGAGCTGTTCCCAAGCAAGGCCGCCGGCTCCACTGTCATGAGATGGGTGCCTAAGGCCGAGTGGGGCTGCCACGAGGACCCTTCGGGCAGATACGCCAAGACCCACGATGCGTCCGTTTTCAAGAACTGATAGAGTAATAAATGGAAATAATGTTAATATCTCTCCTCTCTGCACAGCCGTGTGTGTATATTTATTTGTTTTACATGAAAAAGACCAGTTTGTCCTCGCTCGATTCGCGGTCCGCCATCCCGCGGACGCGCGACCAATACGAGTACCTGGCAAAAGTCGTTCTGATTGGCTCGTCCGGGTCCGGCAAGTCCTCGCTGCTCCACCGGTACGTCTCGCGGGACTGGCGGGCCGTGTCGCAGACCATCGGCGTCGGGTTTGCGTCCAGAGTGGCCCTCGTGGACGGCAGCACGCGCGTGAAGTTGCAGATATGGGACACCGCGGGCCAGGAGCGGTTCCGCGCGCTCACGCGGTCGTACTATCGCGGCGCCAGCGGCGTCGTGGTGGTCTTTGATCTCAGCTCCAGACCCAGCTTCCAGGCCGTTTCAGAGTTCATGCAGGACGTGAAAAATATGACCCCGCCGGACTCGTGCGTGCTGCTCGTCGGCAGCAAGAACGACCTGCCGCAAGCGGTTCCCAAGAGCGAGATTGCCGGCCTGGTGGACAGCAGTGCTGTGCTGCTGGGACGAACCGTCGAGTTCGTCGCGACCAGCGCCCTGGACAACCTAAATGTGGACGCCGTGTTCGAGAGCGTGGCCGGCTCGCTGGTGACGAAAATCGAGCTCGGCCAGATCGACCCAGAGGACCCGGCCAGCGGCGTGCAGTACGGCGACCTCAGCTACGACGCCATCACGCTAGCGTCTCCTAACGCGAGAGGGTGCTGCTGAATCACTCGGAAACAGGAACGCTCTCGATCACAAACGAGTCCACAAACGGGAACCCGCGCGCGTCGACCTCCTCGCGCTGGATCACGTCGATCTCGTCGCCCTCTTCCTCGATCTGCTTGTTCATGTCGTCCTCGTCGACGTAGTCGAACTCGTCCTCTTTCTCTTCATAGTCGATATTCTCCTCGATCTCCTCGAAGTCGGGCGCCAGGGCGCTCCACTTCTGCGGAATCACCACCGACCAGATGAAAAGCGTGCCGGTGTCCATCGTGGTAGCCACGATGGAGCACTTGCGGTAGTTCCAGTCCACAGCCAGCAGCTCGTCGTTGGAGCCCTCCAGGATCTTCACCAGCGACCCCATACCTGTTTCCCAGATGTACACGTCATGCGTTGCGCCGAGCGTCGAAGCACACATGTACTCCGAGTTATGGTTGAACTTCAGCGCGTTCCACTGCAGCCGGTTCACAGCGTCCTGGTACCGGTTTTTGAGCTCAAACTCCCAGGTTTCCGCCGAAACAGAGGTGTCGGGCATCGTGTACTGTCTGATGATCCTGTCGCTCGAGTTGACGGCCAGCTTCGAGCAGTTGGGCGAGATCTCTATATTTTTTATGTTCGAGCTGCAAACGCTCAGCGAGCGCACGATTTGCAGACTGCGCGTATCTATCACGTTCAGCCAGCCCTTGCTGGTCCCTGTGAGGATGTAGTTGCTGTCTGGGGTCATTGTAGCCGTGAGCGTAGACTGTTTAACTGTGTTCGGCTGGCCGAGCGGAGTGGTGTCCAGCTTGGTGATTTTCGGCTCGTGCTCGAGGTCTGCAAAGACAGGGTCGTTGTCGACCAGCGCAGCAACAAACTGGAAGTGGTTCTGCGGGTTCATCACGCTGCACCAGACAGGCCCTTCGAAATTGTAGCTCCGGATCACCTTGCAAGTACCGAGGTCCCACAGGTTCACTTTCCAGTCCTTGGACGAGGAGAGCAGGTACCGTCCGCAGGGCGACCAGTTCAGCGACGTGATGGCCCGCGTGTGGTCGCGGAGCACCTGGATCGTGCTGTTTGTGTCTGTGTCGATGATGAGAATAATGCCGTCGACAAGCCCCGAAGCGAGGTAGTCGCCCTTGTAGCTGTACCGCACCTGCGTGGAGTGGCCGTACGCGAGCGTCTGCGCGAGCGTGTCCGGGTATTCTTTGGCCACGGCGAAGGGGTCCAGAAGCGAGAGGTTCATGAGAAAATTAAATAATTTGGTGGTGAGAATTATGTGCGGCCTTTTGATCTCGAATCGCCGCCACACGAGCGCTGTGTAAATAGCAGGATCAGAAAAACTGCCAAATATCACAAAGTCCGCTGACTCGGTCTCGTAGCCAGTTTTCTATCCAATAATTGTGGCCAGAAAAATATTCTTTTTATTGCAATGTCAGAACCCCCAGTTTTGGAGCGGCTGCCTGCGGGAACAGAACTCCAGGTGGGCTCGCACAAGGCGAAAATCGTCAACTACATCTCTGCCGGCGGGTTTGCGCACGTGTATCTGGTCCAGATCAGCGAAAAGCCGGAGTTTGCCTGTCTCAAGCGGGTGGTGGTGCCCAACAAACAGGGGCTCAATTTGCTGCGCGCCGAGGTCGAGGTGATGCAGAGGCTGGCGCATTGCGACTACGTGGTCAAGTACCTGGACTCGCACGCGTCACGGGTGCCAAAAACCCACTGCTACGAGGTGCTGGTGCTGATGGAACTGTGCTCGAACAAGTCGCTGCTGGATCACATGAATGCGCGGCTGAGCACCAAGCTGACGGAGCCGGAAATTCTCAAGATCATGCTCGACATCTCGCAGGGAGTCTACGCGATGCACAGACTCAAGCTGATCCACAGAGACATTAAGATAGAAAACGTGCTCATCGACGATAAATACACCTTCAAGCTGTGCGACTTCGGGTCCACGTGTCCCGTGCTGCGTCCGCCGCGCAACCAGCAGGAGTTCCAGATCCTCACAAACGACCTGCTGCGACAGACGACGCCGCAGTACCGGCCCCCGGAGATGATCGACCTGTACCGCGGGCTGCCAATCGACGAGAAATCGGACATCTGGGCTCTCGGCATTTTCCTGTACAAACTATGCTACTACATCACCCCGTTCGAAACGGCCGGCGAGCTGGCCATCCTGCACACCGCGTACCGGTTTCCGGCCGCCCCGCGATACTCGGCTTCGCTGAAAAGTCTCATCAACATCATGCTCCAGGAAAACCCCGCGTACCGGCCCAACATCTACCAGGTGACGGCCGAGATCTGCCGCATGATGGACGTCGACATCCCCAAGGGCATAGAGGACTTCTATTTGCAAGGAGACTACAAACACCCGCCCGCAGAGCAGATACATCCGCCGATCGACCAGTTCACCGCGAGCGTGATCCCGATGTACTCTCCGTTCAAGTCGATGCCGCAGGAGCCTGTCGTGCCGGTGGTGACGGTCGACGCGGGCCAATCGCAGCCGACCGAGGCCACAGGCACCTCCGTGGACCTCAAGTCGTCGCTTCCGTCCGAAGACTCGCTCGTCGACTTCAACATGGACAGGTTCCCGGAGATCCAGCTCAGCGGCGAGAAGAGGACGGAAAACCAGCCTGCGGAGCCGCAGCCCGCGCCAAAGTCGGGCGCGAAGTGGTCGTCGCATAACCCGTTCCCTCACGATCTGATCGACCTCTCGACAGAAGACACGGTCAGAGCCACGAAACCCGAAGAGGCCCCGAACCCGGGCGGCGAAGCCGAGTCCTTGCCGGCCGCAGACGGTGCCGCGGTGCCGGCACAGCTGCTGGACGAATCCGTCGCGAGCTTCACACAGCTACAGATCTCCGCGTCCGAGTGCGGGTCGACGCACTCGGCCTCGCAAATAGAGAGCGGCCCAGGCAAGCCTAAATCTGATTCAAAAACACAACTATCTAGCATCGGGGACAATGAAAGCGTTTCCAGCTAGACCTGCTAGCGTCTCAGCCCAGAGCCGGCCTGAATGACGACTCCACCAGGTTGCCCAAAACCGGCGCCATAACAAGGTTGGCGCAGTACACCACCACGAGCAACAGCATCAGATTTGTGAAGTGGAGCACGTACGACTCGCCCTTCGTCAGCATGTAGTGCGGGAACAGGAAGTAGTAGAACCCGTACGCGTACTTAAGACCATCAACCACGCTCATTGTTTTGGATACGGTGAATACTAATTTATACGGTCGTTTGCGGCTGAAATTTTATATATACGAGCGTGTTGCACGGTGCACGGATGTGGCCGCTGCTAGGGCAGGAACGCGAAATCGCCCGCGTCGGCGAGCTGGTCGTTCTGCCACGGCCACGACAGCAGGTCCTCGGGCTGCGCGTAGCACGCGTCGTAGACCGGCAGCTGCGACGCCGCGCTGGCCTGTTTGTTGGCGCCCTGCAGCATCACCAGCCCCGTCTGCGGGATCTGCTGCCCGCTCTCGCCCGTCCAGACGGAGATGTTGTTGATCATGGCTGTGGTCCGGCCGACAAACGGCATCATCTCGGGGATGTTGGGCACCGGCGTGATTGGGCCGGCCAGCGGCTGTGCCGACAGCTGCGGCGGGCTGAACGCGTTTTCTGGTTGCAGCACTCTGAGCTGTGGCTGAGGCGACGCCGGCAGCGGCGACGCCGTCTGCGGTCGATGGAACAGGTTGGCGGTGCTGCGCAGGCTCGACGGCGACGACGTCACCCGCGGCGGCAGCGGCGGCGAGTGGATCAGCAGGTGGCTCAGGCCCTTTGGGATCGTGCTTCTCGTGAGCTGGCCGCGCCGCTGCGACAGCTCCTCCTCCTCGCGTCGATCCGCGTCGGTCGGCTTCATGTTGAGCTCCGACTCGACGGTGTAGTGCTGGAGCGGTTTGCGCACCGTGGCCGGCGGCATCGCGTTCTGCGGCGCCTGCACCACCTCCGACGAGTCCGGCCCGCACCGCAGAATCAGGTTGCCGATCGTGGCGGTCATCAGCTCCTCGAACGTCTCGCGAAACGAGAGCGCGAATTTGGTGCGCTCGGACATCACGTACAGCGACACGGAGCACGCGCGCAGGTCGTCGAGCCCGGCGAACAGCGCCTCCGACACGACCGGCCGCGTGTGCTTCTTGTCGTCGCCGAGCAGCTTGCGGCGCATATCGTCGCGGTTTCTGTGCAACCACAGACAGTAGATCAGCGTGACCCCGGCGATGAATACGGTGTGGATGTTGATGACCGAGTGGCCGCGCACGGTCTTCTGGTGGAACGCCTTGATGCTCTGGCAGATCTGGCCCGCGGCGGCCTGGCACTCCTTGAAAAGACGGTCCTCTGGGTCGAGCAGCTCCAGAAACGGCTGGATCAGGTTCCGCACAGACCGGTAGTAGTAGATGCTCAGAGTCTCGTTCTCGATGCCCCTGCTGAAGCCGTGGCACTCGTTGCGCCAGTCCTGCAGCTGCTGGAAAAACCGCTCGACCGCAGGCAGCTGGTCCTTGGTGGTGATCGAGGTGCTCCCGAGAATATTGAGCTCCTCGATGAACCGCGCCTCTGTGCGACGAATCTTGATGATCTGGTTGATGAAAAGCTTGTCCTTCGGGTGCTGCGCGCGGGACGGCTCGTACTCGAACATCGGGAGGTCCGCGTCCGTCAGGCGCTCTTTCAGGACGAACGGCTTGGAGATGGCGATCGCTATGGCCTTCTCGAGCAGATAGCAGCACCAGAACAGCCGCATCTGCCGGTCGCGCTTGGCAGGACTCACGTTCTGGTAGCTGCTGGTCTTGTGCAGCCGCAGCTTGATGCACAGCTGCATCGCCTGCCGCACGACGTCGTACACGCCGTTGCTGTCCTTGTCGTTGCGGATCAGGTTGCACGTGATCAGCACCAGCAGCTCGATCTTCTGCGTGCCGTGCACGTTCTCGAACATGAGGATGTGGCGCAGCGCGGCCGAGAAGAAGCGCAGCGGCTCCGGGCCCTTGTACTTGCCCGTCGTCTCGTGCAGCGTCGAGCTCAGCGTGTACACCAGAAACATCCTTGCACAGTTGAAGTGGAAGTCGTCCGCACCCCTCGGCGCCACGCTGTTGTAGTAGTCGCTCTGGAAGTTGAGCAGGTCCTGCTCGTTGAGCATCGGGAACTTGTACTGCAGCAGCGCAAAGTATATGTCGACAAGCTGTTTCGAGAGTTTCAGGTCGATGTCGAAAATCGGCTCTTTTCTGAAAAATTCTTTGAGCCTCAGCCCGGCCAGCATCGAGCGGTCGTACCTCTCGCCGTGCTCCATGAAGAACTCGTCGAACGGCTTGCCCAGCGTGTCCTTGTACGGGTTCAGCGACGGCTGGGGCTCGTCTGTGCGCACCAGCGGCCGGATTTTCCTGTACTTCGACGGCGGTTCTTGCGCTTCTTCCTTATTCCGGGCCTCCAGCAGCTTCTCCAGCTGCTGCACCTTTTTCTCCAGAAAAAGCGTGTACTCGCTCTTGACGTTGGTCTTGTTGCTGGTGCCGTACCGCGGCGGCTGCACACACGTGGTCTGCGACTTGACACAGTTGGTGCAGCTCGGCGAGCGCTGATCGCACTTCTGCTTTCGTTTCTGGCACAGGTAACACGACGTGGACCGGCCCTTCTTGTCCTTGATCTGCACGGGCGCGGGCGACGTGCTGTTGATGTCGGTCTGCGGCGTCAGCAGCGTCGGGAACGATTCCATTTGGGCTGGGGACATCTGATCTCACCCGGTGGACACCCCTATCTTCTATTATCTATTGGCTAAAAAAAAAAAAACCATTTTCGGTCTCCGCCAGCACACCCCGCGAGGCACCCCGCAGCGTACCCCGCTTAAACATTTTCCAGGCTGCTCAGCCCGTTCAGACCAAAAAGGAACCCCAGCTCCACGCGGCTCAACCGGTTCACCTGCTGCCGGGCCGTTGGGTCCAGCGCGCTCTCCACCAGCTTCTCCTTTTCCGCCTGCAGCTCGATAATCCGGTCCTCCACCGTGTTCCTGATCAGGATCCGGTGCACATACACCTCGCGCACCTGCGAAATCCGGTGCACACGGTCCTGGGCCTGCTTCTCCACAAACGGGTTCCAGAAGGGCTCCAGGATGACCACGTGCGACGCGCACGTCAACGTCAGACCGACATTTCCGGCCTTGAGCGACAGCAGCATCACCTTTTTGTTTGGCTCCTGGTAGAAGGCGGCCACGCTCGCGCTCTTGGCCTCCACGTTCATCGACCCGTCGTACCGTAAATACTCGATCCCGTGGTCCCGCAGAAACAGCTCCAGAATGTCAAAAAGCACCATGAACTGCGAAAACACAATCACCTTTTCTCCCGGCTTCGTCTCCAAGATGTCCTTGATCAGCGCCAGGCACCGCTCGATCTTGGCCGAAACCTCCAGCCGACCACCCTCGCTGGTTATCAGACTCTTTATTTTCTCTATTCGCTGAGCGCTATTCAGCGACTGTGTCTGGATGTTGAACTGTCTCTGCACGTCTCTCCAATCCAGCCGTTTGTTGCACACCGAGTCGAACACCAAAAGATCCACACACAGACTCTCGCTGCTGGCCTTGTTGCACGTTTTGCACCGCGCAGACCGCACCCCGTTCCAGACCGTCTCTGTGTTGTCCTCGAAAAACTGCTCCTGACAGTCTCTGCACACCGCGTGGCCGCAGCTTCCAAGCAGAATCACGTTTGCGTCCGCCTCGATCACGTCAAAGCACATCTGGCACGAAAACCCGCTTTTCCACTGCTCGTTGATCTGGTCGCATAGAGTCTGGTCGAACTTCTTGGCGGTCTCGAACCCGTTCTTGATCGTGCTCACCTTAAACTCTCTCTCTTTGTTCTCGCCGATCTTCACCAGAAACTTGTGGTCGCACGCCTGTCTGAGCCGCAGCAACAGCGTCAGGATGGCACTGTAGCCGCCTTTGTGCTTCTGGCCGTCGCCCGAGCCGGCCAGGATTCTCTTGGCAGCGTCGGCAGATTGCGTCTCGAGGTCGTAGTAGAACTTGCGCTCGTCCTCCTTCATCTCCACGTGGTTGACCACGACGTGCTTCTCGGGCAGCTGCAGAATCGGCTTGCCGTCGATCAAAGTCTTCTTCGTGCGACGAAGCAGGATCGCCGTCAGCAGAGCCTGCACCGCCTGAACGCCGCGCGTCTCGCCGCCGTACTTGTTCCGCAGTGCATTCGAGATGCGCTCTTTGAACCGCGCCTCCTCGCAGTACGGCTTGATCTTCAGAAACCGCAAAATCGGATACAGCTCGTCGATGTTGTTCTGGATGGGCGTACCGGAAAGACACCACTTGTATTTCGACTCCAGCAACGCGACCGCCTTGGACGTCTGCGTGAGCTTGTTCTTGATGGCCTGGGCCTCGTCGAGTATGATGCGGTGGAAAACGGCGTCCGAAGTGTAGAACGGCGAGCGGTAGTGCGAGCCGCCGTTGTCGCGTTCCGGCAGAGTGGCCTTCTTGTTCTTGAGCTCCTCGAGAGCCAGCCGGTAGTGTTTCTTCATCTCGGACGTGAGCGTGTTGTACGACACCAGAACCACGTCGTACCGCGTCATCTCCCTGAACGTGGTCAGCTTGTTGCCCTGGTGGAAAACAAAATAGCTTATCTGCGACTGTTTCTTCAGCTTGAAGTCGAGCTCCTGCCCCCACTGCTGCAGCAGCGACACTGGTGCCACCACCAGGTTTGTCTTACACTCGTCGGGCCCGGCCTTGTTGGCAGCCATCAACGCGATTGCCTGCACTGTCTTGCCCAATCCCATGTCGTCCGCAAGAATGCCGCCCTTGTTGGCGGACTCCTCCATGCTGAGCATCCACTTAAGCCCGATTCTCTGGTGTTTGAGCAGTGCCACGCTCAGATCTTCAGGGTCGCGAAAGTCTCCGTCCTCGTACGCCTCGTCGGGCTTGATCGTGTCGAGAAGATGCTGGATATCGTCTGTGTCCGAATAGTTGTTGAATCGCTGCATGTACGGGTTGAAGGCGTAGGTATCATAGGCATTGGCGGATGAGCCTAGGTGGTCCGGCTGCGGATAGTATATCGGCAAGGGGTCGCTGTTGACGGCCGGTCGCGGCGCCTGGCGGCTATAGTTGTGCTCGTATCTGCAAAGCATCTGGATCTTCTCGCTCGTAGCTCTGATTTTGAAGAAATGGCGTTCTATTTTCGCGCTGATCGCCGTCTCCATCCGCTGGAAATGGTCTTTTTTCTTCGGGTCGCTGCGGCATGCGTCGGTCGTGAGGTACTTGATCACCGCCGTGCGCCGCTCCATCAGCTTTTTCACGTTCTCGTTCAGCCTGTGCAAGTACTCCCGTGCCTGGACAAGCACGCTTCTCAAACCCTCGACTGTGGCCGGTAGCGGTTCCCCAAAGGCGTACGCTTGGCCGGGAGACTTCGCTGTGGGCGGACTGATGTTAGTGGACTTGACAAACACCACGTCGTCCTCGTGGTCAACGTCGTCGCTGTGGTCGTTGTCGTGCTTGTTGTATGCGGGTTTCTCATCGGGTGGCGGGGGCTCCTCTTCTTCTGCGTCAGACGTTAGATCGATCACTTCCGACTTGAAAGCCGGCTCGAGCTTTTGCCGTTTCGCTTCGTCTCCTACCCCATTCTTTCTTTTATACGGCGGAACAAAACGGTGCATCGCAGGCGTCTGGGGCAGAGCGAGAGAGGGCCCGGCGGCGTTTCTGGATGGGTTGCGCACGAGGCCGTCGTCGTGGCGCGGCGACGGCTCGGAAACATCGAGTATTTGCACCTCGTCAGAAGACATGGCAAACAAAATAAAAAATAAATTGCATATTACACAGCCGCAATATAGCTCACAGCTCTCCGTTCTCCTCGTCGATCAGACGCTGGCAGTTCTTGAGCTCCTCGGCCAGCTTGGAGTGCGACGGGTTGAAACAGAGGCCTCTTTCGAAATCGGACTTGGCCGCGAGCAGGTTGCCCAGCTTCATCTGGCACACACCCTTCCGGAGATGGTTTTCCGGGATGTTGGCGGCGAGCTGGCACAGCAGCTCGGCGTCCACGTACGCGTCGAGCCAGTTTTCGAGCATCATGTTCGCGTCGCACCGCCCAACCAGACAGATCAGCACCTCGCTGACCGTCATTTGGAAGTTTTCGAATTTCGGTCTGGCCGCCGCCAGACCGAGCGCAACGCCGAACTGTTTGGCTGCGTCCGCGTACTTCTTGGTCCTCATCGAGGCTGCCGCGCTCTCGTGCATTTTTTTGATCATCATGCTCAGGTTCTTGGTGTAGTTTTCTCTTGTCGGCAACGGAGGAACGTCGACGTTGGCACTGACGTAGTCCTTGATCAGCGTGTTCAGCTGGGAGACCTCCAGCTGCAGGTCTTCGTACGCCGCGGCAGACGCGTCGTCCGCCAGCGCCACTTTCTTCGAGGCGGAATCGTAGACCAGAGGAAGCGACATGAATAAAATAATTTAATTATTTAAATTAAACTGAATAAGTCGATCTGAGCATTATTTTCGCATGCCCAAGTACTACTGCGACTACTGCAAGTCGTACCTGACACACGACTCGCTGAGCGTGCGCAAGTCGCACTTGCAGGGCCGCAACCACCTGACGTTTTACTGCGAGTACTACGAGGAGATTGCCCGCGAAAACGGCCTGGTGGAGACCCAGGAGCTGCCGTGGGAGTACAGTCTGGAGACGCACTACGCGGGGATGCCCGGCTCGCGCACGCCGAAAAACGGGCTGAAGTTGCCACCGCCACCGACGTTGCAGGGCTTCCCCAACCCGCCACCGAGTGCCAGGTACTACGACCAGGTGGAGGAGAAGCGGGTGATCGCCGCGTGGAAGAAGGCGACGGAGCCGGTGGCAGAGCTCGGGCCACAGGCGAGAAGATAGAGCGCCCGCAGACACAGCGGGCCGGCAATGTGTAGGTATTTATTGGAGCAGGCTCTTGGAAGGTCGTTCCCCGCACAACAAATTTTTCCTTGATTTTGCTGGATAAAACTGAAAGGCGTGCCTTTGTTTATCAATAATTTTAGCAATATGTCGGCTCAACAGCAAGTTCCTACATTCAAGCTCGTTTTGGTCGGAGACGGTGGTACCGGCAAGGTAAGTAGCACGCAGGCGTCGGCACACTAACAAAATATAGACCACGTTCGTCAAGAGACACCTGACTGGTGAGTTTGAAAAAAAATACATGGCCACCTCGGGTGTCGAGGTCCACCCAATGTCGTTCTACACCAACTTCGGTGAGATCAGATTCGACGTCTGGGACACCGCCGGACAGGAGAAATTCGGCGGCCTGAGAGACGGCTACTACATCAACGGCCAGTGCGGAATCATCATGTTCGACGTCACCTCGAGAATCACGTACAAAAACGTTCCAAACTGGCACAGAGACCTGGTCAGAGTGTGCGAGAACATCCCTATTGTCCTGTGCGGCAACAAAGTCGACGTCAAGGAGAGAAAGGTCAAGGCCAAGACCATCACCTTCCACAGAAAGAAGAACCTGCAGTACTTCGACATTTCCGCCAAGTCGAACTACAACTTTGAGAAGCCGTTCCTGTGGCTCGCCAGAAAGCTCGTGGGCAACTCCCAGCTCGAGTTTGTCGAGTCGCCGGCCCTGGCTCCTCCGGAGGTGTCTGTCGACGCCGACCTGATGGCCAAGTACCAGGCCGAGATGGACCAGGCTGCGGCCATGCCTCTGCCTGACGAGGACGACGCCGACCTTTAAATAGAGTAAGGTTAAGTAATTAGGTCTCCTGAGCGGTGTAGAGGTGCCCACCCCCGGTAGTCGATTCGCCAGCTGGCCGGTTACGCAGCCCTTTCTTTCTCTCTCATCCAACGAAAATTCTCCGTTCCTATTCGTATACACCAATTAGACCGATACAAAATGTTGAACCTTGTCGCCAGGTCTTCGGTACGTGCTCGCCCAAGTGCCATTGCTAACCCGCAGAAGCTTGTTCTCCGCCAGAATGCCAGATATCTCTCTGTGTCGGCCGTCAGAAGCAACCTTGTGACCGATCTCTACGTCAAAGAACTCAAGGCTTTCAAGCCTACTCCAGCCTCTGCCGCGGACGCCGAGGCCGCCACCAAGCCATGGAAGCTCCCACAGGCCGCCAAGGTCCCATCTCTGGAGGGCGAGGGCGCCGACGCGCTGGCCGAGTACGACTCCGCCAAGGTCGAGGTCGTCGAGGCTTCCGGCGAGACCGCTGCCGAGGAGTACAATCCAGACGACTGGTTTGTGTTTGAAGAGGAAGAAGAGCCGGGACACCACTGAAGAGTGAGGCGCACCGCAGGATTTATGAGTAGATCATTAGAGAAATACAAGTCGAGTTGTCTTTGCACGGATGTAGTAGTCGGTTGGACTGGCTGAAAACTCCCTACTCCAAGACCTGCCACACAACAGGGCCCCTGGAAACCGTCGCCCCCACTGGCGGGTTCTCCCCCACCGGGAACATGGAGCAATCGCCATGCTGTAGCACAGGGGTCCAACGGCCGTCGAAAAACACCCTCACCACGGAAATCGGGGTGTCCAGGTCGTCCTTGTTCCAGAACACACCCTGGGCCCAGTTGCCGACGCGGAGGAACCGGCCCTCGCCGCCGCTTTTCACGTCGAAAAGCCGCGACTCGGCCGCGACGGTCGACTCGGCCTGCACCTTGTGTTCCGGCGTCGTTTTCCACGGATCGAGCGTCACCCATCGCTCCTCGTACTGCTCCACTTTGCCCGACGCAGCGTTGTGCATGGCGCCCGTTTCGCGGCGAGTCCCGTCCTGCAACGTTTCGAAATGGCCGACATCCTTGGGAATGTCGCTTCTCAGAGGGTACTGGACGGCCTGGCCGGCGAGCTCGCGTTTCCGGCACTCGCACCAGCGGCTAATATAGTCCGAGTCGAAGAAATCGTGCGAGAACTCGATCTGCGAGCCGTCAGCGGCCAGAAGCCGCGCAGAGCCCGCAAAGGCCCATTCGAAGGGGAAGCCGCCACGGGGCGCCAAAAGTGGCCGCACGTCGACAAAGCGCTCGCTCGGCGTGCTGAGCACCATCGTCGAGGTCTTCTCGTCCGGCGCGGGAGACGACTCCCACGCAATTGACAGTCTTGCCGAGATGCTCATGGACGATCGACGCGAAAAGTAGGTGAACAAAAAATTTTACCAATTTCCACTTCACCATGGGAAAAGGAGCTGCCAGGTTTGGAGGAAAAAGCGGGTTTCTGCCGAAACCACGGGAGATTTTCAAGCAGCCGTACAAGCACGTTGTGTACCAGAAAGAGCCCGACACGGGGTACGCCGACGGGATCTTGCATCCCCGCGGCACAACAAGAGACCTGATCCGTCCGCCGGTGGTGACGCCCGAGGAGCGTCTGTCGCGCACGGCCAGGCCGCCTAAACGGACGCCGAGCGAGTCTGAGCTGCAGAAAATGGCCGCCGAGCAGCGCGCCAACATCAAACAGGCCGAGCTCCGCAGAAAGTACCTCGCCGAGTCGTACAAGACAGAGGTGAGCCGTCTGGAGAGGCTGGAGGCCCGGGAACGCCGCCGGGCAGAGGAGCAGGCGAAGGTGGAGCAGGCGGCGCGCGAGTACAAAGCGTCGCACGCCGAGGTGTACACGATGCCGACCGTGGAGAGCTATCTGGACGGCCCGTTCATACGGCCGCGCACAGAGGAGGAAAAGGAAGAGCTGAGACTGAAGCGGGAGGCGAACCGGCGGGCGCGGGAGCTGGAGCAGAAGCAGGCGCAGGCGGTGAAGCTGCTGGAGCTGTACAATGCGGCGGCGAATTTTGCCGTGACGGACGAAAAGCTCAAGGAGATGGTGGACAGCGCGTTCTCGGACAGAAAGCTGCAGGCGGTGAGAGACATGCTGAGCGTGGACATGAGCGGTCTGGGCTCGCAGCCTAGCTCCGGCGAGTTTGACAAAACGGTTGCGGAAGTGGTTCTGGGCACGGTGAACAAGGGTCCGTCGCTGGACGCCGTCGAGGACACGCTGAGCGGCTTCAACGAGCTGATTCTGCAGACGGCGCAGGACAAGATGGAGGAAAAGAAGATGGAGCTCAAGCTGAAGGCGGAGGAAAAGCAGAAGCAGCTGCAGCAGCTGCAGGAGGCAATTCTCCGCGAGCGGGAGCAGAAGAGCGAGCAGAGCGAGCAGAAGGAGGAGTAGCAGAGGTGTACATAGGTGAACTGAGTTTTCGGTATTATGTTGGAGCAGAGCTCTAGTTATACAGGTATGATCTACAAGGATTCCTCGTCAATGGCCTTTCGGGTTCTCTTGATCTTGAAGAACCGGATGCCACCCTCGTTGGAAGGCAGCGTTCCGTGGTTGCCCTCGTCGCCGGAAAGAGGGCCGGACACGGGCTGCGAGAGCGGTGCCCCGGCTGGGCCGGCCTGGCCCATTTCCAGCTGGCGCTGTTCTCGGTGGGTCTTGTACATCCTGCGAACGCCGCTGCCGCAGGCGAGGAAGAACACAATCAGCAGACACGCAACGGCGGCCCAGGACATGCCGAGCATGGACGCGCCGACCTTGGCAGACATGCCGGCGTCGGAAAACTTGTTTCTCACCATCACGGAGACTGCCGTCTGACAACACACACCGGCAGTACAGAAAAGAACGCTTAGGCAGATGAAGAGAGTGGTCACCGGCTTCAACGGCCACCAGCAGAGCTGGACGAGCGAGAACATCAGGCTGAAACCGGTAAACACCAGGGCAATCAGAATAAATGGGAACGAGAATCTCGAGAGGTAGTAGTAGGTGTCTCTATTGGAGACAAAGTCGTGGGGCAACGAGGTAGAGTTTCCGAAGTTGTCGTACGGAGAAATAGGCTGGGCGGGGCCCAGGCTTGTGCATTTTCCGTTGGAGTGCGAATCGTAAGTGGCTGGGTGGCAAATTCCCCAGAAGGTCCATCTGGAGATGTCTCCGTTGGGGTCGAGGTTGCCGGTTCTGGCCTGGACCCAGTAGAAGCGGTTGAAAGGGGACGACGAGACCGAGCCGGAGAAGATGATGAACAGCAGCAGCAACGTTGCGCCCGCCAGCAACACCACGGTGAGCAGTCTGATGAGAGGAGTGCGCAGCAAAGGAATTGACATTGGCAAAAAAAATAAGAGCAATTTGTTTTATTATGAGGCCTTGAATTTCAGCTAATTATACCCAGACAGAAATACATAAACAAGACGTATGTACTATTTACTAGAATAGGGGAAATTTTTCGAAACAGAATGGGGCCGTTACTGCATCCGGAAGTTGGCAAATAGGAAGTGCAATCGCTTAATGCGGAAATAGCACAGAACAAGAGGAGAAAAGAGGCGGAGACAAACGTGACACCCCACGGCTGAAACTCGAGCACAACACACTTGCACAAGTTGCTCTCGGGCAGGCTCGATGGTTGCGATTACGTAACCGTCCTTCTGCCGAACCGGGACTTTTCCCTCTCCTGCTTAGCTAATCTGTCTCTTGCCAAATATTTATTTTCCCTTGTTTACATGGAGATCATCGACCTCGAGTCGTCGGAGCCCCCCGGGTCCCGCTCGTCGCACCTCTTTGTCTCCTCGTCACCAACCCCTGCCAGGCGGCGACTTTTGCCCGTGAAAACGCCCGCCCCCAAACTCAGCAGACCAGCGGCCGGGGCGTCTCCCTCGTCTCTCCCGAGCATCATCGAAATCAGCTCCAGCCCGCTCCCTGCGAAACGAAAGCGCGAACCAGACGAGCCGTGCGAACGCAGAAAAATAGCCCTTCCCAGCTCCCCGGCCGCCGCCGGCGACGAGTCGCTCCTGGAGATAGACCCCGTGGGTCCGTCAGACGATATTCAGTTGGGCAGCATCTTTGATATCAGCACAAAAACGGCCATCACTCCCTCAGGAGCCAAACAACCTGCCAGTGCTGCCCCTGCTCCCGCACCGGATGAGTCCGGTGGGGATCTTGACGCGCTGCTGGAGCACGCGAAAAAGTTCAAGAGCAAGGAGCTGAAACAGGTAAACAAGATGCAGCGAACAAAGGACGAGCTGCTGGCCGAAATGAGCGTTGAGGTCGAGACGCGGCTGCACGCGAAATTGGCCGAGATCAACGCCGATTTTGACAGCCTGCTCGCGCCAATCAAAGTGGACACAGCGCCCCTGTATCTCCCGCTTATCCAGTTCAAAAGACAGGTCAAGGCCGTGTACCACGAGCAAAAAGGCACGTATGTTCCCATTGAAACGTGCATGAAGACAGAGTTGACTGTCGTGCTGTACTACGACGCTGCCGACGTCGTGGACAAGATCAAGGACGACACGCTGCGCACGATCATCCTCAAGGTGAAGCGGATGCGCCAGGACGCCAACGTTGTCCTCATGATCAACGGCTACCAACAACACTTGCAAACGCTGCGCGCACAACATAATAGGGCGTTTGTGAGCCAGGTGATGCGGAGAATGGACAACGACAAGACACAGAGGGTGCTGTGCCCTGCCAACAGCACGCTTTCCGCCGAGACGGTGCGCAAAAAGCTGGTCGAGCTAGAGGTATTTTTTGGAATCCATATCTTCCCCATCAAGGGTCTACGGGAGCTCGTAGACTGGATCAGGTCTTTTAGCTATACCATCGCGCAAAAGAGCTACGACCCCCGCGAGAGAAACCCGGAGCTGGCAAACATCGGCAACATTCGCTGCGGCCAGACGCCCGAAGAGTGCTACCAAGAATCGCTCAAACAGTTCAAATACCTAGTTACCTCTTCAGCACGCACACTCGCCAAGAAATACCCCACGCTCGTGCAGCTTGCTGACAAGCTGCAGACCAGAGCGCCATCGCTCATCAGAACCGACGTCGAGCAGAACCTTAGGAAAGTGTTTACGAGCACGGATCCCAACGAGTTGCTCGACTAGCTTGGTTTCTTCTTCAAGCTTCGCAGATAGTCAACTTTCGAGTACGTCCTAGAGGTTAGTTAGCGCAGATTTAAGATACTGACTTCAAGATTTGCAGGTCCTCGTGCGATATTTGGTCTTTCATCTTCTCCAGTTGTTCCACGGCCTGGGCCACCATTTTCTTCTCCTCCTCGTCAAAACTGTACTTGTGAGACATCAGTGTAGTCACAATGTTGGTGGCAGAGTCTATGCATCCTATGTGGCCGTCTACCTTTATGAGACTGAGCAACGACTTGACCACCTGGTCTTGCTGCAATTTTTCGAGTCTGGCCGAGTCGATTGGGGTAGATAACGCAGCGTTCAGCAGGGACAGCGCTCGGAGCTTCAGCTTCTCGGGAGACTTGTCGCTGTTCAAAATCGGAGCAATAATGTCCCATCCATTGTGCTTTTCAAAAGACTCCACGCCTTCCTTGTTGTGTCTCACGATATTCGCCAGAGCATAGATAGCTTTAAGATTTGTTTCTGGAGACTTGTCTGAGGCCAGTTCCACAAGCTTCGCCATCCCGTTCTCGCCCTCTGCATACTGAAGGAAGTTTTGCTGCGACTTAGGGTTGTTCTGCGTGGCCGTTCCTATACAGGAGCAAGCGAATGCCTGGAGTTTGGGCTCAGAGCTGCTGAGCTGCTGCAGCAACGGGTCCCAAAGCTTCAAGTTCTCGATATTGTTTGCGTTGTCAAGGTTTTCGATCAGCATCTCGAAATTGTCGAAGGCAACGAGCTTGTTCTCCAAATCGATCTCGGGGCTTGTAATGACCGCCATATTTTGTTTCATCTGCGTAGGCTCGTCCACGGCCTGTCCAAAAAGCTGAGCCAGCAGCTCAGGGTCTGGCGCTGGGGTCTTGGCCCGCAATTCCTTGTCATCGGACTGGTTGGCGATCGACCACTGAAGTAGTTTCTCCATGGCAAAATCTAGAATAAAAGGAAAATTGATGTCAGGATTATTTTTTATGCTAGCCATTCTGGTGCACAGCCATGAAGCACATTTAGGGCGGGCGCGTACCGGAAACCTAGACGCCCACGTAGGAGGATATAAAGCGGCGGTACCCCCAAATTTAGCTTCATGGACAGCAGACTGCTCATTATTGGTACATCAGATGTGCCCCCTTCAGGAAGCTCTCTGTTCATCACGGACGATACTCTCAGGCTGGTT